CCCCCAAATCTGCCAAATAATTCCTTACCTTTTTCATTAAAAAAATGTCAATGCAATTAATTAAAAATCAAGTTAACAAAAAAAATATAATAAGTTTATAACCTTCCACACAACAACCCATTAAGAATATAATGTAATATAAGTATATATATATAAATATATATATTAATTAATGAAATAACGTGTAACTATTCATTTACAAAAGATAATAAAAGTCTTGATAAGATGTGTAAGAACTAGATATACATTAGTAAATTATTAATTTACTAATATTGACGTAGCCCCACTTAGAGATTCATCTAGTTTTTTGAAATATGGGCAAATCCTTGCACAACTATTGAATATTCAACTAAACCTAAAATCATTACAAGAAAATATCGAACAAGGTAACATGAATGTTGTAATTATAATTACGGGGATTGAAACTCTATATGCGAGACAATAAATGGAATCTAAAAATATCATGTTAAATAAACATGAACCTCCATGGAAAATTGTGAATTATTTGTTATTGACAATATATTAAGCGTGACACACGAAAAAGAATCGGAGCGGACAAACCGTTTATGAAGGATTGTTCTGATCATACATAATATTTTTCAAATTAGAATATGCTAATTATTTTACCCATATAAACAGACTAGCCACTTGTAGTGCCATTTATCCTAGGAACAATTTGTATCACTTTCATCTCATCTCTCGAGAAAATAACTTGAATGATCAACAACAACAACAACAAAAATAAATTACTGATACATTTCTTCTACAATTTCATAGTTAAAATACTATACTTATCAATACTACGAAACAAATAATGCTTAAATTAGTCGATATTTAATAAAAATACATCTCCGCAACATGTTGAATCTCTCCATAAGAGTAATAGTCTGATACAACGAAGATCCTGGCAAAATGAGAAACGAAACATATGTAAAATGCACCTGTTTGGCTGGCCTTTAGTTTATTATTTCTTTCCTTTTTTTTTTTAACTCTATTGATCAAGAAAGTTCTAATAGTAATGGTCTTTCTTTCTTTTTGTTTGAATTACCATTATACCCGTTTTGAGTGAATGCTAGTCTTAAACCTCAGAATAATAACATAGTGTAAAAACAGCAAGAAGAACGAAAAAAAATCTATTTGCCCGTCTCGGATCCGTGCTAATTCTCAATGTTCATTACATCAAGAGGGACATCAACACATCCTAACACTGAACAATATCTTAAATTTTCTTATAACTTTTACATATCAATATTTCTTCTAGGTAACTTCCACTTCTTCTCCACCAACTTTTCTTTTTTGTCTCTCCCTTTTATTAAAGTCATAATAATAGAATATGATGAACATCCAAATTTTTTACAAATTGATCATTGGACACAATCAACATTTTAATAACTTACAGCCGAATAGAAACAAATTAAGAAATTTACGTAATTTTGATTGATCTCTTTAGGACATCTCAAAATGTATTAAAGGGGGATGCCTCTATTAATTCTTAAAATTATTAGTGGGAAATGAGTGGTGACAGCAGAATGAGGGGCTAAGATGATATGAAGTAGATGTTGTACATATATAGATATATTAAATCATTTTTGATAACTTCCCTGGTAATATCTTCAATGTTCGCTGCGTATATTCTTCGAAAACACATAATTAATAATATGAGTAAAGAAGGGGGATAAAAATGGAGGACTAATAAATTATATATATTTCATATATCGTGTTGTAAGTTTCCCCACGGTAGTTTCACTGGAGTTTTAAATAAAAAAGGGGTTCAACCCCTCCAAAGACGACGCCATACATTAACTAGAGAAAAAAATATAAAAGGAAAAAAGCAATTAAATATAGGATTCCTCCTTCTGAAGATGGCGGTACCTGAAATGAAGACAATAGCCGTAGGAAAATTAGGAAGAGGCACTATTATCTGCTCACCTTTTTTCTAGTTCGTCTTTTCTTTTTGAAAGAGAATCTAAAATTCGGGGCAATGCTGTACATTCCGCTATTTCCCGTAGTTAGAAAAGGTCTGAACTCGGGGAAACCCGACGCAGAGTTTTCAGGAAATTTTATTGATAAAATTTGTTTTTGGCTGTCAGTGCAGTTTCTCTGTAAGATGGTGGGGAGGGATGAATAGTAGGAAGAGCATCCTCTTTTTAAATTCAAATAATTGACATGAGCTTATTCTTTGTAAATTGTTAAATTGTAAAGATGTTTTTTTTTGAAAAGTTTCTCTTCATGTAGTTGTATTTTCCTATGTATGGCCTGCAGAAAACATTTTCTGTAACTTATGATTAAAGTTATTTCCTTTTATGGGTGTACTAATGCTTGGAAGGAAGAAATTTTGTACATTAACGTGTTAAATTTGTTTTTCTTTCCTCAGTGGAATATGTTGTCTGAAATAGAACCTGTCAGCTCCACATTTGTACAGTGAAGGACTTTTTATGTTCTCTCTCTGTCTTCTCTTGTAATATGTGTCCTTTAGTTTCCCAAAAATGGACCTAGCAAGTTTATTATCAAAAAATATAGTGCTCTCCATCTTCACACGGAAAAAAATTAAAAACAATTTCATTTGAGTTCTTACATGAAGAAGTAGCTTAAAAGTATACTGAAACGACCTAATTTCAATAACATAACTGCAGAAGTAGTATCTTTCACATAATATATACACGTCCTTGTATACCAATGCCATATGTAACAAGAATCTCCATTATTACAATAAGTAATATTTGATAATGCTACAGTCATCGATTTTCTAATACTGTCTCTACATAATATTTTCTCTATGGGTAGTTCAAGACATCAATAACACAAGGCAAACAATTCGGTCCCTATCACCGAACAGGCAAACAAGCAAACAAGGTACAAGTTATGACGAGGAAGCTAAACCCAAATATTTTCCTTTATTCTGGTTCTCTCTTCATTTGATAACAAGTTCCATTGTGGCCCAAAACATAATTGACTTTCTTTTGGGAAATCAGGAATGATAACTGAGATTACGATCCCTCTATATTATTATACATTTCATTTTGGGACAAGTACAATGAAGATAGAGATCCTTCTCCTTTCTTACCTTTGCTTTGTATTACTACGCCCCTTCCTCAGAGGGTTCTGCATTTTTTTTTTCGTCCGGAAAACTTTACCCCAAAAATGAAAGCATTGTTTTTTAAGACACAACTGCAGCTATCTGAGCTTTACGTTACTTTCACAGACTGAGACAAATCTTAATTCTAATTTGTTATATTCTTCAATATGTTAATTTCTTTTTTTTTCCTCTTTGAATTATGGCTGTAAAAGAGCTGAGACCAAAATGGGACAGAACCGGGACAGCTAGAGTAGAGGAAAATTGTAGTAGTGATTGGATAAATATTACAGATAACTTTTAATCAAAAAGAGACAGATTGTTCTCTTTTAACTTACATATGCTTAATATTAATTAGTGTATACAGTTAGTTTATACATATACCTTATATGTATGTTCTTTTAACTCCGCAAGAGGGAGAAACTGTTAATAATAATATAATTTCTTTCCCGATCACATCCTCGCTCTCTACCTTTTACACACATTTCTTTCTATTTATCTTCACCCGGTGTTTTCAGAAAAGAATACCATAACATCCTGCAGATATCAACGTTATACAACAATTATTAGAACAATATTTGTTGTTGTTAAAATAATTCAAACAGACCAAGAGAGATTCATGCACATTGAAATGAGAAGAACTCTTCATTTTTGTAACTTTTGTACGAATTTATATCAACACCCTTCTCTATCCCTCCTATATGGTTTGCTACGTGGTTCTTCTAAATTATTAAAAACCGCAAGGTGATAAAGTAAACCATCTCTCTGCGTATTTGTCCCTTGTACTTATTTTACTCTCCCGCTGTTACAGGAACAAGAAAAGGTAACTTTTATGGAACAAATTTTTTTTCCTTAAGAATAAAATGAAAACGAGAAGTTGAACTGTCGTGAAGCATTCATTCTACATTATTTTCTTATACATTTCATTAATGCCATGATCATCAAAAATGTATCCACAGCAGCATCGGCATCTGTTGTGGAGAGGGGATAGGAAGGGGGGAAGGGGGAACATCTCTTTCACTTTTTGTTCCCTCTGATTGTCTATCGTCTTCAATTTTTACTCTATTCTATTGTATTTTAGAGTATCATATAGTTCTTCTGCTCTTATTTATTCAATACAACGACTAACGTAAGACCGAAGAGAAATATAATTTATATTTTCGGTGAAGGTGGTAATGTGCTAAATATTCGCAGAACTTCGAGCCCCGGTATTATTATTATTGTTGTGGTTGTATTTGTTTTTTTACTATTGGGATTCAAGTTAAAACAAAATACAACAACAAAATATATATATATATATATATATGCATAACCTTACAATACAATACAATACAATACAATACAATACAAGAGAAAAGCGTAGGCTGTATATGCATTTTCTTTCTTAAATGTTATTTACTCCTATAATGTATTGTTATAGTGCTTAATATTAATATTAACATCTCTTCTTAACCGTCTGTGATTCTCTGTGTGTAGCCTGCAGTCAATTGCACATTGCACTGCACCGCATTGTTTTCTTATTATCATTACCATTTCTCTCTCACTGCGTTTATTAGTACGTGTACTGTGTATTAAGCAATATCAATATCAATATCAATATCAATATTGATTATCAATTATCGATTGGGTACAAAATTTCATATCAACTTCGTATTGTTCATCTCCTATATTACCTTTTTCTATTTTATTTTATCTTGATCATGGTATCCTTAGTTTCTTCTTATGGTTGTCTCTCTTTATATTCCTATACTATCAAGAACAGTGAGAAGATGCATGCATCTATGCCGGTTTAGTAGTTAGTTGTCCCTTCCTTGTAGGATAATTATTTAACATTTTATCTTTTCTTTCCTTTTTAATCTTTTATTTTTTTATCATTCTCATGAAGTATATAACATCGAGGCTAAGTTACAGTTTTTTCAACTTAACATTTCTAAACTAGGACCCTTTTCCCTCTGTCATCGATTAACTGGTATCATCTATATTTATTACATATATTCTTCGTATTTTTATTTTATTTTAACTTTCTTATATCTTGGCCTTGATAAAATCTTTGACGACAAATAAATTAATCAAAGTATACTTACTGTCATCATTTTCTTTTTGTCTATTATTTCATAACTTCGAAAGAGAAAGGATTCACATTTCCTAATTATTCACTCACTTAAACCCCGCTCGAACAAACATATAATTTGGTTTATGCTCATATCAGATCGATAGTATATATAATCATAATCCATTAAATCTTTTTAACCACTTCTAAATACTTTCTTCCATTTTTATTATTCTATTTTAATTCTCTAACGTTAATATTTTTTCACTTTATCGGATCAACAGTAAAACAAAAATAAAAAATTATTTATATTGAGGTGTTTTCCATATTGTATTAGTTATAATCTAAAACTAATCTAAGTTATATATTCCCGATGCAAACGAATCATTCTAACATACATATTACAGGCACATTACCAAATCCTGTATTTGCACAGCCTGTATTTGCACAGCCTGTATTGCAATTGCCATATAATGGTGTAATGGCACCAATGAATCCAGTAGCAACAGCACCAACCAATAATATTAATATATCTACCCCCACACCTGTACTGCCTAATAATATGTCAATCGTGAGTCAACAACAACATCAGGATCAACCAAACATTATTGTTCAAGAATTTTCTCATGATACAACGAGAAAATTGTCTGAATCTTCTTCATCCAACAATAAAAATTTACTTAAAAACCCATCTTCTTGGGATCCAATGGATGATTTATTATTACGTCACTTAAAGGAAATCCAAAAAATGGGCTGGAAAGAAATTTCTCAATACTTCGATAATAGAACTCCTAACGCATGTCAATTCAGATGGAGAAGATTAAAGTCCGGAAACTTAAAATCAAATAGAACGGCATTGATTGATGTGACCGAATTTCCAGGGAAGATTGAAATTAAAAACAAAGCTACCTTCAATAGTGTTTCAACTGGAAGAAAAAGAGGTACAACAAAGACTAAAAAGAATAAATCACCTGGTATTATTAATACTACCACTAAAACGAAAATAAAGTCAGAAACTCAGCCAAATACGAATGTCCCACATAATATGCAAAATATTCTTAATGAAAACAATACTAACTCTATAGGAGGTGAACATACTACCTCCAAAAATAGTAGTGATAGTTCTGGAAATCCTTCTCCAAATGGTAACAGTAATATAAGGCATGATTATAATTCCTATCAACAGGCACCATCAGACACACAAAAGTCAACAATTGAACCTATTGTTTCTTCAAATAATAACGATATTGGCCCTGTGAGGAACAATAGTATTGCGGTAGCTGGCATAAATGTACCTGTTGCAAATGGTGCACCAGTTCATATAGGGTCATTTGTAGATAAATTTGCCAAACCAAGATCATATTCTTGTACTCCATTACCTTTAGCAAGACCAACACAACAAACATATCCATTGCATGTTTCTGATGGTCATACAAAACAACATCCATTACCTCAATTACAAGCATCACATATGGATAAAGAAAATGTTGGTTTCATTCCAAAGGTCTTTGTTAAGTCCAGAAGAAGTTCATCGATCGTACCTATGGCCCAAGGAATGGGTACACCAACTTCACCACAATCATTGACACCGTCTACGTCACATACCGATATATCAACTGCTTTAAACACTACATTAAACTCATCTAAATCAAGAAAGAATTCGTTCACAAGCTGGTCTTCAAGAAGATCCTCTTTCAACGTGTCACTAAGTAACGGTACATCAAGACGGTCATCTATGATCATACCACCAAACACAGCTTCTACTTTAATGGGAAGTAATTTGAGTAATCAGGTTGCTCATTTATCAAAGGAAAGAAGGGAATCTATCATTAAGAAAGAGTTTATTGCTCATCACCAAAATGGACAAAATTCATTTCATGAACATTCAGGAAATCACAATGTTATTTTCCCTCAACAATATACTTTTTCTGATATCCCGGTACCTTCATCCAACGTCACATCTAATAATAAAATATCTGGTGCACCAAAATATGCCCCAAAGAATTTAGATCAAGTTACGCAACTTAGATCGTTCTCTAATATTTCAAATTTTTCAACTATATCTAGTTCGTCCATGGAGCCAACTCCTGGTAGGAGAGGCACCTACATACCTTGGTCCGATGAAGAGGAACAATTATTAATTAATAGTCGTTCTAAAAACTTATCTGTAGTCGAGCTTTCTATATTACTTCCAAACAGATCTAAAGGAGATATTGAATCACGTCTAAATTCGTCATCTCTAAATTTACTTTCTCATTCACTTTCTCCAAGAAAGCCATTATCTGTTAATCAATTGGCTATGCAAGATGAAGAAGTAGATCCATTACAAAATCATGGTTCAATAGCTCGTCCTGATTCATTATCATCTAGATCATCCTCTTCTGTCTCTAAGGATACCACACCAGTGGGAGATCATAATGATGATTCATTATCAACGACACCATCCAGTTCTACTAGTGTAACAGTTAGCAGAATAGGTCATAAGAATCTATTAAATAGCAAGACGTCTTACAAAAATGCGATGGATATGGGAAACGTACCTCCTCATTTTGAAGGTATAATAACCCAACAGGATTACTCTGTAAACAGTCAATACAACCAAAGATCCAATTCAAATGCACAATTACCAAGTATTTCGTCAATCTTCAAGACTATGATGTAAACATAAGCATATTATTAATGACAAAACTCAAAAGAAAACTAATGTAATGTAATAAAAATAAATAAATACATACTTAAAACAAATTCACATTCAACCAATTTCATATAATTCATATCCAATATCTACATCTTAATCAAGAACTGCCCGTTTATCGTTTATTGACGCTTGTTACACGTTAAACAGATTTTAATAGTATATACAATTTTGTAAGAATAAGGTCACGTGCCTCAAAACTCTAGCTCGTACAACATGACACGTCGTACCGCACAATTCTTTGGCCAAAGTAAAAAAATTAAACTGAAAAATTGTTTCGCTGGCTTTAAATTTTTCACCACTCATTTTTCCATTTTTTATATATATACAATTTTTTGTCTTGCTGTGCTTTCCTTCAAGGTCTTTTTCTACTTCCCAAAGGGCGAAGCAGCAACGAACAACTTTGTCCATTCTGGTCGCCAAAGGTTTAGAAAGTTTCAAGATACGTGTCACACATACACATACGGTAGAATATATCAACTTTTATATAAACCGCGTAAGCAACCAGTTTCGTGTATTTTAACGTATATTAATTTTTGTCTTGTCTGTTTTTTAATTTTTACTTTTATTTCGTCCTATTCTTTTATTTTTCCTTTCATATAACTGATTATTTCAACCAACAGAACGTTTTATATATTGTTTTATTGAAATTCCCTTTATAAAGTGATCATATACCTTTCTGTTTTGACTTCCTGAATAATATTCCAGTCAACCAAACACAGTTATAACACATATACACAATTAGATAAAAATGTCTACAGTTCCTCCAGGTGGTCAACGTACACTACAAAAAAGAAGACAAGCTAAAACCAATAAGGATAAGCAATTGAATCAAACTCCAACCTCCGCCAGAGCTGCTGGTGTTGACGGATCTTCTAACTCCATTCTAAAGATCTATACCGATGAGGCTAATGGTCTAAGAGTGGACCCATTGGTTGTTCTATTCCTTGCAGTCGGTTTCATTTTCTCCGTCGTTGCTCTACATGTTTTGACCAAGGTTACTGGTAAGATCTTTTAAACTGAAATAAAAACTAACTTTTCTTAATCTTTATTTCTTTTTTGCTTCGTCTATCAAACCATTTTCTAATGAATATTAGTATGGTTATTTCCCTTTTTTGAAATGATCGTACAAAACACACGTAAATTATTTTGTAGAACTCTGAACTTTTTTTTAAATAATTAGTTCTGATTTCTCATTACAACAATCACCTCATTCCCTCACCCCCAAACATCCATACATATATTACATAAACTTTCAATGCAATAGCAATATTAATAGTAACATTATCATTACAAGTGCTCCAATTTTTCTCATCTATTTTGTTGATCTAGATGACTTCATTGGGATATCTGCATATATACATATTTTGATTTGGTATCTAGCATTTGATATTTATCAATTTGTACCACATATAAATCTCCCTTTTTAAGTATATTATATATGATTAATAATATATATATATATATATTGTACTTTGCTTCTTACTGAACTGTTTTTACCATATATAAGTAAAAAAAAGATTACTATTAAATGATAATGTTCCCTTCTAATTGAAATTATTTATCTATAAAAAAATTAAGTATAATAAAAAAAAAAGCTTGCTTCTTATATAATATAAATTAACAATATGATTCGCTTTACAAGTTAATCATAAACGTATTTGATTTGCCATCCTCGGCTTCCCTTGTTGTGATATTCCAATTTTCATAATATGCGTATATGGGCATAAGAAAACAGTAGAATTATCTTAGTTATAATGTACATTAATTTCATGTCGATTGAAACCAGTTTTTCGAAAGTATAAAACTTGAAAAAGATTATCGAAGTGTTAGTTTTCTAACATTTAATACTTTAAAAACTTTTGATAAACCATATTATCAGTTTCATCACAATATGTGTAACCTAAATCTTCTAAGAACTTTTGGAAAGTTAGATTTTCTCTTGGTGGAACAGAAATACCAGCCAGAACTTTACCGATATCAGCACCATGATTTCTGTAATGGAATAAAGTTAGATTCCAGGATTCACTCAAACCAGATAAAAATTTAGTTAAAGCACCTGGTCTCTCTGGGAATTCAAAAGAAATAACCTTTTCGTTTGGAACCTTGGAGGCACCACCAACAAGATATCTACCATGAGATTTGGCCATTTCATTATCAGAGATGTCAACAGCTTCGAATCCTAAGGCATGTAATTGTTGCATAACTTGCTTGATTTCCTTTTCACGATCCACAACACTGAAAGAAGTATATATGCATGCTTTTGGAACGTCACTAGTTGATTCGTGACGATGTTCATTGTAACGGTAAGAAAATTCAGTAACAGACCTTGGGTGAATAACTTTTTGTAATTTCTTAAAGGAACCTGGAATGTCTGGGATAGTGACTAGTAAGAAAACTTCTTTACCTTCACCAAGAACAGCTCTCTCAGATACAAATCTTAATCTGTCAAAGTTCATGTTAGCACCAGATAGGATTGGAACATATGTATGTTTGGAGTGATCAATCTCTGGGTGTAAAGTGTTAATATATTTCTTCATACCTGCAACAGAAAGAGCACCGGATGGTTCAACGATACTTCTAGTGTCTTCGAATACATCCTTAATGGCAGCACATATTTCATCGGTATTCACAAGGACAACCTCATCAACAACTTCTTGACAAACTCTGAAAGTTTCTTCACCTATTAAACGAACGGAAGTACCATCGGCAAAACTACCAACTTGAGATAAAGCAGTTCTTTTGTTAGATTGCAAAGAAGTATGTAATGTAGCCGCATCAAAGGTTTCAACTCCAATAATTTTAATATGTGGTGCAATACGTTTCAAATAAGCACCAACACCTGCAATGAAACCACCACCACCAACAGGGACAAAAACGGCACCGATCTTGTTAGCATTTTGTACTTGTCTCAGAATTTCCATGGCGACAGTACCTTGACCGGCAATAACATAAGGATGGTCGAAAGGTGGAATGTTGGTTAGACCACGTTCCTTAGATAGTTTGGCACATTCAGTCTTCGCTTCATCGAAATCGTTACCATATAAAACAACTTGAGAACCCAAACGAGATACATTTTGATATTTGATGGAAGGTGTAGAGACAGGCATAACAATTGTGGCTGGAATATTTAAATGTTTTGCGGCAAAAGCAACACCTTGAGCATGATTACCTGCAGAACAGGCAATGACACCTTGAACCTTTTCAGAATCATCTAATTTAGCGATCATATTATAAGCACCACGTAATTTGAAGGAAAACACTGGTAAAAGATCTTCTCTCTTTAATTGGACGTTTGTATTCAAACGAGATGACAGACCAACACCTTGACTCATAGGAGACTCTTTGATGACATCATAGACGGATGAACGTAACACCAAACGAACATAGTCTGGAGTACCATCAGTTCTCAACTCATCTAATTTCAACTCAGAATGAAGTTTTGCTACAGAAGGTGAAATATTTTGATGTAGCTTAGCAGTCAGTTGTAAACTCAATGACTTTGTTAGTAAACTCTTATTTGAGGTCCGTAGTAATTGTTCGAATCTCAATGGACTGAGCATCAGTTTAGTCCCAGACATCTTTATTTTGTTATTTCAACTGTTGTAATGTATTGGAAGATCAATAAATTGCTGAAAAATAAAATAATTCAAGAGAAGATGATCGTTAAAAATTAAATACCCTTTCTTTCGTTTTACCGTTAATTAGCAGCCGGTTATATAATATCAAATGCCAAAACAAAAAATGATTAAATCAGTCATATCAAAGAATGAAAAATTTTGGTATAAAATCTTCCGACTTCGCAAAGCTAACGATCCTTCATTTTCGCCTGTAACGGGAGGCGAGCGTTTTTATCTTTCTTACTTTCTTATTTACCAAACTGAGATACGAAAAATAGTAAGATTTGCCGTAGAAAAAAAATTATAGATGCCAAGTCACCTGACCTAGGGAGCTAAAAATCATATAGAAATAATAGTATTTGGGATTATGACACAAATTATAGATTAAATTTATTAAAAAAACGAATTAGTTTTAGCTTAAAATCTTCAAAATATTTAAAACCACAAATACTGTTCACTATTAGTTGATGTAAGAATAGTACTAGATTTCATTTTCTATTTTCCACAATTATAATAAATGTCCCAAGAGTATGAATTATTCAAAAGATGGAGTTCAGGCCAACCATGGTTTATTTTAATTAAGTTATGGATTTATAATAGTTTTGTATCCTTTTTGGGGCCCGAGCTACTATTAACGTTAAATTCAAGACATATTTTTAACACTAGGGTTGAGAACCAGGATGTGGCTTCTCCGATTGTTTCTCGTACTTTACAAGAAGTTAGAATGATGGAATTAACAATCTTAAAAAAGAATATTTCTAATCAAAAGAGAAAACTTAATGTAATCAGAGATAATTTACAACAATTGCGAAATGAATTTTCCGTTCAGGAGAAGGTCCAGATCAATAAAAGAAAAATTGTAAAAATTTCAGATTATTCTTTAGAAGATATATTTATGGAAGATGATAGTTTTTGTTCTTCAGCAACAGGATATTTTTCAACAATCTCTGCTTGCGATAAAATTACCACTAATGGTAATGACTTGTTAGGAAATAAAGTTTCTGATAACATTGGTTTAAATCTTAAGATAATCCAAAAATAATGACAATTCAAATTTTAAGTTCTGTTACAAAATTATGCCTTTAGCCCTAATTTGGTGGTAATAAACGATATAATTAAGTAAGAAATAATGTTTGTGTTACATTTAAATATATTTATAGTTAGCTATATATATGAATATATGAAACATGGGTATCTAGATAAACATATGTACCCATATTCTAATTTTAATTATTAGTTTTATTATCGTCTTCGAATATTATTTATCATTAATCGTAATTTTTTTTTACTCGCTATGATCTTCATGTTCGATATGCTTATGTTCCAAAGGATCGATCTTAAAAATCTTATCCGGATTCATAATTCTCTTTGGATCAATGGCCACTTTAATCTTTCTCATCAAATCAATAGTAGTTTGGCCTAATTCTTCTTCTAAGAAATCTCTCTTACCGATACCAACACCATGCTCACCGGTACAAGTACCCTCCGCATCTAATGCACGTTTAACCATCTTTTCGACTAAAGTAGCACATTGTTTGTATTCATCCCCATTACGGTAAATTAAGAATGCATGGAAGTTACCATCACCTGCATGACCAACGATAGCGTTAATTATATCGGTCTTAGCCATATCCTTTTTCGTTTCATCGATAACATCTGAGAAATTAGATAATGGAACAGCAACATCAGTAGTCCAAACCTTGGCAGCTGGATCACCCTTTTGACCTGCATCTAGAACAGACCATAAAGCAACTTTTCTAGCTTCCCATAATTCCAATTTATCTTCATCGGATTTAGCATATTCGAATTTCTTGGTACCATGCTTCTTAGCGATAGTCTTCAATTGACTTAATAATTCATCTGCAATAACAGTAGAATTACCACCAACTTTGAAGAATAATGTTGGAGACTCCATCCAATCAGATCTTGGAGTCATACCATTTTCATTAACCAACTTCATCATGTTATCATCTAACAATTCCATAGCATTCAATTGAATACCACTTTGAATAACTTCACTAGAACAAGCTGCAGCTTCCTTTATATTAGGGAAAGATGCAACAACAACCGTTTCGATTTTTGGTAAAACATGAGCCTTAACAGTAACTTCAGTCACAATACCTAAAGTACCTTCACTACCGGTGAAGATACCATTCAAGTTATAACCAGCGCTGGACTTTCTAGGTCTCTTTCTTGTCTTAATAATTTTACCATCTGGTAATACGATAGTTAAATTAACGACATTTTCTTTCATAGTACCATATCTGTAAGCGTTAGTACCAGAACATGAGTTTGCAACACAACCACCTAATTGAGCACCTGGACCTGGATCACAACCAAATTTGTAACCTTTATCGTTTAAGTATTCGTTTAAATCTTCCCAAGGTAAACCTGCTTGTACAGTAATATCTTGGTCCAGTTCATGGAAAGCGACAACCTCGTTCATATACTTTGACATATCAATGGAAATAGTTGGAAATCTAGTAGGTAAAAAATGACCCTCTAAAGAGGTACCACCTGAGAATGGGACAATTGGTACATTATAATGATTACATAGTTTAACAATTTGAGAGACTTCTTCGGTGTTACGTGGGAATACAATCAATTTTGGTCTTTGATTCTTAGTGGCATGATGAGTATTAAATTCAGTATCAGAATGCGCGGCTAAATCATTTGGATAATCTGAATAATTATCAGCATTATTTTTCAATAATGTTTTCAATTTAGTACATAATTCTGCAATTTGATCGTCATTTGTATTATAATCAGGAGAATCAAGTTCATTTAAAGGTAAAGTTGAACCTTGAATAATGAATTTTTCATCTCTAAACATATAACTAACTGGATCAGATTTTAAGTTAGCTACATCTGAAACCAAATAACCGACACCACCAGCTATGGTAGATATTAAAAAATATTGAAACCATTTAGGAGCAAAGGTTCTTTCGTTCTTAGCTAAATCAGGATCATTGTTTGTTGCCTTTTTTGAACCTGTAGAATAAAATTTACGTCCTGAATTTTGCATATACTTCGTAAAATTTGGATTAATCTTTTGGATAGAACCCCTTTTAGTGGAGTTCAACACAAGGCCTCTGGAGGCCGATGTCACTTTAGGTGTGATAAACCTTAACATATTTGTTTGCATATCTTTTCAAGTAAAAATGATGCACACGGACGGATGTATATTATTAACTTATGTAATAATTTAAGGGAATCCCATAATAAGTGAAAATGAAACAAAACCAAACAAATAAATACAAGAAAGAAGTTAGTTAACTCTTTATATATATATATTTACAAATATCCATTTGCGGTTTAATAAACGTATGCTAGGAGAGATACATTATTGAAAATATCATCTGTAATATGAAATATTTCAGTTTAAGTGGGAGCATGCCCTTGTTTTTAACAATACAAAACCAAACAAAAGTCGCAGAGAAAAGTTCGCACGACATGTCATCTCATCCCTTCCTTCCCCAGAAAAATATGTATACATACAAATATATATTCGAGACGCGGAGCCATCACATTGGATTCTACGTCAAAGTTGTAGTATCTTTGAAAGAAGAAGAAGACTTTACAATTTTAAGAAAAAGGATGGATCTTAATAGGGGGAAGAGAACGATGAACGATGAACAGGGGGGCCCGAGAAGAAAACAGTTGAAGATCCACCCGAAATAATTCCAGAGTGATTGGAATAGTTTTAGTATAGACAGAGAAGGATTTACTTCGTAGTTAATAGTACCAGATTATGATTCTATAGCTTTTAATACTAAAGATATTCAAATTACTCGAACATTGCGTGGATGACTAAGTACAACAAAGATGATTACTTGAAGTTGTTGTGGGATAGTAGTAATTACATGTAGATAAGTGTGGAGTTTAATTATTTTTGAAGTTAAATATACCTTGAATTGAGGTATTCTTGCATCTTTGAAATGTTTTAGTATAATCAGCTCTGATTGGTTGAATTGCAAAGTTTATCTTCAATAACATTTCAAAATATGTGTATATATTATGAAAGAGGTGGGATGTCATGGTTCCTGTAATAATGATGATGTAACTATACACTCTTGTGAAGGTATACAAAAATATATTAGTAAAATACACCGTACCGTTAGTGATCTTACATCAACAACATCTTGTACAAGAGACGTTTATTCATGTTCTACCAGTTCACCAAAACAACAACAATTAGAATATAGAATAGAATAATCTGCATGATTTAGACGTAAGGGTCTTCTTTCTCATTTTATTCAGCGTAAAACCACTAGAGAGAATAGGAATAGTATATGAAATCTACCCCCACGGCAAATAATAGTACTACGATTTAAATCACTTATATGTGTATATATTGACCATAATTTGTTTTTTGGATAACCCCCACGCATATATCGCCCTTTTATACATTGAATACATATATATATATCGACCAGAGAGAAAAAAAATAAAATTGTGACAGAAGATGAAGAGTGTATAGAAACAAAGGTTTTTTTTTATTACCGAAATATGCGTGGGATGGGTGCAATAAGTTTAGAACGTGGGATAGTAATATAATATAATAAAATTAAGATATACATCTCTTCAAGAAGCTTAATTTATTTTAAACCAATAGAAGAATGGCAATCTTCATATATAGATGAACCAACTACACCTAGTTTTATTTTCGTTACAAGTATTTACCTCTCGAGGTACTAAACCATTTCTCCCTCTGGTAAGAAATAATATTTGAGAATGAATGAGCTCGATTTTTAGGAAATTGTAATATCATATATAATATTAGTTGCCATGTACTGTTACGCGCTTGTGAATTACGTTGACATATGACAGAATAACATGTCGTACATACTATTAAAAAAGGGGACATATATATACAGATATATTGTTAGAATGAGAGTTCAATCGTACTGTATGTTTTCTTTACGTGTAATGTGATATTCTAACAATTGTTTATTCTTCCACAAATTTATATTTAATAGTACGGCTCAATAGATATATTTTTATTTGTTAAAAAACAACAACTCGTAATAATCATAATGCCGCGATTTCTATCATTTATTTATTATATTTGAATAATTTGAGCGGTATTATAAAAGCAACGAAGAAAAATAAAAAAGCATTTTATCATTGCCGCACCAAAAAGCGTTTTCAATATTACTCATAATTTCGCAGTGGTAAAGCAATAATACTGTTCAAATAATTGATGCCTTAGTTCCGTCCAACTTACATATTATCTTTTTGTGCTTAAAATATTCTTATGTCTCTCACATCAACTTAAACTGTGTAATACTACAAAATGACTATGAAGTATATTGTTCGAATCCATCAGATTGTCGATTATCATTAACAAGAGATGGAAATTCCAAGATCAGTATATAAACACCTGATAATCTTCAAATCATCTCCCCAAGATCACACTGTCTTGATTGGTCAACCTTACTCTTAACTGCCAATATGTATATGTATCGCTGAAAACAAGTATATACAAATATGTATTTTGACCTTTACCTTTTGAAGTGAGGACTATGTATGGGTAAGTATCTTCCCGTTACTATATATTTTACTTCCCCTCCCCCGCCATTCATACATTCACAACTACAATACTACCTAAAACAAACGCCAAAATCAATATAATAATATAATTATAGTGTATACATACGTAAATTAATGTAGCCTCACCTCACGCTATGTACAAAACACAATAGTGAGAAACGGATGACCGTCCCATTCATCACTGAAACTGTCTCCGCCACTCCATGAAAAGTTGCCATTCGATTCGCAGAGCCAAAGCGGGCAAAACAAAGAAACGAAAAAAAAGTGTGTGGAATTAAAAATGAAAGGAGGGGTGCATTACTTTATTTGTAAAGTGTTCCATAACGAATATTTCAATATTTCAATATTGAATGAATGAATGAATGAACGTGGTCATCAATTTTCTCTCGCTTTTTGTCTTTTTTTCGGTTCCGCATATGCTTGTCATTCCTTTTTTTTTGCTTGTGCTTCTTTGATGTCCGCGTCATAACTATGAAAGAAGGTATAATATGAAATAAATAACGTGTGATTGAATAGTACGGGGACAAATGACCCAATATTTTTATTATTATTATTTTTTAACCCCTCTTAGGATGAGCAATACATGAATTACGTTTATATATATAGTTGAAATTCTTATTTTTTTTTCTTTTTAACTGTAGTTATACATATTCAAAAATAATACTTGAATTACATACACATATATATACATTTGTTCTATTTTAATACAACTAAAGAACTCACTCATAGAAATACACAAATAAATTCGTTAGTTTTTTTCACTAATGCCTACACAATTTAAAATATCCACCGGTAGAGGTGGTGCCGGTAATATACGGTCTTCCAATTCTAAGATTTCACCAAATTATATTAAACAAGGATCTCAAACTCCAAATATCTTACAACCAATATACAGCACTGGACGTGGCGGTGCTGGAAATATGATGAAGAATTATGATCCAAAATTGACTAGAAGAGCTCAAGATGTTGATGAAAATACTATTGCAGATATGAAAGATATCGATGAACAAATTGAAATTAGAAATGAAATTGAGAATATCAATTCTCATCATAGTAATCATAATCATCATGGTAATGATGACGATTTTATTAGTCCCATAATTTCATCAACAGAAAATTATGTAACTAATACCATATCAAACGTTTTATCGCATATCTCATCAGGTGGAGATAAATCTCAAAAGAGCAACGATTCTGATACAATTATTCCAACAAAGAGTAAAATACGAGTACAACATAAAAAAATTAAAAAACAAAATCCAATCATTATTGGTAGAGGGGGTGCAGGTAACATCGTATCTCCTTCATCATCATCAAAATCTGGTTCATCTCATTCAAAATTAAATATTACTGGTTCAAAACAACATAGTAATAAATCTAATCATGCTATTGATAATAACAATACATCTAATAATAATATTCAAAATCAAAAGAAGAAGAAAAAATCATTCATGTCTTCAATTTTTGGTATATTTGCATAATTTATTATTATTATTATTTTTAAATTTTTAAAATAATAGCAATAATAATATCATTACACACTCCAAAGACAAACAATAACTTATTAATCTTTTAAACATTCTTTTCATATAGACACATATACATATTCATAATTTCACAATAATAAAACTATTATTATCATTATCATCATCATCATCATCATAAAACGAATATATATATTTTCTTTTTTATAGCTACAAATAAATTTATATATGTTATATACATACCGATGTTCATTGTACTAATGACCTGATATATATATTTTCTGGTGTATCTGAATCAATTTCTATTTCATCTACTATAGTAGTCAATGTAGTTCCATTTTGTGATTCATATGTGAGACTTATACAATTCTCAGATTTACGTCTAACTCTCTCACATCTATAAAAATACATACTTTTATCATCTCTTAATCGCTTATCATCACCCATAACATCCGAGTTTTCTTTTGCTAGGGAATCATATTCAACCCTATAGTTTTGTTGATATTGATTAGCAAAAAGGTCTTGATTCCACATAAAGCCTTGAGATTGAGACACTGTAACACAATATTTTTTTATGTGGCACGACCCAGTTCCTACGTTATAACCTCTATATGAATTATTTTCACTAGTTAATGAATAGACTATTGGTTTTTCACTATCTAACATAGTGGTAGATAGACAAAGTTTTCTAGTATTAATGATCTTACTATCTTGAGTCATAATTATACTTTCGTTATTTTCTTATTGGCAATATTTCAAATTTAATAATAACGATATCAAATCAAAGATATGTTTATAGTTATAAACACATCTTCAATAAGTATATTTTATATATATTTGAACTCTATTTTTAAAAATATAAAGTGCCTGATTTACTGTCAAATGTTAAAGGAAATTAGGGGCACCATCTCTATGTGCACAAGTGAGGAGAAATATGCGGCATGATAAGAAAAAGGTGATTTGTTGTTGTTTCCTTGTTTAGTTAAATGACTAATAATAGAGAAAATACGTATGCATACCCATATTAACAAGAAGTTAATATATATTTTGTTTCTGCTATTGATGTTGATAATATATTAAAGATTATATCGTGAACCGGTAGACGATCATTTAAGTTTTTTTAATCCTTATATTTATTTTACTGTGACAGGTATTAAAAGTACGCTACTGAGACACGTTGCAAAGATAAATGTTTATGCTACACCAATAATAACAACAATATTAGTAGGATAGAAATAGCCACTAATGAAATAAACGTTTATAAGACTATAATTATCACCAATCTAGTGAGACATAGAGAGTAATTAGTTATATCCTTCTTTAATGTTATTAACAGAAAATGCGCGTTGTTCAGAAAAATTATACCAATTTAACTTGTTTTAATGTAAATTACCTCTATACAAATTAATGGAAAACGACGCGAAAGTAATAATCAATAAATAAAAAGAAATACACGACTCTTCAGTTCTTAAATTTTCATTTTAGATACAATAGATATACTTAAAAATTACAAGAGAATAAGTAGTACTAACATTCACTTCCATTTCAACTAAATTTTCAATTTAACTTCTATTTTTGATTGCAATATAACAGAAACTTATTGTTACTAGTTAACAAGTACTATCGAATATATGTTTATATCGACAATTCAAACTTTCTCAAAATATCATAGATCATCACTACGACTACTTCATAACAACAGCAATACTATTCTATCATCAATAACACATCCTTTTACCAATAAAATAATGTCTAATAACAGTAAAAAACAAGCTACTTTAGCTCGATTCTTCACTTCCATAAAGAAAACAGAGCCTACTTTAGAAAAAGAGGAAAAATTTGAACCTATTCAAAAATCAAATGCTAGAGTATCAGAAATGTCAAATGAATCTCCAATTAAAAAACCAAAGATTGAATATACACCAGAGGCTCAAACAATTACTCCCCAAGAGAAAAAGAATACTGATGGTCCATTTGTCTCGAAGGTTCCTTACAATGATCTATGTTCTTTATTTGAAGAAATAGAAAAAACATCTTCAAGATTATCTATCATTAAACTTTGTTCAGATTTCATGATCAAAATAATGAAAGAGGACAACAGAAATTTAATTCCAGTGACCTATTTATGTATTAATAAATTAGGTCCTGACTATATGCCGGGTATGGAATTAGGTTTAGGGGAAGGGTTATTAATGAAAACCATTAGTGAATCATGTGGTAAATCATTATCACAAGTTAAACTGGAGTATAAGGATACTGGGGATTTAGGTCAAGTAGCAATGACTGCAAGAAGTATCCAGCCTACTATGTTTAAACCCAAACCTTTAACAGTTGGTGAAGTATTTCAAAATTTACAATTAATTGCATCATCACAAGGGAAGGATTCACAAACAAGAAAGATAAAATTGATTAAGAGAATGCTTACGGCATGCGAAGGTGTAGAGGCCAAATTTCTAATCAGGTCATTAGAATCAAAACTTCGAATTGGTTTAGCAGAGAAGTCTGTACTAATATCATTATCAAAGGCCCTTTTGGTGAACGAATACGAACAAAACAAAAATATTGATACAGAACTTATTGAAACCGCCGAACAAAAGATTAGAAATGCATTTTGCCAAGTTCCAAATTATGAAATTATTATTAATTCATGTCTAGAATATGGTATAATGGAATTGGAGACACATTGTTCATTAAGACCCGGTATTCCATTAAAACCTATGTTGGCCAAGCCAACTAAAGCAATCACAGAAGTGTTAGATACTTTTCAAGGACAACATTTTACATCCGAGTATAAATATGATGGTGAAAGAGCTCAAGTGCATTTGATGCCAGACGGAACTATGAGAATATATTCACGTAATGGTGAAAATATGACAGAGAGATACCCTGAAATTAACATCCATGATTTCGTTAAGGATAGTGATGAGACTAAGACTCTAATTTTGGATTGTGAAGCTGTTGCATGGGATAAAGAACAAGAAAAGATTTTACCATTCCAGGTGTTAAGCACTAGAAAACGTAAAGGTGTTGACATTAAGGATATCAAAGTCAGAGTATGTCTGTTTGCATTTGACATATTATGTCTCAATGATACTAAGTTAATTAACCATCCATTAAGAGAAAGAAGAGAAATATTACACTCTGTAACCAAGATGGTTCCTGGTGAGTTCCAGTATGCCACAGAACTAACTACTAATAACATAGAAGAGTTACAAAAATTCCTTGACGAATCTGTCAATCATTCTTGTGAAGGCTTGATGGTTAAAATGTTAGACGGTGAAGAATCGCAATATGAACCAAGTAAAAGATCTCGTAATTGGTTGAAATTGAAGAAAGATTATCTAGACGGTGTTGGTGATTCCTTAGATTTATGCGTCCTAGGTGCCTTTTTCGGGAAAGGTAAACGTACAGGTAAATATGGTGGTTTCCTCCTAGGTTGTTATAATCAAGACACAGGAGAGTTCGAAACTGCCTGTAAGATTGGTACTGGGTTTTCAGATGAATTATTGCAACAGTTATACGATAGATTAAGCCCGACAGTAATTGATGGTCCTAAAGCCACATATGTATTTGATGCCAGTGCCGAACCAGATGTATGGTTTGAACCTACAGTGCTATTCGAGGTGTTAACTGCTGATTTATCTCTTTCACCTATCTACAAAGCAGGTAGTGCCACCCAAGATCGTGGTATTTCGTTAAGATTCCCTAGATTTATTCGTTTAAGAGACGATAAAGGAGTTGAAGATGCTACATCTTCAGAACAAGTAATAGAATTCTACGAAAGTCAAACTCATATACAGAATTAAGTACAGCATTATATAACAAAATCCCAAAGCAAAAAAAGTGGGGTACCAGACTTTAATATATATCATATACTAATTATATATACATTTTAATGATATTTGTTTCTCTTCTGTGACAAATATTCACACACAGTTTTTATTCAATTAATCAACTGCCAAGCACCATTTATAAATTGATATCTGGCAACCTTTGTTGCTTTATTTTTATTTACTAAAACGCAAAGGATATTTATTATACGCAGAAAATGGAAACGAAAATGGAAAAAAAAAAATATTTGAAAAAAATAAAGAAGGGGAAAGGTGTAACAAGGAAGGGGAATTAATATTGAGAGGTTAGTTGAGAATTAAATAATCCAGAAAAATTCTGGAAACAAATAGTTATTGAAAACTGGTAAAGTGTGTATTTACTGATTGAATACTAATTTGTCATAACTTTGCCAATTACAATCACAGAAAAAGATTTACTCAGTTACACAAATAGCTAAGGTTACTCCTCGTGTCTGAATACTATAGAATAACAATACAGTTACGGACTCCGAATTTCATTCAGTTATTATCTTAATATCTATTTGATTTCAATTCGCTAAATAAGTGATATCAGAGAGCTATTCTTATTATAATTAACAATGATTGTATCCAGATTATCTTCTATCAATAGTCTTAGGACTATATCACCCTCTATCAGTGGTATTAATTTTAGTCAATCACGTACTATTGTTGGATTTGTGAGAAATGCACTAGGTCTGGAACCTCCTCCAAATCCTGATGAGCCTCAAGTAGGTAATAGATTTTTTCCTTGGGAACAATCTCCATCTGCTGATTTACGTGAAAGGGCTGCTAGAATCAAGAAATTAGCTAAATGTCCTGTGACTGGAAAGGATATTGAATATACTTGTCCAATATCAGGTATCCCAACTCATCACTCTAGGGAAGCTTGGGAAAAGGATGAAAATTATCATAAGAATAAGATCTATGAAAAATTAAAAAAGGTTAATATGTACGAACATGATTTAAGAAGTGGTAGATCTTTCCCAGAATTCAATTTTCCTCATGCTCAGGGGATGGATCGTGCAATCAATTTACAGAACTGGGATTTATATTTTTACACTAGAGGATTTTACTCTATGGATACAGAATTCCAATTGGCTACTGTTACCAAAATGTTAAGTTACCCATTAACGATTGGCTCTATTCTGCATGAATTTTCACCTTACTCCTTATACCCTCGTGGTCCTATAACACTTGAAGGTCTTAAATCTATTGCTGCTCTAAGGTATACTCTGTACCCTCAACAACATAAAACTGCCACTCCAAAGGATAGGCCAACAAGAATCTTTATTCTAGGTGCTCGTGCTGAGAGTCAACTTCCTGGTCACGTTTGGAAACAATTGCAATACTTGTTTCCAACTCAAAGTTTTGATATTCATTTTATTGGTCCGGAATGTATGATAAATCAGGATAAAGTGAATAGCGAAGCTATATCTGTAACTGGTGGGGAATCTGGTACATCATCTCCAGATACCATACCATCTGGTAAGCCATTATCTAAGAAAATCGATGAAACTTTATCGTTAATTTACCATCCTCAATATTTCCATACATTACACGAAGCACAGGAGTTTTTCCCATACGACCCATATAACGATGTTTTCTTTACGTTCCACCCTGGGTATGCCTCTCCTGAAAACCAAGATCTTTGGATGAATAGTACCATGAAGGCACTATTGGACACCAAATGCGCTATCTTTACCACTGGTTTCAACAAATCAGATTTACTAAACGATGTTGAAATTCTACAAAAGAAATACGGTAAGGAACTTGATATGATGATGGAACCAACTAAAAACTTATTTAGCTCTACCAAATGGGAATTAAACGACATGAACCCACAAGAAGTGTATCAATTCAATATGTATATTGCTGGTTACAGAGGTAAGAGATACCATGCTGTCAAATACACTTGAACAGGGTACTGAAGGATTCCAACTGAGGAATGGTACAGTACTAATAAAGAAGAAATGATATTTGTAAAAACTACCTTCATTTACAACATAATTTGAATGTACTACCCTATTGTTTATGTCCCTAATTCTTACATTATGTCTAACTATATATATATATTATTAATATCTTTCATGTAAATAAAGATAAAAGATAAATTTACAAAATAAAACAAAACCACTCACAGTTAAAATGAACAGAGGTTTATTTCTATTGACCCCGTTTTTAAAATTAAATGATGTAAATATTTAAATGCAGAAAATAAGAAAAGGTAAATGAAATTTCAATAGAAGTATATTCTATAGTTTCATAAAATTATTATTACATAATGGCATTATAAAAGAGTAAAAAATCTCTTTGACATTTCTCCCATCTTTGGGGATCAAAAAACACATATGATCCTCTCTCACTAAGACCGTCCTGCGAAACTATAGGTTCCATCATCGGATCTTTGGTCAACCATGCTTTTAATGTTTTGTGATACCTCCAATTACGTTTTCTTAGTTCTAAGTATGTTAGTTCCTGGATGACTGTTCCAGGATGCTTATAAAACAGATAAAACAATGTTTCATCTTGAAATAATGCTACACGTTGTTGATCGGTTTGTACTGAGTCGAATGAAGGTGGTGTAACTTTCGATTGTAAAACGTCAGGAATATCACGAAATGATTCGGGACTGTAAAATGCAGGTTCCACTTCACTTCTAGACGTTTCTGCCCAAGGTGATTGAAATGTATCCAGTACTCTCTGTCTCTTGTCACCTTTTGGAATACCTAGCGAATATGACATGCACGATAAATCTGTACCAATCGTCATGGAATGATCATACTCTTTTGTTTCTTCTGTTTGGTTCAATTCCACCAGGGGAACTAATGCTTTCAAACCGAATTTATCCATGGTTTACGTATATGATAATAGAACTCGAAATGTAATTTGATGTTATTGAGGAATATAAATGTTCGAAAAATAATGTGTGTTTCCTTATACAGATGCCTAATCGATCAGTTGTTATTAAGTCTCAACTTACTTTTATTTCAAACATTGTAGGAAGTTCCCTGTCTTTTTGTTAAATGTATTCACTATTTATTTACGTTACCAATTTTTGTTTCCCGTTTTCCTATCAAAGTGGAGGACAACGCCGTTAAAATAAATTGAAATTTCAAAATTTATTTCAAAGTAATCTTTGTTGGGCAGGATGAGTCGATGATCAAGAAAATACACAGATACATTTAGTTTACTTCAAAGTTGTATAATAATTAATTGATCTACTTTCATTTAACTAGATATTCCCATAGTTTCTATTTGCTAAATAAATAAGTACAGTATCATTTATATATACATACACGCAGAATGGGAGAACTACGCAGACACAAACCCAATCTTCTAATTACGGGCACTCCAGGTTGTGGTAAATCTACCACATGTGAATTATTACAACGTAATCTTCCTGGTTACAAATACTACGATATTTCTAGTTTTGCGAAAGAACATAATTGTTATGACGGTTATGATGAAGGACGTAAGTCACATATTGTCGATGAGGACAAATTACTCGATGAGTTGGAACCTCTATTAGCTGGTGGTGGTAGTATTGTAGATTGGCATGTAAATGATGTGTTCCCAGAGAGATTAATAGACCTGGTGGTGGTATTAAGATGTGATAACTCAACTCTATATGATAGACTAAATAAGAGGGGATACCATGACTCCAAGATTCAAGAAAACTTAGATGCAGAAATTATGGGCGTATTGTTACAAGATGCAATGGAATCATATGAACAAGAAATTGTTGTTGAATTACAAAGTAATAACACCAAGGAGATGGAAGCCAATGTAGATAGGATAACAGCTTGGGAAAATATGTGGTTAGAAGAACACAAGGATGGAGTATCTAGTGAACCGCCAAAACAAGGTCACAAGACAACAACAGATGATAGTGAAGAAGAAGTAGAAGAAGAGGAAAAAAATGAGGAGGAGAAGGATGAAAGTTCAGTCAGTTCATCTGGAGATGAGGAAAATGAATAAACGATTTCATTTGCGAAATCAAATTATCCTATTTACCATACTAAATATAACTCCAAAAAAGGATAGTACATCCATACTTAATAGCACATTTAACAAAAGTAATATGATGTCAATAAATATTTTATATAATATTGTTAATTCAACGTAGCATTATGTCCTTAAAATCATTTTCATCAACGATTAGTTCTCTATTTTATTGATTCATGCCCAGCAAGAAAACCAAACTAAATTGGCCCTTTACGATGAAAATTTTTTCGTTTTCCAAACGCTGATGATTTCGCCGTGATTTGCTGTAAGCGATGCGATGACAGAGGTATGAGCTTGCTAGTCTCAATTGTAACAAGTTGAGGTGAATAGACTGAATACAGCACATTTGTTTTAAAGTACTGATATTTCAATAATACATTATGCAAACTAACCTTCAAATAAAGTAAATAACTTGTTGAAAACGACATCATTCCAGTAAAAAATTGGAGGTCTGTCGATCAGTTCCTAAGAGTTTAGGTTGAGAGTGACACATTTAAAGATCAAACAAAAGAAAAGATAAACTACCTCCTCCCCATCCTTAAACATATATCTATATATTTAATTATCCTTCATTCAATATGCATTATGTGGTTCTGGAACTAGAGGTTGAACATAAAATCGAGACACCTAAAGATCACTCGAGGGTATCTAAGATTTTGTATCAAATAGTCAATGAGAACGGTCTATTATGTGTATTTCCTGAGGAAGGATCAACTGTAGTACCTTCGATAACGATAGATAATGAGGCAAATGCTTTCCAGGATGCCATAAAAGAGCTAGATATCAATATTAATCGCGTGGTAAAAGATGATACTTTTGTGCTGTGTTCATTATTTTCAACTTGGCATATCAGAGTTACTATCCAACGTGAAGCTCGTGATTTGGGTTATCAATTACCTACATATTTAGGCCACCCAGTGATATTTGACCTGAAGAAAGAATATTTAAGATGGATTCAAAATCATAAGAATTTACTAATAAAAGAAGAAGATAATCGTACATCCGAAACCGGTGAGGACGAAGAAATTACCGATAAGGTTGATAAAGAGGATGACGGCGAAAAAGAAGAGAGTGATAACGAAGAAAATAATACCCGTGTTGATACTCAGATCCATGACAGTTCTATCAAGAACTCAGACGAACTAATGTCGCAAATATTGCAAGTAATGGATATCACACACCCAGAAGATTTACCGATGATGGTAAATATAAGCATTAGCACAGAACTTTTAATCAAATTATATGCACAATGTGAGTGCGAAATAGATGAAAAAGGTGTCCTGACACAGCCCTATGATTCTTTGTCAGATTATAATGCATTCCTGGATAGAGAATCAACCACTTTGTATATAAACAATCTACCGCAAGATACTACTCAAAGTGAACTAGAGTCCTGGTTTTCTCAATTTGGTTCTAGACCAATTGGATTTTGGACGATCAAGAAAACTACAAGATCCGATGAGAACACTGGTTCCCAGATGATTTTAAATAACTGCCCATATGTTGAAGAACCTGATAGTATATCAGGATTTATTATTTTTCAAACTAATCAGGAAGCAAAAGAGGCATTACTATTAAATGGCCGATCCGTACTTTCCAATGTAGCTAATATCAAACAACCAAGGGTTGTCGAACATGTTGTAGAGATTGAACCTTCATGTAGTAGCGTGCTGGAAAAGGCTCATGGTGTGTTGGCATCATTCCCACAGAGTAAAAATAAACCAAGGCCTGGTGATTGGACTTGTCCATCATGTGGTTTCTCGAATTTCCAACGTCGGACAGCGTGCTTCCGTTGTACCTTCCCAATTCCGTTGAATCTTGTGGCGACCAAATCACATTATAACATTGAAAAGACGGGTGGAAATAGTAATAATAGCAATAGTAATAATAACAATACCAGTAGTGGGGCAACTACAGCAAACATGAATTCTAATAACTCCAATATAAGATCTAATGGTGCTATGAATCATTACATAAATCATAATGGACAACAACATGGTAGTAATGGATCAAATGTTCCATTCCGTGCAGGTGATTGGAAATGTACTTCATGTCAATATCACAATTTTGCTAAGAACGTAATGTGTTTAAGATGTAATAAACCAAAGATAAGGCAAGCCAATAGAAATGGAATGAATAGTAATGGGGTACGTATGTGGGAAACACATACGAATAATTATTTAAATCAAGAACAAAATCGGTATAGTAATAATTACAATGGGCGTAGTCGTGAGGACACGATGAAATCAGATAAATCACGTTAATTTAGTTCTGTTTTTCTCTTTTTTTTGCCATATAGATATACGTATATATATATAAACAATATTGCTATAGATAATATATATATTTATATAGGGAGAGAAACCATTACTTATGAATAAGAAAGAATGAATTTAATTGCTTAGAATTTCAATACAGTTCTTAGACAAGTACCATTGTGTAAATCTTCAAAACCTTCATTAATTTCATTAAATGGTCTTCTAGCTGTAATAAATTCGTCAACCTTTAATTTCTTTTCTTGGTAGCTCTTAATCAAACCACCCATTTCTGATCTACCTTTGATACCACCAAAAGCAGAACCCTTCCAGACTCTACCGGTGACCAATTGGAATGGTCTAGTTGATATTTCTTTACCTGCATCAGCAACCCCAATGATCACAGATTGACCCCAGCCTTTATGACATGCCTCCAGAGCACTACGCATGACATCAACGTTACCAGTACAATCAAACGTAAAATCTAGACCACCATCAGTCATCTCAACCAATTTATCAACAATAGTTTGACCTTCAGTTAATTTCAAAGGATTAATGAAATCAGTAGCACCAAATTCAAGAGATACAGTTTCTTTGTTATCATTAATATCAACAATTATGATACGAGATGCTCCTCTAGAATGAGCACCTTGTACTACGGAAAGACCCACCGTACCAGCACCAAAGACAGCTACAGTATCACCTTTTTGAACATTAGCAGTCTTAATCGCAGCACCATAGCCTGTAGTGACACCACAACCCAATAGACAAACAGATTCTAATGGAGCAGTTGGATCAATGGCAACGACAGATACCTCTGCAACAACAGTATATTCAGAGAAAGTAGAACAACCCATAAAATGAAATAAGGATTCACCTTTAGAATTATGGAAACGAGAAGTACCATCTGGCATTACACCTTTACCTTGAGTAGCACGAACAGAACCACAAAGGTTAGTCTTACCTGATTTACAGAATTTACAAACGCCACATTCAGCAGTGTACAATGGGATAACATGATCACCGACTTTAACAGAAGAGACACCTTCACCTATAGATTCGACGATACCAGCACCTTCATGACCTAAGACACAAGGAAATAAACCTTCCGCATCCTTACCAGATAGAGTGTAGGCATCGGTATGACAAATGGCGGTATTGACAATCTTAATACGAACCTCGTGAGACTTTGGAGGATCAACGGTGATAGTCTCTACAACTAAAGGAGCATTAGGTTTATAAGAAACAGCAGCTTGACAATTAATAGGCTTTCCAACAGTAGACATTTTGCGTAAGGATGTAATTGAATTTAATGGTACTATACTACGTGTAAATGATCTATGAAATAAACGAATCGATGAATAGTTGAATAATCTCATTATCTTTCTAACTTCTTCAATATCGAAAAACAGATTATTTCTTCAAGTAATTAGGAATATGAAACTATGTTAACATATTAACTAATATCTATTAGCTAATCAACTTAGGAGGAAAGAAGAAAAGATATTCCACGCTTAGGTAAATCCCTGAATTAATCCGTTCAAACGATTGAGAACTACGACCATTTCAGAGCAAATTATCTTATCAGGGGAAAATGTGAGAGCTAGTCAGGGTAATGTATATGTTTCTAGTGGTCTTTTCCTCGTTGGCACGTGACACATAAAACGTATACACGTGACTTCAGCTATATATAGATATATATATATAACAAATTACTATTATGTAGTATTAGTGGTAATCAGGCATTATTAGTTTGTATGACAATACGTTCTATCATATTATATGATAAGAATCGAAGAACGTTGTTATAAACACGTTTTAGTTAAGCGTTGATCCCTCAAAAGGTCGAGGATGTACCGACCCCCCTTAACGCAGAAAAAAGATAAACTATACAAATATAGCAAAACTAATGTATAATCTACGTGATATATATATATATCTCCATACTTATCCAAACATGATCCTGATAATAATCGTAACATATCCATTCAGTAAATTCATTTTCTAGTAGTTCCATGGCATTCACTCGTTTGTTCCGTTCTTGTCGTTCAACGAGAGGTGCGTGAGTTCGAATAACTTTTCTACGGATAAAATACTGAATGAGTTAAAAAAAAGTGAAAGGCACCACCGACAATTGGGGTTCAAAAATTTGGAAAAGCGGAAAGGCGAACTTCGTTTTGCTACTCCCTCCACCCCGGAACTCAAGAATATCTGGCTATGAGGCTGCTATAACGAGATTAAAATGTAATAAAACAAAGATATAACAAGATTAATAGAGTCATACTACTGGGAAGAAGTAGGGCTTTTCGAATAAAGTGATACTATCACTACTCCATTTGTACACGCAAGCGTATATATATACAGAGAGATATACTCATAAATACAACACTGCAATATGTTGCGTTCAGCTAAGAACATTATGAAGGGTTACTCCAATGCCCAGGTGCTAGTGAGAAATGCTACCGCAAACTCAGATGAACAGATCTCTAGGGATAATCTAGATGAAATAAGTCAGTTGACATATTCAAATGCAGAATTTTTTGATATTATGGATATGTTAGACAAGAGAATCAACGATAAAGGGAAATATTGGCGTCATGTCGCTAAATCTATGACGGTGTTGGATTATTTGGTAAGATTTGGTTCAGAAAATTGTGTGCTATGGTGTAAAGAAAACCTTTACATTATTAAGACTTTAAGAGAATTTAGATATGAGGATGAAACGGGTGTTGATAAGGGACAGATCATTAGAGTGAAAGCTAAAGAGTTAACAAGTTTATTAATGGATGATGAAAGATTACAAGAAGAAAGAAGAATGAATAAATCGGGTAGTCGTAGAAACCGTAAAGGCAATTCAAATAATGATAATGGTTATGATGATGATATGAGAAGAGCAATAGAAGCAAGTAAAGGTACTGCCGCAAATGAAGACGCTAGACGTAAACGTGAAGAGGATGAAAGACGTGCTGCTCAACTTTTATTATCAAAGGAGGAGGAGGAATTGAACAGGTTGAAACAATTACAGCAACAGCAACAGCAACAAGCCATGATATTACAACAACAACAACAACAGCAACAGCAACCTATGTACTATGATATCTTTGGGAATCCTATCTCACCTGAAGAATATTTGCAATATCAACAACAACAAGCATTGCTACAACAACAGAATTTGGCCCAACAACAACTTTGGGCTCAGCAACAAGCATATGCACAACAACAACAACAGTTCCAGCAACAGTTCCAACAACAAATTCCATCCACAACTACTGGATCCAATAATCCATTCGGACGTAGTAACTATGATGCTCTGAAGGTTATTAATGATAATAGTACGTCAGCTAACAGTATATCAGGCACAAATTCAGAACCTGTATCTCAACAAAACGTTCAACAAACATTGCCTCAAACTAGAACAGGGAACCAATCTATGTCGGATAAATATAGCGCATTAAATACCTTATTAGCAAGTGGTACAGGTATTGATACATTTGGTAACACCGGTGAACAAAGAATTCCAGCTCAGCATACAAAGACAGGAACATTCATTAATTCCCAAGGGACAGGGTATAAGCAATTTTCCGAGGTAGATATGAATAAACCAAATCCATTTTTAAATTCTCAATATACCGGTTTACCTTCCACCAATATTGCACCATCCTATACAGGTTTTGGCTTTGGTAATCAACATCAAACTAATCCAAATGGAAACAACTTAGTTGACTTATGAACGATATACAAATATATAGATACATGTAAGATAAAATAATAAAGTTTACGGAAAATATTTACTTTAATAATTATTAATTAATAATATTTATATATATATTATACAAATGTTTCATATATCTCATTACATATCCAACATGAGAAGTCCGATTATTTTTTCGAGGTCATCATATTCAAGTACTAACTCTTGATTGTGACCATTAAGTTCATGATTTTCGATGGATCTTAGGGTCGCCTCCTGAACGAATGATTCAAGATATTTGCTGATACCTTCAATGACCTCAGGAGTTACAGTTAGTTGTTTATCCACCAAATAATGTTTAACCAATCGAGAAATCGTCTCTCTGGGTATTGTCGCCTTTTCGTCCATAGCTCTTTCACTTTGTTACTTCTTGATTATATGTTTGTCTGTGTTCTGTTTGTGAAACTCTCTTTTTATTAGTCAAACTACGACACGATCTGATATTAATTATAAAATTTCCCGAACATAACCATTTTAGGCGCGGTCTTTATAAAAATAATGGTCACACATTTATATCAAATATCATATTAAACTTTTATTTACATATCATAATTAATATAAATTGAAATCATTAGTTAATGATATTCTTAGTTATGTAACGTACAGAAATTTATAGTAAAAAAAAAAGGAAAAAAAACTTATAAACAAAACAGTACATCACTTGTGTATATATTTTCCTCATGAATATTCTTTAATATTTTCGAACCATCCCAATGGAATAATTTCATTATTCGTGTCGCAAAAGAAGTGAAAAAAAATACCGGAAAGGATTAATATTGATGACCTGCTTCTGGAGGATAATTACCTTGATTCTGCATTTGCATTTGCATTTGAGGTTGATACTGTTGTGCATGGAATTGTGGTTGGAATTGTTGTGGAGGTATACCCTGTTGTTGTTGCTGTTGCTGTTGCTGTTGCTGTGGATAATGTTGTGGTGGTAATTGGCCGTTGTTAAATTGTGCAAAATGTTGTTGCTGAGGTGGAATAACTATATTGTTATTAGCATTATTGTTGTTGTGGAAGCTTTGTTGCTCTATTGGTACAGGGATTGGGACATTGTCGCTATTTTCTGCCACATACAAGGATTTGTCAATAGTGGCTGGGATTGCAGCAATTTCAGTTCCTAGTTCTTGTTCAATCTTGTATAAATTGAATCTATCATTCCAATTAATTAAGTTGATGGCTAAACCTAGATGGCCAAATCTACCGGATCTACCGATTCTATGTAAATAAGTTTCTGCTGTCTTTGGGAAGTCGAAATTAATGACAACATTAACAGCTTGAATGTCAATACCTCTAGTCAATAAATCTGAACATACCAAAGTTCTAACTTTACCTTGACGGAATTCGTGGAAAACTTTATTTCTTTCTTGTTGTTTCATTCTTGCATGTGAGTAATAACATGAGTAGCCTAAATCAGTAATTTTTTTAGCTAGTAATTCAACTCTATTAGTTGAGTTACAAAAGATAATAGCTTGATTGATTTGTAACTTTGAAAACAATGTATTTAAACAATGTAGTTTCTGTCTTTCTTCAACAAATGCATAGTATTGAGTAATACCTTTTAAGGTCAATTCTTCCATTAAATTGATTTCATATGGTTTATTTAAATGTTTAACCATAAATTCTTTAACTGACAGAGGGAAAGTTGCAGAAAATAATAAAGATTGATGATTTTTTGGTAAAAAGATTAAGATTTGTTCAATAATTGTTTTGAAATCACGAGAAAGCATTTTATCGGCTTCATCCATAACAAACAAAGAACAATTAGATAAATCTGCAATCTTTCTAGAGGCCAAATCCAATATTCTCCCTGGAGTACCAACAAGAACATGGACTGCGTCATTTAATCTTAAGATATCATCTCTTAGATTGGTACCACCTGTAGTGACCATACATGATATATTACAATGTTTCCCCAAAGTTCTTACGACTTGAGAAGTTTGTAAAGCCAATTCTCTTGTTGGAACCATGATCAATGCTTGGATTTTATTAATCTTTGGTTTAATTTGTTCTAAAGTTGGGATCACGAAAGCTGCAGTCTTACCTGTACCATTTTTAGCTCTTGCTAAGATATCTCTACCGGTAATTGCCACAGGGATAGATTCTTCTTGAATTGGGGAAGGTTTTTCAAACCCCGCTTCAAAGATACCCATCAAAAGTTCTCTCTTTAGACCGAAGTCTTCAAAAGTGTTACCTTTCGTACCAAGAACATCCTCAGTTTGAGGTCTAGTATCTCTCTGTGGGATATTTAATTGGGCTTTCCAATCTTCGTTCTCAGTATTAGTTGAAGTCATTTTATTTTAATTCTAGTGATTTTTCGTCGCAATCTTACTTTATGAATTGTGAGAATAGTATTAGTTAATGAATTTATTGAAAAATTCGGAATATTTACTAATACAATATGATATTGATCAAAAGACAAGTTTTTGTTTCAATTAACTTAATTAGAAAGAAAGGGAAAAAAAAAGGGAAAATATATCTATATCAAATATTCAAATTAAGGATTTATTAAAATTAATAAAAAATAAGAATCCTAATGGAAATGATTTTGTATCTTCTTTAATGTAAACGAAAATTAATGGGGTTTCTTGTTTTATGTTCGTCAAAAAAAAAAAGTTGTAAATGGATGTATATCTATTAGTCTTTTTCTTACACAAACAAAACAAAACGATTATAATTAGTATACTTTGTTCTTAAGGTTGTTGATATTACTATTTAAACAAGTATATATATAACTAAGAATATACATTATAAAGAGAGCCTGATTATAAAATATCTTCCCACTTTCCCTAATCCTTTCCAAAATGTATTATAACTAAAAACAAAATTGAGTTGTTAGTTGCCAATTTTTTCCTCCCTCCACGTTGAAAATAGAAATAAAAATTTTCTGCGAGTCGCCGCCATAAAAATTCAGTATGCACAGGTCCACCCGGCTATAAAATATACGGAGAATGAGACGAACCACCATCGCCATTACTGCCGCCATAAAGAGAGAAAGCGCATTGATTGGGAAAAATGAACGAATAAATTTGATAAAACTTTTTTCCATGTGAGAGGGTAACACCCTGTTCGGAAATAAACTTAGAGGTTTGGAATAATGTTTCAGATCTGATTAACGTTTAATGATTAGATAATGATGTTGACAGATATATATTAAAAGGTATGGAATAGGATGAAAAGGGTTGTAATGACTTGACATGGTCGAGATAATTTAAAAGGGGTAGACTTTATTTTCTGGATTTCGTTAATTAGTATCATAATGATGAAAAATAATATGATGAAGACGACGGCGATGACGTCAGAGGAGAAATATGTAAGTGAGAATGAACCAACGAAATTTCAAGGTACTAGTCTGGTTAGAAAGAATCTAAAACATTTGAAATTGGAAGGATCCACTACTGATGAGAAGGAATCTTCGCAAATGATGACAGAATCGGGTGCAAGAACACAAAGTAATAATGATATAAATATATCGGCTATGTCGAATAACTTGAAACTTAATATGAATAGTGGTGGATTATATGCGAAGAGGGGAATAAAGAAGAAATTGACATTGAATTCAAATAATAATTTTAGAGGTGGTAATGGTATGGTTCCAAACAATGTTCCTAATGGTAATGATCATAAAGTTATTATTCAACAGAAGTCAATTAATGATACTTTACAATCGGGAGTTTCATCTTTATCGTTGAATGATAATGGTACAAATCAATCAAGTATACAATCTACTACTTTAAGTTTGCCTGCAAACACCGATAAAAATTCATCTTCTTTAATATCTCATATTATTGCGAGATCGCAACAGCAGCAGCAGCATATTAGATCAAATAATTATAATAATAATAGATCTCCACAAGGTTCTCCGAAATATAATCGTGATAATGTTATTAACAATATTGATAATCGCAGTAGTAATGTTACACACTGTAATGATAATAAAAATAAGAAAATGACACAAGGAAATAATGATGATAGTACACCTTTAAAAACAATGTCAGCTATGCCTAATATTACAAGAACACAAGTTCCTAAACATAGAAAAGCTAGTCAATATCAATTACAAGATTTAGTACAATTAGGAAAAATAGGTTCTGGTAACTCAGGAACTGTATTGAAAGTCTTGCATGTACCAACATCGACGATAATCTCTAAAAAAGTAATTCCAATTGAGAAAAATAATGATATTATTAATAAACAATTATTAAGTGAATTGCAAATTATGAAAAACATTCAACCTCATCCTAACATTATCACTTTCTATGGAGCTTATTTAAAACAATCTGTCAATTATGACATCATTATTTTAATGGAATACATGGATTGTGGTTCGTTGGATAAAATATTACGTGTATTTAAAAATTTTGTCAAGAGAGATCAACAACAAAATCCTCTCTTTAAACCGCGCACAACATGGTTTAATATACCATCGGTAATGTCCAAAATATCATTTGCTGTATTATCAGGTTTAAATTATCTTTATACCTATTATAAGATTATTCATAGGGATATTAAACCATCTAATGTCTTGGTAAATGGAAAAGGTTCTGTCAAGATTTGTGATTTTGGTGTATCAAAAAAATTGATTAATTCTGTAGCAGATACATTTGTCGGCACATCAACCTATATGTCACCAGAGAGAATACAAGGAAATGGTTATTCTGTGAAGGGGGATGTATGGTCATTAGGTTTAATGGTTATTGAATTAATTACAGGTGATTTCCCATTAGGGGGTCATAATGATACCCCTCGTGGGATATTAGATTTATTACAACGAATTGTTAATGAACCAGCTCCAACATTGCCAAATGAGGAGACATTTTCACGTAGTTTAAAGGATTTTGTTGATAGATGTTGTGTAAAAGAGGCTAAAGATAGAGGTTCGATTAATGAATTGCTTCAACATGAATTTATCACTCATTTCAATAATAATATAGATGGTGAATTGAATGAAAAATACGATATTGAGTTTAAAAGATGGTGTAGGAAAATTAAGTATAAGGCTAAAGTTGATAAGCAGATACGACGTGATATGGTAGAGAGGGCTAAGTTTGAAAAATTGAAACTACAACAAGTATCGTAAGAAATATAGTATGTCTTCGTTTTGTTTTGCTTTTTGTATCTTAACGTATTATAATACTAAACTTGTATTGATGTAGTCGCATTTATCTTGTAATTATGATGCCTTCCATTAGTATAATGTGCTTTATATAATATATAATAGACAATTTAGAAGAGAGAATAATATTCCATTGATTAACGATAATAACAATAATGATAATATATATATATATATATATATATATGTACATATGTGTGTGCATATTATTTACAGAAAACAACACGATGCATTATATCATATCTTGTATATGTATATGATCAATGTCTAATTAGACAGTTTCTTTTCTTGGGAGGTTTTCCAAGAACCGTACGTGTCAAAGCTTCTATACACACCATAAGCAATGAGAAACCCACCAAGGCCTCTTATACCATTCCTCCACCAGGCTGGATTCTTTTCGTTGAAATCTTTTAGCAACACCTTTTTATCCTTGACTATCGCTTTACCACTTACTAAATATCCACCTGTACCAAGAAGAAAAATTGAGTTGAAAATATCACAACTCAAACAATCTTCGATTGGTTTTGATTCTTGTTGAGGATTAAAAACATTGGCGATATTACTCATAGTTTCAATTAAACTGATAAGTAGTTTCTGAGATACATTGGATATACCTATATGGATTAGAGACTAGGTGATTATATAATTATTGTTTTTGTTTTTTCGAATAGGACTTCTTATAATGAGCAGTGATAGTGATAATAAATTAACGAATTTTCAAAAAAAGAGATTGGAAAATATAAAGAGAAATAATGAACTCTTACAAAAATTAAATTTGTCAAAATTATCCAATTCAATCAAGCCAAAAGATGTTAAGATTCATGAAAGGAAGAGTAACGGTTCTAAGATCAAGAGTGCCAAGAGAAGGAAGCTCGAAGAATTAAAACCAGAACGATTACCAACAAGAAGATCGCGTAGATTACAAGGTCAAACTGCAGAACCATCACCAGAATTACCTACATCCTTGGATAATATCAGTGTTAAGCCAGAAGTAGAGGATGTTAAGATTCTTGGTGACCTTAAACTTTCTGATTTAGTTAAAGATGAAGAACAAATGAGTAAGATGGCAAATTTGAAAGTGTCTAGTGGTGATTTCTTTAATGAGCTACGTAATGTCCAGACACAATCGTCTGATGTCAAAGAAGAAGTTAAAATATTTGATAAGATGGAAATGTGGCAAGATAAAGTCATCTATGAGAGAATATCTAGTCTTTTTATCCATCCTTCCAAGGAAAAATTTGTTATGATAGCAGGTGATATTTCAGGTAATGTTGGTCTTTGGAATAAAGATATCAGTAAAGAATTGGAACCAGAAGAAGATGAAGATATTTTTCGTTTTCAATTATTTAGTAAAAATGTGAGTAGAATAGATTGTTTCCCAACAAAGATGGAAAAATTGATTCTTGCATCTTATGATGGGTTTATTAGGTCACTTGATTTAAATAACCAAAAGAGTGATGAATTGTTACAAATTAAGGATCCATATGATGATTTTTTGGGTGTCAGTGATTGTCAATTCAGTTATAGTGATCCAAATGTATTATATTTGACTACATTATCGGGGGAATTTGCTTTATGTGATATGAGAGAGGATTTGAAGAAACAATCTTTAAAACTGAAAAGGTTAGCCGACAAGAAAATAGGTTCAATGGCAATCAATCCTAAAAACACTAATCAAATTGCAACAGGTTCTTTGGATAGAACCATGAAATTATGGGATATCAGAAAATTGGTAGATAAGCCAGATTGGTCTCAGTATGAAGATTATCCAAGTCATGATATTGTTGCTACATATGATTCAAGATTGAGCATCTCTGGTGTGTCGTATTCTCCAACGGATGAAACTTTAGTCTGTAATGGATACGATGATACAATCAGATTATTTGATGTTAAAGAGTCTTCTTTAACTGAAGATTTACAACCAAAATTGACTATGAAACATAATTGTCAAACTGGTAGATGGACAAGTATCTTAAAGGCAAGGTTCAAGGCGAACAAGAACATTTTTGCCATTGCAAATATGAGTAGAGCCGTTGATGTGTATACAAGTGAAGGTCAGCAATTAGCTCATATGGCCACCCCTACAGTTCCAGCTGTGATCAGTTGGCATCCAACTCTTGACACCATCGTTGGTGGGAACTCCAGTGGTAAAGTCTTCCTATTCTCCGAACCAGCCATCAAGAAGGAGGAAGAAGTATAGAGGAGACCTGTGAACTATTGTAATGTAAATAAGAGAGAGAGAGTGTGTGTGTGTATAAATATTAAATATTGAAACCATTTAAAAGTCAAATTCTACCCCAACTTTCTCACCATTATGGTTTATGATAAAATTGGTTTATTTTATCTCTACTGGATCAAGTCAACTGCTACCACATCTTATCAGAACCCCATTCAGTTCCGTATAGTTAATGGAACAAACAGAGAGATAGAGGGGCAGAGATCACCGTCGCTTTGTTGTGTTTTTCCGTCGGTCAATTGTTCTGTGCCCAAGTTTCTGTGCTTCTTCGTTTCTTTGTTGTTGTTGTTGTTGTTTGGCCTGTTCTCCCCCTGCCCCCCCCAGAATGAAAATACAAAAATTTATTGTAAACAAAAACAAACAAAGAGAGAGAGAGAAAAAGAGAGATGGTACAAACAAGAGCTAACGTCAATAAATATAAACTAGATCAAAAACGCTACAATTTTAATAATAGGTTTTGGATTTAATTTTAAACGTTGGGAAAAATATAAGTAGTTATTTTGGATATTCGAAGTGCTGTTTATTGTTTTTAAACTAAGAATTCATTGAAGTTAGGAAACCATTTATTATTTGGAGAAGAACATAGGTTAGCAAAATAATTAGAAAGGTAAAAAAACAATTACATTCATAAAAGTATTTCTTTCTCTCTATTTTTCTTTTTTAGGTGCTGTTTTTAAGAAAGAGTTAGAGTAATATGATGTATCAATCTAAGCAACCATTAGGTAGTAATGAGAACAATCAGTCTGTCTTTACTGAGAAATATGAACAATTCCCAGTTGATGAAACCACTATTGATAAAGAGAATATAATACCTTATAATTATCAATCCATTTATAAAGGTTTACATACAAGTAATTCGGCTAATGTATCTGTCAAGAATACATTAATTAACAAACAATTACAAAATTCGACTCAATTTCAACAACATCGATCTGTGTTGAGTGACGTCACATCTCAGGTAAACAATAAATTAAATAGTGTTCCTTCAAATTCAACATTAAAGTCTGATGGAGGTTCGTCACACTCATCATCTTCGACAACTAATTCTGTGGATGTTTGGAGCAATCACAGTTTAAAAGAACAACAAAAATATAATAACAATTTTAAAGAAGTTAGAAATAGTAATTCTCCAATAGTATTAGAAACTAATGAAAATGGGTCTGATCAAAAATATAATCCTCTTTCGACGGAATCGAATGATATTGTTGAAGATGAGGATGAAAATAATCTAGAAGACGAACAACAAACAAATGAATATTCGGCTATCGAATCTGATGATAATAATGATCATATGATAATACCGTTGGAATTAAAATTTACTAATGAAATTAATATGATACTAGATGAAGCTCATAATACATATTACCGTGATACTCTTGATTTAATGGATGAGGATACATATGATGTAGTTATGGTTGCTGAGTTAACAGATGGAATATTTGATTATTTAAGAAAATTGGAGATGGAATATAAACCAAATCCAAATTATATGCATTATCAAAAAGAATTAAGATGGTCATATAGAAGAATCTTATTGGATTGGATAGTTGAAGTTCATAATAGGTTTCAACTATTACCTGAAACATTATATTTAACTGTTAATCTAATTGATAGGTTTTTATCGAAGAAAAGTGTCATGTTAAACAAATTTCAATTAGTCGGTGCGGCAGCTTTATTTATTGCTGCTAAATATGAAGAGATAAATTGTCCATCGTTAAAGGATATTCTATACATGTTAAATGATGCAAATACAAAAGAAGAAATTATTGAAGCAGAAAGATTTATAATTGATTCATTAGAATTCGAAATCGGTTGGCCTGGCCCTATGTCATTTCTACGAAGAATTAGCAAAGCTGATGATTACGAATATGAAATAAGAACATTAGCAAAATATTTATTAGAATCAACCATTATGGATCCTCGTTTAATATCTATCCCTCCGAGTTGGTTGGCTGCCGCTGCATATTTCCTAAGTAAAGTTATCTTAGGTTACAATTCGTGGTCATTGAAACATACTTTTTATGCAGGTTATACACAGGAACAAATTCTACCATTAGCTACGATAATCTTAGAAAATTGTAGAGATGCATCGCATTGCCACAAAGCAATTTTGAAAAAATATTCAAATTCTCGTCAACATAATTCTGCACAATTGGTAGCCAGATGGATAGGCTCTGCAGAGAAAAAAGTTCAACATGATTCATCTAGTACTTATGGTGATGGTGATGATGATGATAAAAATGAAGAAAGTGGAAGTGATCGATTATAGTCAAAGATATTATTCTTAAGAAAATATTATCATATCCATTTAAGTCACACATCATTTCATCAAACCTTATATTCCGTATATCACTCATTATTCATAATAAGCATTGTTCATTTCTCATTTTCCCCCTTTTAGAATTTTCATTCTCACTCACAAAACTCTTGTGTCATTTTTCATTTCTATGTTCAATTAGTCAATTGCATTATACTACTATTATATTGAAATTGTATAATAGTAAACTGTTCTTATATATTAAATATATACACATACATCACAAATTTTTATGACAATTATCATTCTTTTTAAAATTTTTACGCTTTATCTCTTTTTTTGTTTAATTGGAAGAAATACAAGATTATTTTTCATAGTAAAAAAGAATATAAAGGACTGATCAGCGGCTAATTATTTCTATACAATTTCGTTAAGGTTTATTCTTGAAAAGAAACAAAACCATAAACAAGTGTATAGCTACAATGGATACACAACCATCAGATACTAGTTTTGAAGAAGGAATCCTGTTTACTCTTGATGTTCGAGGGAAGAAACTCGGTTGTTCTCTTTTGGATTGCACTGACAAAATTTTAAAAGTGTTGGATCATGATTACCAACTTTCTGTAGCAGGTAATTATATAGAACAAGCAACTGGAGGTATCTCAAATTATAGGTTTGTTGATGAAATAAATAACCTTGTGGAGTCGTTTTTTATTCAGCATAGGCCTACAACCTGTATTATATCTAGTAGAGTGAATCCCGATAATCTGGAGTTTATTGAAAGAGAGTGTCAGAAGTTTAATTGCAAGTTGGAGTTACAACCGAACGAAAATTTTAATATAAAACAAAGCTTGAATTTTGGAGGTTTGAATCTAAATGCAGATGGCGGTTCTCTGTTAAAATTGTTACAAAACAGTGATGAAACTTTAATAGTAACCATATCAACAGTGAATGCCATTTTAAATTATTTATTAAACAATTCTAATGATGAAGATAATATAAATTCATCACGAACTTGGATTAATACATCTAATATGATGCAAAATAATATGATTCAGTATGTAGAGGTCCTTTCTTTATGTGACAGAATGCTTTTAGATTCTGATACCATCGCTGCATTAAATATTATGCCTTCAACTAAATATGGTCAAGATAAAATGATAGAAAATGGAAGCTTCAGTATTTTCCAACTTTTTAATAGAACAAATTCAAGTTTAGCAACAACAATATTAAAAAATTGGTTGCTTTTCCCCTTAACTAAGATCAGCGATATAAAGGCAAGATCGGACATAGTAAAATTATTTCTCCAGCCAACCAACTCAATATTATATGAGGATTTAAAATTAAAGTTGAGAAAGAGTCATAATATGTACAGTGTGTTTAATGCACTTCAAGATGGTAATGCTTCTTATAGAACATGGGCATATTTATATGATTTTTTAACCAAAGGAATTGAAATATTCTATCTCCTCTCCACTTTTTCTTTAGAGAATATTGATTCGTCGAATGCTATATCCCAAATTTTACTCACAACAAATATTAAAGAGATAAGGACTATGAAACTTAAAATTGAATCTATCATCAATATTGAAGAAATGTTGGAAACAAAAAATATAGTCCTAATTCAAGGTCTCGATGTCAACCTTGATAAATATCACCAGGAGTTTCACGATATTGAATTAATATTAGAAGAGACTGCTTTCAAAGAAGAACAAAACGTAAAAAATTATCTCTCCGAAATATGTCACAAAAAAAGCGATATGTCAGGAAGACTGTTAAATATAATATACATTCCTCAGATGGGTTACCTGGCATCTATATCAAAAACTTTCCCTTTCCAAGATGTACTACCAACCAAATTTAAATGGAATTTCTCATTTGAAACATCTACAACGCTCTATTTTACAACACCCTTTACAACGGAATTGGATGAATCTTATGGAGATATTTACTCATTCATTTTAGATCTCAAAGTAGAAATTATTCACGAACTCCAGGACTTTGTTTTAGGTTATAAGAAAGAAGTATTATATTTTCACCGAAAGTTAGCAGAGCTGGATATTTTATCTTCGTTTGCAACAATTGCACAATTATTTTCCTATACGGAACCCTTACTGACAGAAGACAATTGTTGCATAAATATCACCCAAGGTAGACATCCACTATACGAATCAATAGTCCAAACATACATCCCAAATTCTCTAGAATTGATCGGAGGAAAATTTAAAAATATTCGTTGGCAAAATGACGGAAATCAAAGGATTATATTATTGACAGGTGCAAATGGGTCTGGGAAGACCGTATTCTTAACTCAAATAGGAATTATAGTCTATTTGGCTCAGATCGGTAGTTTTGTTCCTGCAAATCATGCCAATATTGGTATTACAGATAGAATATTTACCAGGATCAATTCTAAAGAGAGTTTGGTTGTCAATAGGAGTTCTTTCGAAAGTGACACAATGCAAATGAGCTCCTGCATGTCATTTTGTACTGAAAGATCGTTATTACTTGTTGATGAATTTGGGAAGGGAACCGATTCCATCGATGGGCCAGCTCTATTTGGTTCAATTATTAAATATTTTTCTGAAAGTAACACTTGTCCAAGGGTAGTTGCTTGTACTCATTTTTCAGAATTGTTTCAGAAGGACGTGCTGTCCACAGACATTCCTGGTATCCAATTTTTACAGACTGAAGTATTTATTAGTAATGAGATGCAAGACACAATTGATAAGGATTATGCATTTAGTCCACAGAGCAATAGCAACATATTTTTGTATAGTATAGTTTCTGGCCTATCTACAGACTCTCTTGGAATACTTTGTGCAAAAGTCTGTGGAATGAAAGAAACGATTATTAAGAGAGCCTCTGAACTGAGTAAAATTATGAAGAACGGTGAAAACATTACACAGCAATGCAGTAAACTATTAGATGAAGAAGTTAAGGCATTTGATAAAGATCAAACAATTATCAAAGAATTTCTTGCATGGGATTTAGACCTGGAGTTTACCACTTCCGAATACTACTTACAGAAAAAATTAAGTGCCATATTAAAGGGCCATAAAATTCAAAGAGATACCTTTCAGATACAGTAACCTAAATATTACAATAGTAGTAAACATGCATATTATTATTTTGAGTTATATGGTTTATATAGAGGGCATCAAATTGAGAAATAAAAAACAGGTCAGTCATATACTCGCTATCTCTATAAAATGTAATTATATCTAGTTCTTGAATTTGACAGACCTTATCAAATTCTTCTTAATACCAGTCTTTTCACCTTCATACACACCCGATTGACCACCAGAGTATACGGCACGCACGGACTTAAGTTTCTTTTTAGCTTGTTCGTACTTCTTTCTCTTCTTAACACGAGAGTTTCTGTTGTCCTTCTTTCTCTTTGGTGTAAGACCTTTATTCTTAAGAATTTGATAATTAATGGCACGTTTACCATTTTCTCCAACTGCTTCAATAGCTTCTGCCAATTTACCTTCCCTAGCTGCTATTACAGCAGTTTTATGAGCACCCTTACGATCACTCTTTCTCAGTTCTCTTTCTTTTTGGATTTGTTTGTAATAGTTGATCGTACTGTCATCATTAACAGATTTAGCAACGGCTTCTTCCTGAGAATCATAATCATTGTCATCCAGATTAGCACCATTTTTATCATTTAAACCACGTTTACGAGCCTCTTCCATAAGCCTTTGTTGTCTTTCGAATAATCTTTCCTTGTATGGAATATCTTCGTCACCACCTAATCTATCAGTTTTTTTGTTTGATTGTTGATCAATCTTGGAGGTATAGAAACGTAACGTCCTTCTACGATTCTTCTTCTCTTGGGCATCAACTTCATTCATTTCAGATTCTAAGAAATCATCTGCTTTTTCTTCACTTGTTTTATTTGAATTATTTTTATCCTTGGGAATACGAGATTGGATAACGTATTCTTCGAAATCGTCTAGATCAGCTTCATCCTCACTATCTTCATCGTTAGCACCGTCTTCAGAACCTGAAATAATACCGTGTTCAACATCATCTTGAGCGACTGGAATATTACTTAGCATATCTTGGTCTAGTTCTTCAATATTGTCATCATCTATGGATTTATAGTCTGAATCTACTTGTTCCGTTTGATCCAGATCATCACTATCCGGTAATTCATCTGCTTGTCTCCAAACTTCCTTTGATGTCAGGATAGCCTCCATTACAGGATGATCCCTCATTGATACGAAGTCTTCATTTGTTTTCAACTCATGGAATAAAACACCGAAATACGAAGCAATGGTTGCAAGATATGAGGACAATGCGAAGAATTTTAATTTGTTTGATTCTGAATTTTGTTCTGATTTCATGGTGCTCAATAAATCGGATAACAGTGTCAATTCTTTAGAAAGAGGAATATATTCAGGGAACATGGTTTTTATATATTCAGCTTTAGCCTCGGAATCCATAGAAGCTATATCCTTAGTAGATACATTATTGTTCGTCTGTTTTATAGAACTTTGAAATTCAGAAATATCAAATTCTTTAGCATCTTTTGTCCATTCTTCGTCCAATTCGTCGTCTAAATAATCATCCATATTAAGAGCTTGAAGATGTTTCTTTTGTTGACGAAGAGCTTCTTTTTCAATCTCTTTTGCATCCTCGTCATCCTCCATTTCGTCTGCACCATAGTATTCATTCTTAGTTGTACCCCATGCATGCTCATTATCTAGCATTGCTGTTGCTTCATCTTCAACATTAGGTTCAGAAACATCCAGTTTTCTACCAAAAACTTGTCTATATGCCTTCTCACCATCCAGCTCTTCTTCTTCTTCTTCTTCTTCTTCTTCTTCTTCTTCTTCATCGTCGTTAGAGTCATCGGTCATAGACATAACTTCCTCTTCATCATCTTCTGCATCATCATCACTTGCACCATATCTTCTTCTATTCTTCAAAGAGGAGTTATCCAAAAGAACTTGTTCTTTCTTAGCAGCAAAGTCGTCGACTTCATTTAAACCGTACTCATCGGTATCTCTAGATGACATATCTTGGGAATTATAAACTTGTCGTGAGTTCTGCTAGACGTAATCACTGTATTGTCTACGATTTCTCCTTATGTCTCAATATATAACTAATTATAACAATTATAACGAAAATGAGATGAGATGAGATGAGCTTATATTCTTTTCACTGTTACCGTTTCTTAACTGCATCGATAATTTTTGGTTAATAAATTTCAGTGCTGACCAGAGAATAAATTTTTCATCGGAGCGGGAACAAACGAAAAATTTTCGGTTTGAGATCAATCCTGTGCCGTTCATTTTTTTGTAAATTTCTTATTATGGGAAGGAACCAATATGGGAAATCAATAACAGATGAGAAAGATCAACCTCATCTTAAAAGTTGATGAGGTTGATGATGATTATTATAATGGGAATATGAAAGACGCTTGGAATCGTTGAATTCGTAAGGAGGTGAGTGTGTTAAGGATACAGATAGATAAGGCAGTACAAGGAGAAATATGAGTTCAGGTCGTTTACCATCATTGAGAGATTCTGCTGGAGGGAAGAGTGGTTTAAAGTTCAAGCCAAAAGCTGTTGCCAGAAGATCGAAAGAAGAAAGAGACGCATCGGCATTAAAGATTCAGAAGGATGAGGATTTGAAATCTAAGGTGGACCAAAAGAAATCTAAGAAACCAATGCCGATGGGTCAAAAGAATAGAGTCCCTAGGTATCTGAACAATACACATGTGATCTCAACTGGCCCATTGGCAGCTGGTAATTTCACTGACGGTGGTAGAACTGATACGAGACGTGGGATAGTTAAAGTAGAAGGTGGTGATAAATCGTTGGTGAGAAAGGGGTTGCAAAGCATAGAGAACCATACTGGTGATTCAGATGATGATTATGATTCAGATACAAAAGAAAAATTAAATATTATTGAAAATGGTGAATCTGAAGATAATGTCAACCAAGCTAAATTTAATATGGGTAGAGAATATACTACTGCCAATTTTAAACAAGATGATAGTGATATTGAAGAAGAAGAACTGGATATGGAAGACGATGCAGTTCAAAGAAGAAGAATAGAAGAATTATTCCCCGTGAGACCGCTTCGTATCAGACATGAAGATGTTGATGTAGTAGAACAAAAGATTGATGAATCTATAACTGAAAGTACCACACGTGAACCTACACCTGCTGTAGGTATTTTGAAGTCAGAAGAATCTGCGTCTCTACATGATGTTTTGAAAAATAAAGAAGTAGAATTGCAAAATGAATTAGAGAACCTACAAATTGATCCAGATTCACATGCCATTGATGAAGAAGAAATTAAACATGAACAAGCTATGTTAATAAAGGATCATATCAGTATATTAAAGAAACTGGATAAGCTAAGTAAAAAGAATGATAGATTTTTGCTATTTCAAATGCCTTATAAATTACCAACGTTCAACGAAGTTACAACAAAGAAAGAAGATGCAGATGTTACTATGGATGTTGATCCTGCAAATAATGAGAGTGTATCTGAAAAGATAACAGAAGAAAACGTAGAAGCAAATAAAAAACCAAAGAAGAAGACTAAAAAGACAACTAAAAAGAAAGATCATGTTCCACAGGAAGAATTGACAGGTAATGTTGGTGCGATCAGAATTCATAAATCTGGTAAAATATCCATTAGAATTGGTAATGCCATTATGGAAACCAGTAAGGCTTCGGAAGCTACTTTCTTACAAGATGTCATTGCATTAAATGAAGATCCAGATGCACCGGGTGTTGAATTGCTCGGAAGGGTAGAAGGGAAGGTCATGGTAACCCCTTCGTTTGACGTATGAAAATAAGAACAGAATATACATAACGACATATCTATGCAGAACTATATGTAATAAAGCACGCATTTCTATTGTACATTATTTTAATATACAACACATATAAAGTTATGTTATCCAATATTTCCAGAAATAAAGCGTACCTCGACCTCGACCTCGTCCGTCACTCTTCATCTTCATATACTGCATATTTTGTCTTTGTACAATAAGTTCATTTTATTCCTTTATGTATTTGTTTGTCACCGCAACAAAATCATTAAAGTTGTCCATTGTGCGCTTAAACATGAGGAGTTTTCATCGAAGGAAACCTTAAGGGGACCGCATCTTGAATGCACATATAGTATATAGATATACAAGATTTGGTAGTATCGAAGAGATGTTGACACAACTATCGTATATCTGATCACATAGAGAATATAGGTATTATATATTATATTAGATCATAAGAAATATATATATGAATATATAATAATGAGTCAAAATGAAAATTATAATTCACAAACTCCAGGACAGAATGCCTTTCTATCTAGAATATTTGGATTACAATCTGGCGATGTTACACACTCTATACAAGATGAAGAAATGAACATGTATCCTTTGACTGGAGACATACCCATTGGTAGTACAAGTAGTGGTAGGCCTCATTTAAGTGACGAAGAACAACGAATTCCTGAATCTGACCAGGAATCAAGTTCACAGGATGAAGATAATGCCAAGTATGAATCATCTTCAATAGCAGAACCTACCGATATGAGTGATGTGAATTTAGCCTCTTCATATTTACCAAATCATGATAATATAAATGCTAGTACGAGGGTTGAATCGATACAGAAGATAGGGCAACTATCTTCGGATGAGGAAGTATCTGAAAACTCAAGAGCGTTTGATAATGAGAGTGCAGACGAGGATATGCCCTTATTCAATATACCAAAAGATGAACAATCTAATAAGAAAATTTCTCAATTAGAAGATAATAAAGATCAGAACACTTTGGATACTTTGAATACTAATCACACATCAGTTAACGACACAAATAAAGGTATTCCATTCTCTTATAAGGTGTCGTCCAAATCTGATAAACGAAGTAGGTTCAAGCCTAGTATCTTTCAAATGAAATCCAAAAAGAATGGTGTTAATATGATGAAAAGTTTTTTGGTAGATGATAATGATAGAAAAAAAAGAAATACAACTAGAAGGCCTACAATATTTCCAAACATATCCATGTTAAACAAAAAAAGTCTTTATAGAGTAGATAATCTAAGTCCCACAGAAGCAGCTCTTTGGAAATGGGCTAATGTTGAAAACTTAGATGTTTTCCTACAGGACGTCTATAATTATTACTTAGAAAATGGATTTACTTGTATATTTCTTCAAAAAATATTGAATTTGTTAACTCTTTTATTTGTGGTGTGGGTGTCCACATACCTTGGTTATTGTATTGATTATAATGGGTTGTCTGGTTCACAGAAGCTTAGTGACGTTATTGTATCGCAGTGCTACAAAACACGAATTACTGGGTTTGTAAAGTTTCTTTTATGGATATTTTATGGGTTTGTTGTTCTAAAAGTATTCCAATTATACTTTGATTTTAAGAAACTGAAAGAAATGCGTAATTTTTACACATATCTATTAGATATATCTGATGATGAGTTGCAAACAATTCCATGGCAGAGTGTTATAAAACAATTAGTATTCCTTAAAGATCAAAATGCATTAACGGCAAATGTCGTAGAAGTAAAGGCAAAGAACAGGATTGATGCACACGAAGTAGCTAATAGAATAATGAGGAAAGAAAATTACTTAATTGCTTTATTTAACAGCGATGTACTGAATTTTTCTTTACCGTATCTTCCATTTGATACAGGTGCTTTAACAAAGACCTTGGAATGGAATATCAATCTTTGTGTGATTGGGTTTGCATTTAATGATGCTGGATTCATTAAGCAAGGTTTCCTCAAGCCTTCGCAGAGAGATTATATGGTAGAAGAATTACAAAAGAGGTTTATGCTTGCAGGGTTCTTGAATATCTTACTTTCACCCTTTTTGGTGGCATATTTCGTCCTGCTGTATTTCTTTAGGTACTTCAACGAATATAAAAACTCACCTGGTTCCATGGGGACCCGCCAATATACGCCAATGGCTGAATGGAAATTCAGAGAGTATAATGAATTGTATCATCTCTTTAAGAAAAGGCTGGGCTTGAGTAGGAAATTAAGTAACAAATACGTCGAACAATTTCCTAGAGAAAAGACTAACATAATTATGAAATTCATAGCATTTATTTCTGGTTCCTTTGCCGCAATACTGGCTTTATTGACTATATTTGATTCCGAAAACTTTCTAAATTTTGAAATTACTAAGGATAGAACTGTAATTTTCTATATAACCATTCTTGGTACTATATGGTCAGTTTCAAATAGCGCCGTATCGAACGAATACAACGTATTTGATCCTGAGGAAACATTAATGGAGTTAGCTCAATATACACATTATAATCCTGATGATTGGAAAGACAGATATCATACCGAGTATGTGAAACAAGAGTTTTGCAATCTCTATTCTTTGCGGATTCTGATTTTATTAGGAGAATTGACAAGTATGATATTGACACCCTTTATTCTTTGGTTTGCATTACCACAATCAGCAGAAAAAATTGTGGATTTTTTTAGGGAATCATCAGTTTATATTGATGGTTTAGGTTATGTTAGCAAATATGCAATGTTTGGAGTCCAGGGTCGAGATAATATTGACTTTCAAACGAAAAGCACTAAATTTAAAGGACAAAACTTGGGAAAAGGTGATATTTCAAATTCTTTGCATTCACTTTCTGATGAAGATGAAGTTAATGCACCTGCACTCAATAAAATGATGCAATCTTACATGTATTTTATCGACGATTACGAAAATGTAGAAAACATTACTGGTAAATACCAGCTTCCGAACAAAAGGGTGGGAAAGAATATTCCAAAGAATATTCCAAATGACGATTATTCTTGGAAGAAGCAATTCAAACCTGGACAAAATCCAGAATTATTTACCATAAGTAGAAACACACATCCATTGGGCACGCAGCAATCACGTAAATTTGCTAAAATGAGGGATAATTCAGACACAATTGACTCGACTCTGGATTCTTTCATAATACCTGGGAATCCAAATGATCAAAATAATAATGTAGAAATGGATAAATCAACTGGAGTTTTCAAATTGGTAAAAGATTATTACAAGAAGTCGGATATTGGAAGATAATTCGAGATGGAAGAGATTTTCTCTGTACCATCCAGGATTTTTGCTATAGCTTCATTCCAACAAATTGCTATGAAGAAACTCATAAAATACAAATATATATATATCATTTTCTGCTAAATAAAACTAAAATATTTTAAAGTAAATTCATTACACCGGAAAAATTGTGGTATTTGTTCATATCGTTTATCAAAAATTTGTTAATGAGGATGTTCCAATGTTAAATTTGAAATCTAATCAATCTTATTATGCATTCAACATGTACGATTCTATTCTTTAAAAATTGCTATTTTGTTTATATTAAATAAAGTACAAAAATCTATGTGTGAATGAATGTTTATTAAATGCATATGATGGATCATCCTATTTTTTACCAGAGCGTAGCTTTCTCTCTCTTTCGTATTTGTTCTTTTCGGCACCCTCTTCGGTACTAATAGTATTGTAAATATGGGCCATCTTTGCGTGGTACTGTTCCGCATCCTTCTTCTTTTCATCAATTCTTTGTCTTGCCTCGAACCTAGTATCCTTACGTAGTTCCTTCATAGTAAACTTACGCTCCTTCTTTAGTTGAGCTTTCATCTTATTAATCTCGTTTCTTCTCACATCTGGATCATAAGATTTCTTATTAGGGTTGAAGTTTTCTTCAAATTTAGGTGCATGTGATGGGATAGCCATTGGTTTATGATTTTGCATTGTAAGTGGTACATGCTCATTGAATTTCATCAATCTCTCGATTTTCTCTATCAATTGAGATGTTATATTCAGACTCGGGAACCTTGTTAAAAGACTTTGTAGAACATTTTTAATCGGTATACAAATCTCAGGGAATGCAGATAGCTCTTTCCAGATAGTTGAAATTGCAGTTTCTAAGGAATTTAGCAAATTCAATATTAATGTTTTTTGAAATTTTGTATCTTTAGTATCATTGCCATGAGAGATAATGTGTAGTTTTAAGATATGTTTGTCATCTTTGGAAAATGTCAACCCATTTTCTATTTTCATCGTTTTCGAATCCAGACAGGCTGACAAAGATTTCTCGAAGAAGTATAATAGTTCAGGTACAAAACGTTTAGAAATTCTTTGATATTTCAAAGATATTTGAGCAAGAATAGCACCATAAGCTACTTTATCAACAGTGTTGTACTTCATTTGCTCTAGGATTTCGCTAATAAGTAAAGCACTTGGAGTTGCAACTAAATGATACATATCCGAAGTTGAAAATATCGTACCAGTTATTATGAAAAAGATCAAGTCACTATTAGATAAACCTGCAAAATGATGTAGTTTAAATCTTTCTTGAATTTCAATTAAGATATTTCTAGCTTCTTCGGAGAGACTTTGGTTGTATTTTTCAGATAAAGTTTTTAAGATTGCAACCAACGAATTAGTGACAGCTTCAAAATCCTTGATAAAAGAAGAATAGTCCTGTCCAGCGATAAACATTATGTGTCTCAGCAAAATTCCGGTCAGTTTACCAAGTCTTTCTTTATTACCTTCAGCTAGTTTTGGTTGATACAATTTGATTATTTTCTTAATTACAATAGGATGTTCCTTGAAGGAGTATGATTCCAACACGTTTAATAATTCGTCATGTGTTGTTGGACAATTGAAGGATTGAACTTTTTTTGTAATTCTATCATTTTCATCTGCATCAGTTTCATTCTTATCAGTATCAAAATTAACATCATCATCTGAATTAGCTAGTTCATCTTCCATATTTTCATTTTCATCGTCATTTGACCAGAAACCATCATCTAAATCCTCGACACCGTGTTCTTCACCATCTTCATTTTCAACCATACCTTTCATACGGTCCAATCTTTGTTGTTCTAATTTCTTCTTTTTCTCCTCTGCCTCATTCTTCAATTCTTCTTCTGTCTTAGTTCTATCTGAAGGTACTGCTCTTTGATCAGAATTCAATTCTCTAAACTTAGTATCATATTCTATATCAATATTACTCTTTGGTTGAATAGACTTTGGCTTGGTTTGAGTAGGCATTAAGGCTGACATAATGTCATCGAAATTCTCATCTAAGTCATCAATCTTGTCCTCTAAAGCAGCTTGAGTTTTTTGTCTCTCTTGTTTGTAATGCTTAGACTTGGCGATAACTTCCTTCATGACTTCAGTTTTGGTCTTCTTTCTAGCAGGTCCTGATTGACCTAACGCACTGCCATCGGCCGAATCATCATATAAACCAGCTCTTTTGTTTAATGGAAGGCCATTATCTTCATCCAAAAAGCCAGTCTCAGTAGCCAATGCAACACCACCATGGGTCAACGTGATATCGAAAGGATTTATGTCATCATCATCACCATAGACGTTCTCATCATCTTCTAAATTATATAAATTTTGTTTTTTCTTAGACTGGCTTTGTCTTTCTCTAGTGAAACGTTCCAACATCTTTTCTTCTTCGGTCAGATTCTTATCTCTTTCACCAAAACGTCTATCCACTAAACCACCACGTTTATTTTGAATTAATTTTCTTGCTTCATACGATTGTTTTCTTTGTTCCTCACCAATCTGTTTAGAAATACCTGGTTTCCCAACAGCCACTCTATTAGAAGTATTATTCTTATCTTTGGATTTCTCATTTCTTTTATCTCTGGTAGCCTTAACCTCAAATGGGTTAAATTGTTCTCTGATCTTGTTGATAACTCTGACTTTCTCCTCACGGTCATATTCTGTAGCCTTTCTTTTAGTATTCTTTTTATTCTTTTTAATATTAGCTTGACCTGTTAGGCCATGCTCTTTTAAAGTAGCTTTCAGTTTCTTCAGTTGTGAACCAGCCATCGTAAATATACTGTACTGAAAGTAGTCTTTATTTTATTTATATCTATATATAATTTTAAAAGATCAAGAACTAGAGATGCAACAAATTATATAACGATAATTAGTATTTAAACCAAATCATATTTGATAATGTTACGACAAGTTGCTATTCAAAGTTCGTTCCAAGCTCAATAGATGAGATGAGATGAGATGCCGTTCTGGGTTCACAGAAATTACTTTAAAATTTTTCAACTTTGAGAAAAAGAGGGCTACAAACTAGGGCATCTCGTCTAAGATGATAATATGGCAAGGAAAACTCAAGCGGATTAGGGTTTATCAAAAATGAATTGCCAGAGACCGAGAGAGTGATACTTGAATTATACCATAAAGGCTTTCTTTGGGTGGCAAAATTTAGGAAACTGATATAAGTTATAAAGGAAAACATTAGTGAATTATCTAGTTTATAGGTTTAAAAACAACAACGAAGTCGTTATATTTGCTGATCTACACAGACGTGCACTTTAATAGAGCAAAAAGTTATTTTTACGATTACTATGTCAAGAGACGCACCAGCTAAAGCAGAGAAGGATTACTCTGAGATTTTGAAACAAGAGTTTCCTAAGATTGACTCTCTTGCTTTGAATGATTATGTTGCTGCATTAGAACAGTTATCTGTATGGGAAAAGAAAGTTAGGCAAGCTGCAGATTTATCCTCTTCAAAGGAAGTTCTAGCGAAGATTGTTGATGTGTTAGCCACCAAGGGAAGATGGGATGAATTAGATGAACAATTGGTCCTTTTATCTAAGAAACATGGTCAATTGAAACTTTCTATTCAATATATGGTTCAAAAGATTATGGAATATCTAAAATCTGACACTAAAATGGAATTAGATATAAGAATTAAAGCAATTGAGACTATAAGAACCGTCACCGAAAATAAAATTTTTGTAGAAGTAGAGAGAGCTAGAGTCACAAAGGAATTGTGTCAAATAAAAGTAGATCAAAAGAAATTAAAGGAAGCTTGTGAAATCCTGTGTGAATTACAAGTTGAAACTTACGGTTCAATGGATATGTATGAGAAGATAGAATTTATATTGGAACAAATGGAATTATGTATATTGACTAATGATTTCTCTCAAGCAACCGTCTTATCGAGAAAGATATTAAAGAAGACTTTGAATAATCCAAAATACGAAACTTTGAAATTATCATACTATGAATTGTTGATTAAGATTGGTTTACATAAGAAAGAATATTTAGACATTGCCCAATATTATCAAGAGGTTTATAATACTAATTCTGTGCAAAAGGAAGAATCTAAATGGAAGTATGCTTTAGCTCATATCATTTATTTCTTAGTTTTAGCACCATATGGTAATCTACAAAATGATCTAGTTCATAAAATACAACAGGATAATAATTTAAAGAAATTAGAAGCCCAAGAGTCTCTAATCCAATTGTTTACTACACAAGAGTTGATGAGATGGCCGATAGTGAAAAAGACATATGAGCCTGTTCTAACTAAGGACGATGTGGTATTCACAGAGGAACATCCTGACCACTGGGAAGAATTACAGAAGAGAGTCATCGAACATAACTTGAGAGTTATATCGGAATACTACTCTAGAATTACACTTGCTAGATTAAATGAATTATTAGATTTATCTGAGTCACAAACTGAGACCTATATTAGTAATCTTGTTAATCAAGGTATCATATACGCTAAAGTGAATAGGCCTGCTAAGATTGTTAATTTCCAAAGACCAAAAGAGTCCAGCGAATTATTAAACGACTGGTCTAGAAATATCGATGAATTACTTGAGAATATTGAAACTATTGGTCATTTAATAACCAAAGAAGAAATTATGCACGGTCTAAAGGCTAAATAAATAAAGAATTTAGGTATGTCTGTATGTATATATTAAAGTATTTTTTATTGTCATGTATAAGTAGCTCTCGGTTATTGTTGTTGTACTACATTCTCATAAAGAGGATAAACTTTTGTAATTTACTTTACTAACGAAATATCTAAGAATAACTGCAATAGGGAATTTAGAAGTGTTTTTTCACTCATTCACAACTTCTATTGAGGTGTTTATTAAAACATTGGGAGTTTAAAGTAGTTGCATTGCTCATCCTTCCTTGTTTTTGTTTTCTTTATTTATAACCTCTGGTTTTTTGCTTTTCTAGTTTGTTGCACGGAGATACACTGCCAAAAAATTATCTTCGTTAATGAAATCATTATATCCTATTTTAGCTTGTCTTTTCTATTTTGGCATGAAACTAAACTGTAAGCATTCTGACGTCGCATGATAAACAGATAAAGTTTAACTCAAAGGGTTCTCGACGTCCAAATAAACGTACAACTGAAACACTTTTCAAAGTTTTATAAATCACTAAGTTCATTTCTGGGACATTTAATTCTTGGACTATCCAGACTAGTCATACAGCATTGCTCCCTGAAAGCTTGCTCTTACATCTTTCCCTTATTTATTCGTTGTTAGAGTTTTTTTTACAAAATTGCACTACTCTTTTCATTATCCCATATAGTTAAATACATATTCGTTTAAAACCAAGCTGGAATGATTTTAGATCCTGCTACTCCTAAAGTAAACGAATATTCAAATGAGGAGAGCGCAGAGTTTTGGAAGTGCATGGATGAGATTCTTCAATTGGATAATGAGAAATATAATGCTGATAGACCAGCAGTCATTAATTCGAACTTAGTGAAATACTTAAAATTTGCTACAGATTCTTATAAAGAATACATTAATACAGATAGAGACCTTTATAGAATGGCATTAACGCTAGTGGAGTCTCTCGTATTTTCTGATAATATAAAATTTTGTTTAAGCAAACTGTTATCATTATTAAACATCGATCTCCTAGATATGAGTATGAAATTTTTCATATCTTACATATTATTATTTGAAGCAAAAAGAAATCTGTATTCTTTAGACATGATGATAGAATATCAAGGGTTTGCTGTCTTTTACAATACTCTTTACACACAATTTGCTTATTTAGAAAAGTATAGTTTAGAGAATAGCTATCCACGTCATAAAGATAATAAAGAAGGAGAATTGACCGATTTAGATTTCAAAATTATTGATGAGATGAAACAAATATCCACAGTTTTGATGGATTTATTGTATCAAATCTTTAAATATTGTAAAAGTACAATATCAGATATTCAAATAGTGGACGATTTCTTCGTTCATTTTCTAATGCATTCTGTAAGATCAGATACAACATCGGATTTATTCAGTACTTCCGAATTTAAAGTACTGTTAGCATTAAATGAGCAATATATTATGTTTGCAAAGGACTATAAGATTGAAAATAAAGTTTTTAAATACGTTCTGAATGAATCGGTATCCAAATCTTTCGTTGAGTTGTTATTACTGAAATTTAATAGATCATCAGACTCATCTTTACAAATAATGATGTGTAAAATCATATATTTGGTCCTTACTACTACAAAGGATAATATTGCAATGAATTTTTTCTACATGAATGATTTAAATGTATTCGTTGATGTTTTACTTAGAGAATTACAAAATATATCAGAAAATCAAGAAAGTTTACGAAATACTTTTCTACGTGTGCTGCTTCCACTTATCAAAAATACAGAATTATCAAAGACGCACTATAGGAAGGATGATTTAACTGAATTATTACAATATCTTTCGAATTATGACAGTTTTTGTACTAGTGACGATATCAGTGACGAACAAAAAATTACTGTGAAATTAGTATTTAAGATATTAAATGAAGTTGAGTGGTTACAACCTTTACCTCAAAGTGATAGTGACCCTAGTGTCACCAGTAGGTCATCTAGTATTAGTATCAATGGTATGACATTTATCAACAATAACGAAAGAGAAAAGGGATTATATAACGTTTCAACAAATGATAGTATCATATCTATTGAATCTTTAGGTAAAAGAAAATCGAGGCCTCCACCTCCATTACCTCCGACAAGGAAGAGCGTGGCACCAAATCGTGCTAATGTTAATGATTATCTGATGGGTATTCGTTCTGTAGAATGAATTTAATGTTGATGTTTTAATGAATAATATATATGGATTTAATTTAATTGTCTCGAAAGCACATTTTCAAAAATTATATACACAAGCTTAAAAGCAATTATATAAATTAATAAATGAAAAGTAATCATTTCTGGTAAATTAAACTTCTTCTACCAACGTAACATTGCATGGTGAACAAGAATTTTGTAATATAAGTGCTAATATCTAGTAATAAAATTCTCATTTGCACCTTCCGTAGAAGGCTTTAATGGCCAATTTTTAAAACCGTTTTTGAGAGGTTTCTTTATTAAGGAATCAGTTAGATTTTTATTATCTGGCCAAACAATATCATCTTCTTTAATATTTGCTGACTGGAGGATTTTTTTCATTCTATCACAATCTCCATTCACTTTTGCCACTAAATATGATAGGCCATAACACCCTAACATATTTAATGAATTTATCCTTGTCATTGGAGAATCATAATATATAGAATATTGGAATAAGCATCTTGGATCATTTTTCGCATATGCATAGCTTTCTAGTTCTTTTGACTTTGACTTTGACCCACACAATAGATACAAAAAGGATAACTTTTCTAAATCTCCTTGCCTCCTCAAACATGTTTCCGTGAGCTCAGTATTCCCTTGTATTATTGCATGGCTCGTTAATTTCGACCATAATTCTTTTTTATCCAATGTCACAGCCATATCATGTGCTACTTGAAGATTGTTCGATTTTAGTGCCAAATTGAATTTTAAGTCGCTATCATCGGTAAAATTGATGGCTACGTTAGAGAATCCAGCTTCACTGGTATCTGCCACGATTTTTTTGCCCACCAACCTAGAATTTTCTGCAGTATCCATAATACAGGCGATATCATTATTATATAGGGATTTTTTGTAGTAACATTCTGTTAAATCAATCTCAATTTCACTGAAAAAATCTGTTCCATCCATATATAAAACATTATTACCATTTACTTCTATGACGTAGAATGTACCATTTATGGTTTTAATGATACCAGTTTCGGCATTCAATAACATGAACAATAAATGCGATTGTGTTGAAAATACTAAAATATTATCTTCGTTCCATGCAAAGCTTTTTATTTTGGTCTTTACTTCAGTTGATGAGATTAATTTAAGATTGGTGTCAAAGATTGAAATGCTGTATTTATTTCGAATAGCAAAGTATTTATTATTCTTCGATAATATTACTTCTTTTGCACATTCGAGATCCAAATTCATTTTTATTTGTTTGGATGTCAGGTTATAGAGACAGATACCTGAATCATAGAGTAAAAATAAATCCCTATTGAAAACAAATATATTTTTGAGAGTGTCATCCCCATTTACTTTAATTAGTGCTAACTGCTTATCGTGGATGGAGTAAAGATATATTTGGTTCTTAATCTCATCATAAACAACATAACTATCGTTATTAACAAATTTTGCCATTGTCCCAGTTCCAGAAATAATTATATTTGGTTCAATTCCACTATACGTATTTTCTGGCAACCTTATCTTAAAGTATATGTTTTTAGTATTATTAACTAAAATTGTATGGTGTAAAGTATTGTATGATATACCGTTAAATGATGATCCTTCCTCACATAACGATTTTAATGATGCATACGGTAATGTCATACCATATGTTGCACCATACTTTCCAGCCCGAAATTCAACCTGTTTTGATGAATTTAGTAGAAGGATTTTCTCTTGATCGATAGAGAAAACTTTTCTATCTTTATTAATCTTAAAAATTACTACACCAGAATCAGTAGTAGCACTTAATAAATTGCGGTTTAAAATTGTTGAAAGATGCCAGAACCTTTTATTGTTCTTACCATACTTCTTAATTGTGTTATGTGTAGTTAAACTAAATACTAGAAATGATCTGTCCTTACTTGTTGATATTATGTACTTTTCTAAAGGGTGGAACACCACTGAAGTTACTGGTCCAGTGTGGCCCGTATATCTATTTGCTAAAGATATTTTAGTGCTGGTGTACTTCCATGTTAAAACCTCATTGTCATCGCTGCATGTCACGATTAAATTTTGGCTAGGATGAAAACTTGCCCAATTAACACATTTTTTATGTTCATCCATTGTAAATTTTGGAGGTATATCACTAAATATATTTTCTTTCAGAATATTCTTAACAGGTACTGTAAGGTTTCCCTGATGATTATTGTAAAACGGATTAGATTGTTGTTTTTGTAATTTTGAAATATCCCAAACACAAGCAGTGCTGTCCAATGAGGCAGATACGACAAGATAATCCCTTGGATGAAAGTTTGCACACATAACATAATCAGAATGTCCGAGTAGGCAAGCTATCTCTTTTCTACTTTGCCAATTCCATATTCGTATACTTTGGTCATCTGAAGCTGAGATGAGCCATGGCTCCTTTGGGTGAAAGAACACAGTTCTAACAGCATCTAAATGTCCTCTTAATATGTATATGGGCTTGGGTTTATTAAGAGACCAAATTTTTACAGTTGAGTCATCGCCTGATGATGCAAATATTTCCTTTGTTGGATGGAAATCAACACTTCTTACTGGACCGTTATGATCAGTAAACGTTTGAAGAAGTACGGACATTCTGTAATCCCATAATTCAATGATCCCATTCGTCAGACATATCAGAACGCATGTCCTATTATGGTGCATTGCAGAAGCTAAAACATTTTCCTTATTCAAATGAAACTTTGTATAAATCTTCATTCTTATGCTTATTCATCTAAGGAAAAGTTAAAGCAATTATCATCAATTAAAGTCGTTAAACATATGGTAGATACAGTTTTTAATAGTTTGTTGCGTTTAAATTGAGTTGTAATGTAAATAGAAATCATTTATGTATATATGTTTTTTAACTATCTTCCAATGACCTATGCATCTAAACATTCACGATTTTATAAAGCGAACGATTGACCTGCACATGATTAAGAATACCTTAAAAAACATTTTCGTCGTTAATAACTAAATAGATTGTGGCCTTAATACACAGATATAACAAAGTAAACATAAGCCTCGTTTTAGATGATTACAGAGTAAAAACGACATTGTTTATTAGTTCAATGTAAACTAATCTTATACACAAGAATTTGAGAAGAAAAAAAAATTTAAAAAATATCACTTCATAATTTTACTGTTATAATTGAACCTGGAAATTAATAATAACGCACACTTTTAAGTATTGAGCATTACTTCCAGTACACTCAGAATATTAGTTTAATAATAAGTATGTTTTATTCAGGAATGTAAAAGTCATGTATCAATTGACAATTCTACATGTCTCTTCATCGAAATTAATTAAGCCGTTTGCCTCTTTTAATTTTCCTTGTAACATCACTAATAAAAAATATAAATTGGACAAGACAGGTGTCTCGACACCATTCTTCTTGGCAATACCGATTGGGTTACCTAAGATAACTTCAAGTTCCATCAATTGGCCCTTTTCACGATCAACACACATAGAAGGTTTGAATAAAAGGTTCCTACTGATATTAGTGAAAATATCAATGTAGGCTTCGTCTAAGATAATACCTTCACTGGCTGCAATCTTTATAATTTCATTCATTGCTGGCCTGAAGATTTCAAACTCAGTACTCTTCCCATCTACACCGAATTGTAAAGCACGAGGAACGTCTAACCCAATCAAAGCTGTAGTAGTGTTTATTGCAGCATTATACAACAATTTGTTCCATCTTGAGTGGCGTACTCGTGGATCAAACTCTCCAGCATTCTGACCTTCATTGACATACATATCAACAAACTGTTTAGCGGCTTCTTTAGCCCTATTGTCATCTGGTTGGAACGCACCTACAAATATTTTTTCAGTACCAATTTGATGAATAGTACCGGTAGCTATTTTTGTAGAGCCTACGATCTCAATACCTGATAGAATTGTATAATTGTATTCTTTTTGATCAAATATCTCTAGGATCGATTTTTCGATATCAATACCATTTTGAACTAACAAGATGTTAGATTGACGAGTGACATCGATGGAATGATTGTTCAAAAGTAAAGGTTTAACAATATTTTCCACTCTAGAGTGCACAGGCCCATCTGGAATATTCTTAGTGGCAATCAAAATATAGTCGAAGAATTTTCCATCTGAAGCAGCATCCTCAGTCGTCTTAAAGATATGATGAGGTCTCCAGGAATCCAATTTCCCATAATTGCAAGAGTCGATCTGGTACCCTTTTTCTTGAACATGATTGAAGTCTGATCTTACCACCAGAGAGACATCAGTCTTACCCTTAGTGCATAAAGATAATGCGCAGATGACACCGACACCACCAGCACCCACTACAATAACATTTGGAACATATTCACTAGCCATAACTTATTTATTTTTTAAGTAGACGTCTCTTTATCTATATGTATAATATCAAATATTTTTAATTCTTGCAAAACAAACTTTTCGTATAGTTACTTTCAATTGGGAGATAATTGGGTTAAACAATCTACCAAAAAAATATCATATTTCTAAAAATGATTACTCCAATGACAGATGGGTTGCTTCAACTCTGATTGCTTATCATTGAAGTCCCTTGCATCCTATCGATAGGATGAGTAATCCTTATCAAAAGGACTTGTTCTCAGTTCCACATCACATTGCACGGCACACACACACACACACTCGCTCTCTGTGTTTTCTGTATGAGAGAGAAAAAAAGTTTTCCAGCGCACGATTCTCTCTTTATTTTTTGTAAATTTAGCGATTGAAACTGAAAGAAAGAGAGAAAGAGTGGCAACATCAATTGCAAACATCATCATCATCATCGTTATTTGGTATAAGAGACAAAGTCGAGATACTACTGTTAAACCAGGATTACAAATTGGTTTAGTGCTATTCGAAGAATTTGAAGTGAAGTAATTTTTGATAACCGCAGGAAGTTACACCACACGTTAGCTAACCAGCCAATCTTTTTTAACAAAGAATTTTAATTTTAATATTAATTCTAGAAATATGTCACAGGTAGCTGCCGCCAGGCCATCGAATGCCACATTTAAGAATAAAGAGAAACCACAAGAAGTTCGTAGAGCTAATATTATTGCTGCTCGAGCTGTGGCGGATGCAATCCGTACCTCTTTGGGTCCTAAAGGGATGGATAAAATGATCAAGACATCTCGTGGTGAAGTTATCATTTCCAATGATGGTCACACTATTTTAAGACAAATGGCTATTCTTCATCCCGTAGCTAAAATGTTAGTAGAAGTATCTGCTGCACAGGATGCAGAGGCAGGTGATGGTACTACATCTGTTGTTATTTTAACAGGTGCTTTATTAGGTGCCGCAGACAGATTATTAAACAAAGGGATTCATCCAACAATTATTGCAGAATCGTTTCAAAGAGCAGCAAAGAGATCTGTAGAAATTTTACTTGAGATGTGTCATAAGATTTCTTTGAATGATAGAGAAGATTTGATACGTGCTACTACTACATCCTTAAGTTCTAAGATTGTATCTCAATATTCTTCATTTTTAGCACCTTTAACGGTTGAGGCTGTTTTGAAAGTAGCAAATGAGGACTCTACAAATGTCGATCTATCAGATATTCGTCTAATTAAAAAAGTCGGTGGTACAATTGAAGATACAGAGATGATTGATGGTGTTGTATTGACCCAAAATGTCATTAAGTCTGCAGGTGGTCCAAGTAGAAAAGAAAAGGCCAAGATTGGTTTAATTCAATTCCAAATTTCCCCACCAAAACCTGATACAGAAAATAATATTGTAGTTAACGATTATAGACAAATGGATAAGATTTTAAAGGAGGAAAGAGCTTATTTATTAAATATCTGTAAGAAAATTAAAAAAGCCAAGTGTAATGTTCTATTGATACAGAAATCTATTTTGAGAGATGCGGTTAATGAATTGGCTTTACATTTCTTGGCTAAATTAGGTATCGTTGTCGTAAAAGATATCGAAAGAGAAGAAATTGAATTTATATCCAAGAGTCTCGGTTGCAAACCTATCTCTGACCTCGAATTATTCACAGAAGATAGATTAGGTTCTGCAGATTTAATTGAAGAAATCGACAGTGATGGTTCTAAGATTGTTAAGATCACTGGTATTAAAAACCCAGAGGCTAAACCAACTATCTCTGTTATTATCCGTGGTGCAAACAATATGATCTTGGATGAAACCGAACGTTCCCTACATGATGCTCTTTGCGTTGTTCGTTGTTTATTCAAGGAAAAGGGTTTGATTGGTGGTGGTGGTGCCCCAGAGATCGAAATTGCTCGTAGATTAACTAGAGAAGCCCGTGAATTAGAAGGTGTGGAATCCTTTGTTTGGACCGAATTTGCAGAGGCTTTAGAGGTCATTCCAACTACTCTGGCAGAAAATGCAGGTTTGAATAGTATTAAAGTGGTTACTGAGTTGCGTACCAGACATGAAAACGGTGAAATAAACGATGGTATCTCTGTGAGAAGATCAGGTACTACAAACACATATGAAGAACATATCTTACAACCGGTACTAGTCAGTACAAGTGCCATCACTTTAGCATCTGAATGTGTGAAATCCATTCTTCGTATTGACGACATTACATTCAGTCGTTAGAACAATATAAACATTTTTGGGGACACATTGATGTATATTATTTCTTTAAGTAAAGTTTTGTCTATATATATATGTATAGAATCTTTTAAAGCATTCAAAAATAAAGATGGGTGATTATATGTGCATGATCGGAAACCTATTGTAGTTGTTCCCAATATCTTCAGATGATCTCTATATGTTTCTGAATGGAATCATCATTATATGATTCCATGACGCGAGATGATGATTCAGGATATCTTTAATGAAATTAAGATTCAATTCATTATTCGAGCTATCGATAGCATGTAAGAGAAGAAGGATTATATATATTACAATTTACTTCATGAACTATTATAGAGGTTCTTAACTGTATCAAAGATTCATTGTTTGTTTTAAATGGAATCAGTGAGAGTAAAAGTGTGACTAATACTAAAATTTGTTGATAAACTCTCTAATATATTAACAGTCTGTCATTACTGTTTTTATCCTGCGCTACATATATAAGGGCATTACAATTTCAAGAAACAAGAAGTTTATACTCCATTACCATTTACCCACTGAACCGAAGTTTTATAAGATATATACATACATTATCTAGAATATCTCGAGAAATGAATGTTTTAGTGTATAATGGACCAGGAACAACACCAGGTTCTGTCAGACACACTGTGGATACCCTACGTTATTTATTAGAACCTCATTATGCAGTTAGTACTGTCTCCTCGAAAGTTTTATTACAAGAACCTTGGCAAGCAAAGACATCGGCTTTGGTTTTCCCTGGTGGGGCAGACCTGCCTTTTGTTAAAGAATGCAGACCTGTCATTCCAGCAATTAAAGATTTCGTATCAAAGAAAGGTGGGAGATATATTGGATTTTGTGCTGGTGGTTATTTCGGTTCAAGTAGAGTGGAATTTTGTCAAGGTGATCCACTGATGGAAGTGACTGGGAACAGAGATTTGAAATTATTTCCTGGCACAGCAAGAGGACCGGCATTTGATGGGTTTAAGTATAAGAGTGATGTAGGTGCAAGGGCGTCGAGATTGTTAGTCAATAACGGTACAGAATTCAGCTGTTATTATAATGGTGGTTCTGTATTTGTTGATGCTGATTCATGCGATAATGTTGAAGTATTAGCACATTATTCAGAAAGTATTGACGTTCCATTCTCAGATACTAATAGTAATACCAAACCGGCTGCTGTGGTTTTATGTTCCGTTGGGAAAGGTAAAGCTCTTTTAACAGGTCCACATCCTGAGTTTATTCCCAAGTTATTAGAAAAGGGGGAACATGATAGTGATTTTCCTGCTCATTTGTTGGATGAGTTGAAAAAAGATGATACTAAAAGGCTGGAGTTTATGCATTATATTTTATCAAAATTAGGCCTGAAAACACGGTCAAATTATGCCAATTATCATATACCTTCATTGACTCCGCTATTGATGGTTAATAATCCATATAATAATGCCGTTAAATCCAATGATTTTGAAGAAAGAGTTGTAGAAAATCTTGATGACGTTATTGTTGCTGGGAATCATTTGGAATTTTCCGCTGAAGAAGATTCATTCGAATTGTTCAAAGGTATAAGTGATTCTTTTAAGGAAGCTTCTACACATCTTGATAAGAATGATCCTAAAAATTCTGTTAAGACAATTGTTATACCCAACGATGATGAATTTGCATCAATGGGTAATGTTGCACCAAATTTTAATTTCCAAAAATATTTCATGACTCTTAAAGAGAGTAATAATATAGGCTCGATTTTGATGTATGGTGAAGTAGTCACGTCAACAAGTACTTTACTAAATGTCAATAGAACTCTTTTGAGTTCACTTCCAGAGAATCGTATCCTTCATGTTGGTGATGTTCAGCTGGCTGGTAGAGGGAGAGGAGGTAACTCATGGGTTAATCCAAAGGGTGTATGTGCTTCAACAGCGGTGATCTCCATACCACTTGTTTCTCCAGCAACCAATCAGAATATATCGATATCTTTTGTCCAATATTTAGCCATGTTGGCTTATTGTAAAGCTATTACTAGTCATGGGTCTGGATTCGAAGATTTGCCAGTTAGAATCAAATGGCCTAATGATCTATATATTATGAATCCTGATTACTACTATTCAAAAAATCTTCAGTTATTGGGGAAAAAGTTTGATCATAAATTGGTTCCATTAACTGATATCGAACCAGCATACGTGAAGGTTGCCGGTTTACTTGTCAATACGCATATTTTTGGTGATAGATATACACTCCTTTTAGGGTGTGGGTTAAATGTTAGTAGTACTGGACCAACTACCTCATTAGATAGATGGGTTGATATTCTTAACGAAGAAAGAAAGAAGCAAAACTTTTCGGTATTACCTCATGTAGAAAAGGAGAAACTGTTGGCTGATTACATGAATTATTTGGAAGACATCTTGAAGACATTCATTAATCGTGGTGTATGCTATCTACTGCCAGAATATTATAACTACTGGTTACATTCGAATCAGATTGTAACACTATCGGATCATGGAAATACAAGAGCAATGATCACAGGTATTACCGAAGATTACGGTTTATTGATTGCCAAGGAACTTGCACCTGGCAGCGATTATAGTTTTACTGGTTCTGTCTTTAATTTACAACCGGATGGTAATACCTTCGATATATTCAAAGGTTTGATTGCCAAAAAAGCATGATAATATATACAAGGGTTGTCTATTATTTTACATATTGTATATAAGAATTTTATGTTTGCTCTGGTGATATTTTTAGTATTGATGCTACGAACAGCATTGTACTAGACTTAACTTAGATAGAGACAAATGTGATTCATTAGTAGTAGTACTATTATTATTAATGTTATTATTTTTTTTATTTAATTATTTATTGTGAATTTATTTAGAGTACTATAATACTTTATTCGTTATGAAACTCCTATGGTACAAGATGTATAGAAAAGATATACAATTTTTGTAAATGAAATTAGAATTTTTAAATGCAATTGTGATATCCGACTTCCTAATTTCCTTCCTCTTTCTTGATTTCCTTTTTCTCATCATCCTCATCCTTTGGAGAGTAGGTAGAAGATTGTTGACTATAGCTTGGAGATCCAGGTGAGTATGAACCATTATTTGGACTGTAACTTGGAGAAGTTGGACTATAGCTTGGAGAAGTTGGACTATAGCTTGGAGAAGTTGGTGAATATGAAGGCGAGGTTGGACTATAACTTGGCGAAGTTGGAGAGTAAGAAGGAGAAGTTGGTGAATATGATGGTGATGTTGGACTGTAACTTGGTGAAGTTGGCGAGTACGAAGGTGATGTCGGACTGTAACTTGGTGAAGTTGGCGAGTACGATGGGGATGTAGGACTGTAACTTGGTGAAGTTGGCGAGTATGAAGGAGATGTTGGTGAATATGATGGGGATGTTGGTGAATAAGAAGGAGATGTAGGACTGTAACTTGGTGAAGTTGGTGAATACGATGGGGATGTTGGTGAATAAGAAGGAGATGTAGGACTGTAACTTGGAGAAGTTGGTGAATAACCTGGAGATGTAGGTGAAAATCCAGGAGAGGATACGCCACCAAACCCAGGAGAGGTTGGTGTATTACCATATGCGCTGAATGGAGATGTAGCATTACCATAATCAGCGCCACCATAAGCAGTGAAACCACCAGCCATCGCATCGGATGAACCCGCATCGACCAATGGAGAAAACATCAATTCATCCTTAACATCAATTTCAGCGTTAGCCAAACCACTCCCATTCGCATATGGAGTGGCACCACCATCCTCGCCAGCTTCTATTTCGCTAGCCTTTTGTTCCGGCATGTATTTAACTAACGATTCTTCATCAATCATTACGTCAAAAGCACCTGTACCAATTGGTGCCATTTGACCTAATAAAACGTTTTCAGAAACACCACGACAGTCATCAAGTTCAGCAGATGCACCGGCCTCAAATAGAATTTCTACAGTCTCTTCGAAGGAACATCTCATTAATGCACCGGTGTTAGTCCTGTTGAAACCGTGACGAGTAATAGAAGTTAGACCACCTTGAGTAGTCATCACATCGACCAACAGAGCCATATGACGGTAGTTAACATAAGAACCATCAGAAGCAATAACGTTGTAAACTTCTCTGTATAGGGCCGCACGACCGGCCTCAATACCAAGAACCTCCATAATATCAATGAAGGAGTTTGTATAAATTCTTGTAGCATCAATACCGGGGACAGTCATAACTTCAGATAAGTTGACACCATCTGTTTCTAGAACCCATTCAGGTACCTTTTCATACTCACCTGTTTGACTTGGCATTTTACGATCATATTTCATCATAACAACACGCTCAATGTTTTCGACACCACGAAGAGTAATATTTTGTAACATGGTATTTTCAATTTTCTTTAACATATGATCTTCTTCAGCTTCAGTTTCAGCATCCAAAGATTTTGGACGGACAACACGACAACGTATAATTAACTTCTCAGCGTTATCTTCAGACCATATAACAAACAGATCTTTTCCGAACGTCTCTTTGATTCTCTCACCAACTTGAGCCATTGTTAAATCTTTATCATTCATGGCTGCACGATCCAATTCTAAACGTAGTAACCAAGGTGATTGTTGGTCTAGGGAGGCTTCTGTGTCTTCATCCATTAAAGAGAAATGTAGTTGAATAATTTCTTCATCATCCTCAATAACAGTAGTACGTGGATTAGGATCGTAGTAAATTTCAGAAGCGACTGTAACATTCTTCAGAGTCGTATGTTCAATGGCAGATCTGATAAACTTGGCTTTTTCTTGATCAGCACCATGTTCTTTGTCTAGATATACGGTTAACGAAGGTGTCTTCATATTCTTGGCAACATTTAGAATTTCCTTTAAACGGGGAACACCGGAGGTAACTTTCTTGGAGGCAACACCTGCAAAATGAAATGTATTTAAGGTCATTTGGGTAGCTGGTTCACCAATAGATTGCGCAGCTAGAACACCGACCATTTCACCGGGATGGACAACAGAACGTAAGAACTGAGCTTCAACATTGTTAATAACCCATTGGAATGCTTCATCTGTTAATTTATACTCTTGCAGAACTCTACGTGAGGCCAAACGAGAACGAACCAAACAACAGAATAAGGTGATGGCATCTTTTTGAGCATTCTTAATTAAATCATTAGAGCCACGTAAAACAAGTAATTTAGTTTGTAATGCCTTGACTTTGTTGATAATTTCGCTGATTGTTAGATCAGATGGTTTAGAATGATCAATTCTGAAAGTCTGTTGTGCATTTTGAATAATACGTCTAATATTTACAGGTAATGGCCAATTAGATTCACCGTCAACAAAGACTGTTCTTAAGAATGACCTATCTTCAACTAATTGTTTGTATTCTTCATCTAGTAGGGTTTGTAACTTTAAGTCACCTGCAATTTCGGAACCAGATTCTAATAATGAGGCATCCAAAGCATTTTCGGAGTTCAATAAATCAATTCTATATCTCTTTTCGAAGGCTGCATCTGAACCACCGATAGTATCTATAGATTGCTTTTCAATATAGGAAGCATCGATACCATCTTCACCGTAAACGAATTGAATAACATTACCCAAAGAGTTTCTAGTTGTGCTATCATAATGAACCATAATATCTTCTAGAGCCTTAACCAAACGACGTTGAATATAACCGGTTTCAGCGGTCTTAACAGCAGTATCGATTAAACCTTCACGACCACCCATAGCATGGAAAAAGAATTCCTGAGGAGTCAAACCTCTTAAGTATGAATTTTCAACAAAACCCTTAGATTCAGGAGAGTAATCATCCTTTGAAAAATGTGGAAGGGTTCTGTCAACAAAACCAAAACCAATACGTTTACCTTCAACAGATTGTTGTCCCACACAGGCAGACATTTGAGCAATATTAATGAAAGAACCTTTAGAACCTGACACCACCATTTGTTTGACAAAATTTAAGTCATTTAGATTGACTTCAGCAAGACGACCAGCTCTATCTCTCGCTTCATTTAAGTAACGCACAACATTATCTTCGAACGATTCTCTAATAGTCATACCGTGCTTAGCTGTCAACAAATTGGCTTGAGCTTCCTTAGTAACTTCTTCAACCTTTCTTTTGGCTTCCGCGATTGTTTCAGTGATTTCCTTGATAGTTTCACCATCAGCAATTGTATCACCAATACCTGTTGAGAAACCGTTATGTAATAGCCAGAAATTGACAATTTTTTGAATGTTACCAAATAATCTTGCACAAATAGTTGGGCCCTTTTCTCTAGTAACAACATGGATTAAACCACCATTTGATGAACCGACAGTCTTTTTATCGACAACACCGTAGATAATTTGACCATCGATAATCAACATACCGTTATCCTTTGGAGATAGTAAGGTAGTACCTTCGTCAAAACGTTGTAAGTGAATACCCTTTGGAATAGCGGCAGACAAAACTTGTTTACCGGTCCATAATGGTTTTGGTTTTATAATTGCAGGAGGTGGAATAACACCATCCCAATCTGGAACCCAGTATAACATATTCAAAACGTGATCGAATTCAAGGAAGGTGTCCTTTAGTGTTAGGATACGAATACCACATAGAGTATCTTGCACAATACCCATACATGGCTTATTCGATTGTGGAGACACAATTTGTAATGGGACAGCACATAATTCGGATAATTCAGCTCTTGTTTCCTCGGACTGTGGAACATGTAAATTCATTTCATCACCATCAAAATCTGCATTATAAGGAGAAGTAACGGAAAGATTTAATCTGAATGTGGAATAAGGAACGACCTTGACTTTGTGTGACATCATAGACATCTTGTGTAAAGAAGGTTGACGATTGAAAAGAACTGGGTCGTTATCGACGATGTGACGTTCCACTTTCCACCCGTATTGCAATTGAATATCACCCGCTCTTTTACTGTATCTCAGATCAATACGGTCACCGTTGTCACGGATAACATATTTTGCACCAGGATGTTCATTTGGACCGTTACGTACTAATTTCGTTAAATAATCAATGTTATATGGAGTGACCACTTCAGGGTATGTTAAAGTTTTAGCGATCGATCTTGGAACACCAACTTGGTCTAGTTCTAAGTTTGGATCACCTGAAATAACGGTTCTTGCAGAGAAATCAACACGCTTACCCATTAAGTTACCTCTGATACGACCTTCTTTACCCTTTAAACGAGCACGAATAGATTTAACAGGACGCCCAGATTTTTGAAGTGCTTGTGGTTGACCAGCAATGTCATTATCCATATATGTTGCGACGTGGAATTGAAGTAAACTCTCGGCTTCCTCAATAGCGTGATGTGGAGCACCATTGTGTTCCAAGGTTTCTAAACTGATATTTGCCTTCAGGATATCTGCAAGTTTGAAAGTTAAATCATCCTCACCTCTTTGTGATTCGTTAAAAGAAATAGACGGACGTACTGGTGGTGGTGGGACTGGTAAAACAGTTAACATCATCCATTCTGGACGTGAAAACTCCTCATTGAAACCCATTTTTGTTGAATCTTCTGGTGATATGTGCTTAAATATGTTTAGGATTTCTTCGACACTTAATACTCTTTGTTCAGGTTCATCATTGTCATTGGCAGATTTTTCCTTCTTCCAACTACCAACAAGCTTTAAACCATCTTTACGTACAGTTGGCTGAATATTACCACAACCACCTCTTGGAACTAGCTTTGTTGGATCATCATCAGATGGAACATCAGTCTCACAGACCATTTTGGTCTTTGATATACTCCAAATGGCATTAAATCTCTTCTTAGAGTCCTTTATACTTAAAGCTTGACGCATCTGTTCATTATGTTCATCTAATAATAGGTTACCACAGTGCATACAGACACATTCACAAACTTTTTTAATTTTCGTAATGAAACCAACATGGAAGACAGGCTTTGCCAAATCTATGTGACCAAAATGACCTGGACATTCGTTCATACCCTCTTGGCAAGTTTGACACTTAAGATTACGATCAATTGAACCAAGTCTTGGATCATTCAAACCACCAATTTTTGCTCTAGTTTGAGTTTCATCCATTGTTTCGGGAAACTTAATTTTTGCAACACTAATGGCACGAATTTCTTCAGGAGAAAACAAACCAAATTGGACCTCCTTAATGGTACGAAGTGGTGCACTTGAATACTGTTGACCAACCATGATAAATTATATTTCTTGATATTATTGTTATTATTATTATGTTTATTATTATTACAAATATGTTTTTAATATGGGTCTTTTTTTATATTTTATGATTTTTAATAGGATTTAAAAAAAAAATGCTTGTTTGTACAATAAGTCTCCTTATGAATAAAGGAATTAATTTATCACCTTTATAATAGTTCAAAAGAAGGAATCCTTAATAAATAATGTATTAGGATACTTTGGATGTTGTAGTATTGATAATATAAACAGTACTTCTAAAATTGCCCTCCAGTCTATTTCAGATAGTTCAATTATATCACACGGAAAAATATTTCTTCTTGTTATTATCAAATTTTAAAATGTTTGTCCCTTTCGTATATCTTTATATCTATAAAAAAACGTGAAACGAAACAGGGTATTCAATTGAATGAAGAAATTAGATTAATTTTCCAACTAACCTTTATATATTGTCTTGTCTTTCTTGTAATATCGATTGGAATAAGGTACCTCAAAAAAAATAAAAGTATCGAACTAAAAGATGGAATAAAGAGAAAGAAATAGATAAAAAACCAAAGTTATAACACTTAGTACTAAAAAGATATATTAATTTGAAGCGATTCAAAGGTGGATATCTATTAGACTAGGCTATGGGGTGCTTGTCTTCCTTTATCTGGAAGTTATGTTAAAAGTTTAACTACCTTACTTAATTTATCACTTTTTTTTTTCACTTTTTGCTTCGTTGTTTACTCCTTCGTCGCCACCGAAAGAGAGAAAATTTTTGAAAATTCATAATTCAACATCGTATATAGTGATTATATATCCGGGTAACATCAGTTTACCTAAATTTCGTTATTCATTCTTTACATATAAAAGAGATATATGGTGATTTATAGATATTCCATCCAATCTATTATTCTTTAAAAATCCTCATTAACAGAATTTTCATCATTTTGTTCTATCTCATCGTCATCGTCATCATCATCTTCATCTTCATCTTCTTCTTCTTCTTCTTCTTCTTCACTAGAGGATGGATTCTGGAAAATATTATCTGATTCAGTTTCTGCCCAAAGAGAATTACCTTCGTCCTTATCTGAATCTGTTAATTTTTCACTGTCTAAGTTCTTTGGATTATCATTATAATTAGTATTCTTGGTCGTTGTATCATCCATATCTTCATCGAGTAATCTATCAGTGAAAGTACTCTTGTATGATGTTGCAGCAAAACTTGACGGTTTCATTGTCGATAATTCTCTGACATGACCATTATCTTCAATAATTTCTCCTGTATTTAAATCTATTAAATCTCCTTTGGAATCATCTGCATTTTCATATTTTGCAATTATATTGGTCCAAACATTTTTCATATTTTCATCTGCTATTTTATGTCGTTCCATGACTTCATCATCTGTCAATTTCGGTATCAAAACATTTTCCTTTGATCGTATATATATTATATCGTTAGGTTGATCAATTTTAGGTTGGGGTTCAGCCTTATTAGATGGATGAAACCTTTTATTATATAGTGAATATTCCTCTGGTGACTTTTCTTTATTTAATAAGTTTAATAATGCACCATGTAATGATTTCAAAGATTTATCCTTCGAATGTTTTCTAATTTTCTTTGATTTATGATGTTTGTTAGTCCGTGAATTGAGCATATCTGTGTTTGTTAAAAATAATAAGATTTGGAATAATAAATGTTTTTGCTTTCAAAAGTTTTATAAACCTTAAATTCTATCTATCTATCGATTTGAAATAGAAATAAAAAGACAGAGATGACTTTTTTTTTATAACTTATTCATTTATTGATGTTATTATTATTATTATCATTATTTTCTTTTTCTTGACATTACGCGTAATAGTAGTGGGGACCGTAGAGCGAATGATTATTTTCCACCTAATTAAACTTACAGCTTAATAACAAATGGTATTTACATTCCTACGAAGCACTGATTACTTGAACGATACATATTATTATAGTTTGCTTTAAAAGGTAATTGATAATGGAAAGATAATAATAAGAAAGTTAATTTTTAAATACTAAAGTTTTCCCTAAGCTGTTAAACAAGATTCAGTCATGTTATAGTTAAAATGTCATCACGAAACACTAACGGTGACTGTAGTAAGCTTATGAGCGCTTATTTTACCCTATTAATGATTGATTGATTAATTATTAAAAGATAATAATTAATTAATTATGAAAACCTTCTTCGATGCACATCAAAAGTACGTCAAGTTCTTTGTTCGTTCACTTTCACATTTATTGCCCCTCTTTAATGTAACTGAGAATTACCCGAAGAAATGGAAATAATTTTCTGGATCAAATCCGTTTTTCTTTTCGGTTGTCTTTCATTGACGGAAGGTGTCTTCTGTACCGAATAATAGTAGTAGAAGTGTTAACAACCGCGCGGGGTATTCTCCCAGAACTATAATCCACATAGTTTGAAACCAGTAAAGGATAATAATGTTATTCAATATTTCTTTATTCATTTTATCTCTGTACACATTAAATAACCAAGGCATTCGTGGAGGTTGATCAATATCGAAATATCTGAGACATTTTGTTCCTGAATATGTACGTGGGCATGTAAAATTACGATGTGATAATCAAGTGTTTCTTTGGTAATTATTATTCATTATCGAATAGATTATAAATATCCCAGGGACGTTCTGTAAGGTTATCTTTCACGAAGAGTCACATGGAATATTATTACATTTATTCCCATTTAATTTTTTCATTTTTGCATAAAATAAAATCCGCGATGAGCCTGAAGTGAAGTGAAAAAATAATTTATCCACCAGAAACATCCCGCGGTAGTAAAAGTTGAGAAACTTTCCTTCCCTCTGCCATATCATGATAGTTTGTCATTTCATAATCATTATTGTAATTCTTATTTTCATATTCTTTCATGCTATTCTATGGGGAAGAGATCTCCGTTAAAGATGGCAAAATTAATGTATTAATTAAATGTAAATATTGTAATTTAATTTAATTTCTTAATTCTCCTTCCCTGTTTAACTCTTTGTTCAGTTCTTTTCTTTCTATTCAATTGAAGAAAACCTTTCTTAAAAGCTAAGTGTGTGTTTTTCTGAATTATTTATGAACTGGTACATCAATAGGTAAATATATTGGATAAACTGTTGATTTTTAATAATAACTGATTGTATTCTTACTTTGATAGACTTCAACAGAATTCGATTTCATTAACATTAATATATATTTTAGTTTTGCTAATCAAAAGCCGCTATAGAGTGACAAATACATTTCATTATTAAAACAAAATCTGGTTTCATATAATATAGCACAGAATTCTGTTATAAATCCTAATATTCATAGTGTTAGCAAAGGTAATGAATGATAGATCCATTTAATTGATAGATTATTTTAGCTCATCTACTTCATTTAATCTCTGTTTTTTTTAAAAAAAAAGATAATTTAAAAGATCATAAAATACCATTTTACATCAAAGAAATATCTAAAAGTAACGGTTTACCAACCTCCATTTTTGTTGTATTTTCATTCGTTCCTTTTCGAGTTCTTTTAATATTTAGAATAATATAATATTCTATTTATGATAATGAAAATATTACATTCTAAAAGTGAATCCCTAGATAAACAAAATCAAAGAATACATCTTCCAGGTTTTCTTCGCAATAGACATCGTAACCAAGACAAGACTGTGGATAATAATAATAATAATGACAATGATACAGATATAGCATCAGATACCATTAGAAACGAAATTTATTCGTTACATTCATCTAATCTGAATACAAGTGATAGTAAAGAACAAAATCAAGTACAAAATTTTGAAGATCATACAAATGATTCCTACATTCATAAATTGGAGACCCCTTTACCACTCCGATCCACAGTCATGTCGTCCCTTGTGGGTATTTTTGTGGCTGTGGGTGGTTTCATGTATGGTTATGATACTGGTTTAATTAATTCTTTGACAGATATGAAATTCGTCAAATCAAACCTGGCTCCAAATCACGAAAAATTCACTGTGAAAGAAACTGCTATCTTGGTATCATTTTTGTCATTGGGTACATTCTTTGGTGCTTTAATAGCTCCGTGGATCTCGGATAAATATGGAAGAAGGCCCACGATTATATTCAGTACATCTATTATTTTCTCCCTCGGTAATTCTTTACAAGTAGGAGCTAGTCATTTACCTTTATTAGTAGCTGGAAGAGTCATTTCAGGTTTTAGTATTGGTATTACATCCGCTGTCGTACCATTATATCAAGCCGAGGCAGCTCAGAAAAACTTAAGAGGTGCTATCATTTCAACATATCAATTAGCAATTACTATTGGGCTTCTAGTCTCAAGTGCTGTAGGGCAAGGTACCAGATCAAGAAATGATGCATCATCATATCGAATACCTATTGGTTTACAATATATTTGGTCTTCAGTGTTGGCTATCGGTATGTATTTTTTACCAGAGAGTCCACGTTATTATGTGATGAAGGACGAAATTAATAAAGCTGCCAAGGCATTAGCATTTCTAAGAGGTATACCCGTAGAGGATCCTAGATTATTAGAAGAGCTGGTGGAAATTAAAGCCACGTATGATTACGAGGCTTCTTTTGGTAAAGCTACATTTTTGGACTGTTTTAAATCTAGTGAGGTTAGACCTAAGCAGGTTCTTAGGATGATCACTGGGATGGGTATTCAAATAATGCAACAATTCTCGGGTATTAACTTTATTTTCTATTATGGTGTAAATTTCTTCAGTTACACAGGTGTTAAAAATAGTTACATTGTTTCCTTCATAACGTATGCTGTTAACGTCGTATTTAATGTTCCTGGTATGTTTTTCGTGGAATATTTTGGTAGACGAAAAGTCTTATTATATGGTGCAATTGCAATGACAATATCAAATTATATTGTAGCTACTGTAGGGATTTCTGTGAAAGGTGATCAGAGTGGGAAAGTTGCAATTGCTTTCATATGTCTTTTTGTTGCGTCATTCTCTTCAACATGGGGCGGTATTGTTTGGGTTGTCTCTGCTGAATTGTATCCATTGGGTGTTAGATCTAAATGTACAGCTATCTGTGTTGCTGTTAACTGGTTAGTCAACTTCATTTGTGCTTTTATTACACCTTATATTAGTGATTCTAAAAATGGTTCTTCTATTAGTTCCAGTTCAAAGATTTTCTTCATTTGGGGTTCTTTAAATGCTCTAAGTATATTTGTTGTTTATTTTACAGTCTATGAAACAAGAGGTTTAACATTGGAAGAGATAGATGAACTTTATAGAAAATCGCCTACATGTTTCACATCGACTGAATGGAACAAGAAAATCAGAGAGAGACCACCAACGTATAATCAAAATCTGACTACAAATCTGTTACAAGATATCGAAGCTATGAATTCGAATCAAAACGGTGAAACTGTTGCCACAGGTATAAATATTCCAATGCAAACAATCCCTGAGACGAAAGAAACTCATACTGGTTTTAATGAAATTAATATGTTCCCCGATGAGCCGATTGACATTGATCAATTCCTTATGTCAAAGAATGTTAGACCAGCTCATGTGGTTGATTCCAATAATAAACCACAAGGACAGATGGATCTGGATTCTCTTCGTAGTAACTATGTCGACTTAGGAAATGGACTTGGTCTTAATGCATATAATAGAGGGCCACCTTCTTTCTTAACGGACTCTAGTGATGACGATGATGATCCTTATAACGCTGGTGATATCGGTTCGTCCTCTAAGAGTGAAAATGACCCTTCAAAAAATGAAGCACTAAACATATATATGGCAAATTTGATCGATAGCTCTTCTAATACTAGTGCAGGAACAAGTATTAGCAATAATCTTTCTGAAAATTCAGAAACTCCATTATATTCGTCTTTTATCAATCAAATGAGGCAGCCACCGAGAACAGATACAAATACGGTAGGCACCACAAACAACGATTGGAGTCAATTCCTTGCCCAAAGATCAGACATGTCATCTCATGCAGAATCTCAGGAATCTCCGACTTAATGAATTACCACAAATTTATTTGCATTATTTTTATTTTATCTACAATAGTAATTGTTTTATACATACTTTTTGAACAAACATTTTGTATTATCGACGATACGTCAATATACAAGATTATGACATATAAAATTATACACTAATATATTCTATCTTATTAAAAATTCGAAAGATTTTGCAAACAGGTTGTCCTGAAATTTGGTCCACAGTTTTTACTTCGTAACAACAATTCCTGTGTTTTATGTATGGCACTATTAATAACAACATCAGTTCATTTTTATAGGTGGAATTCCAAAAGAATCGCGTTGCACGGGCTTGTTTGTTTTTTTCTTATGGCAAATTTGAAAGAAAAAAATATTCCAGATCAACAGAAAGAAATTTGAATTTTTTTAATATTGATAAAAATAAGACACGTCTTACAGATACCTCTTAATATATTTTGATAAAAAGAATTATTTTTTTTACTGTAGTTATTATTTGTTCTCGTAATAAAAGAGGTTGTTCACTCATTGGTATATTGACTCACAAGCCACAATAGATTTTTTTTTCTTATCTCAGTATTATTTTGCATTGTATTTCTTTTGATTTAAAAGCGAATAAGATAAATTTATAAAATTAGCTGACAAGAATCCAACAAAGAAACAAAAAAAAAAGAACAAAAGTAGAAAAATGGGTTTATTTGCATCTAAACTATTTAGCAACTTGTTTGGTAACAAGGAAATGCGTATCCTTATGGTCGGTCTAGATGGTGCAGGTAAGACCACTGTGTTATACAAATTGAAGTTGGGTGAAGTTATTACTACTATTCCAACCATTGGTTTCAACGTTGAAACTGTCCAATACAAGAACATTTCCTTCACTGTTTGGGATGTCGGTGGACAAGACAGAATCAGATCTCTATGGAGACATTATTACAGAAACACCGAAGGTGTTATCTTCGTTGTTGACTCCAACGATAGATCTCGTGTTGGAGAAGCAAGAGAAGTTATGCAAAGAATGTTGAATGAAGATGAACTAAGAAATGCAGTCTGGTTAGTGTTTGCTAACAAACAAGATTTGCCAGAAGCCATGTCTGCTGCTGAAATTACTGAAAAGTTGGGTCTACATTCCATTAGAAACCGTCCATGGTTCATTCAATCTACTTGTGCCACCTCTGGTGAAGGTCTATATGAAGGTCTAGAATGGCTAAGTAACAACCTAAAGAACCAATCATGAATTCATTTTAACGACCCTAATTTTTAAAGAAAAAAGAACATGATAATAACTGTTATATTTTATATTGTAAAAAGACAAATTTTGGACTAGTGAAAAAGGAATTCTGCAATAACACACATCTAGGTACGCATAAAACTATATATTTATATATATTTGTATAAAAGAGAAGAAACTTTGTACTCGTGTATAAATAATTATTTTACAAAGGTTGCTAGTGGGGATGTTCAATGTATATGAATCATTTTTGATGTATTATTCAAGAACAGACTGATAGTGTAATGTGTTAACATCGGTAGCTTTCTTCAAAATTATATCTATAAGAATATTACAATCGTCATTCTACTTTGACGTCAAATTTAATAAAAAGAGTACTAAAACAGAAATAAGAATGACTGAAGTTCAATTGCTTAAAATAGATATTAAAATAAGTCATGAAACTTAATTATGTGTTATATGGTATATGGTATATGGTTCAATTAAGGGAAATTAAATACATTCCCCACTTGATGAGACTGTCCATCCGTACATCCTATATCTTTACTATGCGATGTAAGGAGTTATTATTGTTTTTCATCAGAGAAACCCTATTTTGAACAAAATTTTGACCCGCCAAGTTTGAAAAGTGGAGGGGGCAATTCCATCAGTACACCACATGTGTTAAATATGGTACGGCTGTCACAAGTGTCAGTTTTTATATTTTCGTGAACCACGCATTAGTCCGTTTAACGAAGAAATTTGATTATTGAATCCAAAGGGAGTTAACATTTAATGTCATTAAGGCAATTAATAAAAAAAAGTAAATGTTGAAAAGTTTCATTTTCCTTAATTACTCCTAATATTTATGTTTTTATGTATTCTTAAATCAAGATAAATAATAACAACAACAAATATATAAATTATTTTAAAATGGTATGTTTAAAACATGAAAAGATTGGATATTTATTTATTCACCCGTCAACTCAACCAAAGCTCATTGTTTACTAACTTTTTTAACTTATCATTATTGAATTCGAAAAGTAAGAATTCAATCGCGATTGCACTTTAATTCGCAGGCCGGTGTTAAAAATTATGAATTGAGAACCAAATCCAAGGAACAACTAGAGTCCCAATTGATTGACTTAAAGAAAGAGTTAGCTGAGCTAAAGGTTGCCAAGCTATCCAAGCCATCTCTACCTAAGATCAACACTGTCAGAAAGAACATTGCTCGTGTTCTAACGATTATCAACGAACAACAAAGAGCTGCAGTTAGAGAGCTATATAAAGGTAAGAAGTATCAACCAAAGGATCTAAGAGCTAAGAAGACTAGAGCTTTAAGAAGAGCCCTAACTAAGTCTGAAGCCTCTAAAATTACTGAAAAGCAAAAAAAGAAAAACATTGCATTTCCACAAAGAAAGTTTGCTATCAAGAACTAAAAAAGACAGCACTTCTTCAATTTGGACACATATATGCATCTATAAATTCTCTTAATAATAATATTAATAATAATCCGTCTACTAATAGATTTCTAGAAAGTTAAGCGATGAGAAGATTCATTCTTTTATTTTCTAATTAACAAAACATTGTATATAGATATTGGATAAGGTTTGGTGTTAGGTAGGTATTCAATTCTATTTTTAGTAATAAGGGTTAGTGTTCGTTCTATCTTTACACCTATCTTAATGACAGTTTGTTTGTTTTTCATTTTTCTAAATATCTTTTTTTCTATAAAAGTTCTATACAAAGATCTACATGAAAGAACAATTAATTAAATTAAAACCTACAAAGTGCAGTAAATCATGTGATGGTTGAAGGTTTAAATAAGACGGAAAGGAAAAAAGAAAATTATGCGTAACTATTTCTTAACAATCTCAACACCCCAGTTCAAGGTCAAGTGTGTGGTCTTGTCGTCATCGATAAACTTTGAGACAGCACTATATTTACCTCTAGCTAATAACCCACTTGGAGCTTCACTTTCAGGAAGTTCCACTTCATAGTATGGTTTAGTCTTTGTACTTGGAGCATAAGACCCCAAGTGGTCGTCGATTTTGTCTACAGCAATACCTGCTTTCTTAATGTATTGAACATATCTAAGACCAGTGATGATCTCGTGCTGTACTTTAAATGTGATTCTTAATTTATATATAGAATTTTCTTTGATCTTGTAACGTTTAGAGGCCAATTCTTTAATTGTTTGCTCGTTTGTCAAATCAAATGATATTGGTTTTGATTCTGTATTAACAAGTAATTGGATCTTTTGGATAACAACTTTACGTTTATCCCCAGGAAACTCTAATGGCAACACATCGGATCCTAGACCTAGGGATTCCTTCCATTTAGCCAAAGCTGCATCTTCTGCATCTAGTTTTTTGTATTCATCAACGGTCTTCTTTTCGCCAACTTTATAACCGTCATTATTTTGTTCATCTTCGAACTGTTTGAAATCAGTATTTTCAGTAGCCATCTTTCTTTATTGGAATCTTTATAGCTAGTAAAGTATGTTGGAATTTGGGAATGGATAACTAATCGAATTCGGTGGGTACAATTTTAAGACTATTCAATTTCCCCTATTAAAAATGATATTTATGATTCGTTTTTCTCTATCGTCGTTTTGCTTTTATAAGCCAAAATGATATATGGGAAAAAAATTGACAACAAAAATAAAAAAAATAGAAAAGACGACCGTCAAGAAATAGAGAGAAACGGTGCTCTACAGTAAACGATAGGGGAAAAGGGGGAACGATACGTAGATCAAATCAGGATACAGTCATCGTGATTCTGAAATATACAGAGACAGCGATTAAAATAACGGTCCACTGAAATTATAATTGTATGACATGAGATGACTGTAAGATAGTTATGTAAATAAATATAGGTTACGTACGATCATGTGTAGGATATAGAGAGTGTAAAATATTTCCCTCAATATTTTATTCTACATTTTTCTTATAATACTCAAAACAAACAATATATTACGTATATATTTCAAGAAATTATGTAGATAATCTGTGGCTGTGGCTGTACTAACTTTTACTTTCATTAAGCAATAGAATGAACGAAAAGGGTAATGGCACATTGAGATCATTTCATAATATATAGATACAAATCTTCATTGTGATTAGAGAATTTAAAATAATTGTACAAAAATTATTTCATGTTTATCTAAATAACTTTTTCAATGGACCATCAACAATTAGTAAAATATGGGCTTGTATCATTTGTCATTAATGATGATTTATTAAAATATTGAAGTTTCTTTGTTTGTTTGTCACGCATATATATATATATATATGTGTGTGTGTGAATTAAAATGGAATACAATGTGTTCTACCAGCAAAAAATAAAAAAGTTGAGATATGAGAAAAAGAATAATAATAGTTAAAATGAAAATAAAGAGGTAGTGTGTGCAGAAGATACCACTGTTTTTATATTATTTTAATTCTATTTTCAGAACATTTCGATTATCTTGATTAAAAAATTGCATTACATTAAAAAGAGAAGAATGTGTATGTGTATGTGTACATGTATGTATATATGGATGTTGCGAAACAAAGAAAGAAGAAATTATAAGAAATAATCAGGGGTCTTTCTTGTAACTGTAGGTTCACCTGGTCTTACAGAGGGATCATATTGCAAGAATTGTCTATTATTATTCTCGTCTACCTCCATAATAGCAGCTTGATTCCCACACCTATAACAATAGTTTGGGGCACTAAATATTGTGACTACATTCTGTTGATGTGACCAAGCATAACCTTCCATCACCAATTGATGAGCTCTAGCTACCAAAGTCAAGTTGTTGGTATGGTTGAATTGTTCACTAATGTCTTGTCCGAACGTGAACCCTGCACCTCTGGGACTAATCCCCCATCCGCCTCTGTCATCAGGATCTGACCATAGTAAGTCACACATAGGACCCTCGTGAGGTACTTCTTGCACTCTATTCAATTCACGTACTTGATCTATTGTTTCAATCATCGGAGATAGACCACCATGTAAACAAAAGATTTTATTATCTACCAATGCAGTGATTGGGAAATAATCAAATAAATCTGTAAACATTTTCCATACATTTGCACTACCATATTTACGTAAACATTCATCATAAAACCCATATACTTGAGTAATTTGACGAGATTCATGATTACCTCTTAATATGGTGATTCTATGTTGATACCTAATCTTCATAGCGACTAAATATGAGACGGTTTCCACAGAGTAATACCCTCTATCGACGTAGTCACCCATGAACAAATAGTTAGTATCTGGACATGGACCACCAATCTTAAACAATTCCATTAAATCATGGAATTGACCATGAACGTCACCACAGATCGTCACAGGTACATTAATAGGTTTCACGTTTTCTTCGAATTGTACTACATCTACAGCCATACGACATAATCTTGCCACATCATCTTCTGAAAGCATTTCACAACGACCAAGTTGTTCAATCCATTTATCTAGATCGTTAATGTTATTTGGAGTCAACTGTAAAGGGGTAGACGATTTATTGTCGGCAATACCAGACGAACCTGGTTTAAAGTCGATATCCTGATAATCTCCAGACCCATTACTGACATCCCCATTGTTAGAGGTCACATCTTCTGTAATAGTCGGGGTGAGTTGTTCAGAGACAGCATCATGCATAGGCACATCCATATCAGCATCCATCGTTGTGTATGTGTATATATATGTGTGTATGTGTGTGTGTGTATGCGTCTAAGTATGCCTGCGTATATGTGTGTATGTATATGTATATATATATAAATATATATATGTGTGTGTGTCTAACTATAAGTTTACTAAATAAATAACCAATCCCTTTAAGATCTTAACTCTTTCTCTCTCTGTCTATATTATTATTAACTAAATATAATATTGCTATTTTTTTTCTATTAGAAATCACCCACTATGTACGGAGAGTGGGTTGAAGTGAGTTGTTGTTGAGGGGGGGCAGATATAAAGCGAAAAAACGAAAAAACGAAAAAATCGTCTGTGTGTGATTTGTTTAGCTTTGTTTTGTTTTGTCTATCTGAGAGCGAGAGCTAGCTGAGTGGAGTGGGAGTGTGTGAATAATATATATACTGTTAACTATACCCCCACAACAACAACAACGGCGCGGGCGCACTGTGCGAAATTCATTGTCTCGCCTCTCAGTAATACAATATTCACACACATAGCAAATATTTGGCAGTGGTTGTTATGTCTGTCGCTGTTCTCCCCTAACTATGACAGCAAACTATACATGTATATATATATATTTATATAACTGATATATATCAACTAAATAACAAGAGGAGAGACAGGAAGATCACATTGATAAGTAACTATATAACTATATCATACCAAGGATATGTAGTGGACTGTTGATATTATTACTATATAGTCTGTCTCCACCCTTCACTCCCTCGTTTGTAGCACAGTATATACCCATCAGGTATATCTCAAGCCAGATATATATATATATATTTACATACTTGCTATTAATTAACTGTTACTACTCTGAAATACATTCATATCATCCTGTCTTCTATAAGTTCGTTATGTGTGGGTATAGTTTAACCTCACCGGATGTTACCCGCATTGAAAATTACACTAAAGGGAGGGTAATGCTGGCTGCACTAAATTATTGTTTTTCGCTGCTGCTGCCTTTTTTTCCAGTTACTTAAATTGACTTCAATCGCATGCTGTAATATCATAATTATGGTTGTCTCTTTTTTTCCTTTTGGGTTTTTCCTAACAATAACTGACGGCTGCAAGTAACAAATTAAGAGAGGAAAAAAAGATTTTCTATTAGGCAGTGCAGTAGGTAGTAAGTAAATATCATTATTACTATTAGATAATACTTAATATATATATATATATATATAATGCAATTGATTATACTTTAGGAATTCATCTTCTACGTAATAGGTTGTTTGTTTTTAAAGTCATATATATATATAAATTAAACAAGCAAAGCGCATTTCATACACATATACACAGACACACACTTTTCACACATATATTTAAAGTAAAGAAAGACTCTATACCCTGTCTTATATATCATTTGTTATTATATTTATTTTATTATTATTTTGTTGAAAATATGGCTGGTGCTTTAGAGAATGCTCGTAAAGAGATAAAGAGAATCTCACTAGAAGATCACGAAGAATCTGAATATGGTTCCATTTACTCCGTCTCTGGTCCTGTTATCGTGGCAGAAAATATGATCGGTTGTGCTATGTACGAACTGGTTAAAGTCGGTCATGACAATTTGGTCGGTGAAGTCATTAGAATTGACGGTGATAAAGCGACTATCCAAGTCTACGAAGAAACAGCAGGTGCTACTGTCGGTGACCCAGTTCTAAGAACAGGTAAACCTTTATCTGTTGAATTGGGTCCAGGTCTAATGGAAACCATTTACGATGGTATCCAAAGACCTTTGAAAGCTATTAAAGATATCTCTCAATCCATTTATATTCCAAGAGGTATCGATGCTCCTGCTTTGAGTAGAGATATCAAATGGAATTTCACTCCTGGGAAATATGTCGTAGGGGATCATATCTCTGGTGGTGATATCTTTGGGTCCATCTTTGAAAACTCGTTGTTAGATAACCATAAGATCCTATTGCCTCCAAGAGCTAGAGGTACCATTACATGGATTGCTTCCGCTGGTGAATATACCGTCGACGAAAAAGTGCTAGAAGTAGAATTCGATGGCAAGAAAGCTGAATATTCAATGTATCATACATGGCCGGTTCGTGTTCCAAGACCTGTTGCTGAGAAGTTATCTGCAGACTACCCTCTATTGACTGGTCAAAGAGTCCTAGATGCTTTGTTCCCTTGTGTTCAAGGTGGTACCACATGTATCCCAGGTGCTTTCGGTTGTGGTAAGACCGTTATCTCTCAATCCTTATCTAAATACTCTAACTCCGATGCTATTATTTACGTCGGTTGTTTCGCTAAGGGTACTCAAGTGATGATGGCTGATGGTTCTGATAAATCAATTGAAGACATTCAATTAGGTGAATTGGTCATGGGTAAAGATGGTACTCCAAGAACCGTTATTTCTTTGCCACGTGGTAAAGAAACAATGTATGAAGTTTGTCATTCTTCCGCTAGTGGTGTTGCCCCAACTACATTGATGAACTATGTTTGTTCAGGTAACCATAAGATCGTTATGCAAACCCCACAACAAGTAGGTATCACTGAACATGGTCTAGATAACGGTAAGAATTATACCAGTGTCTCTTATTTCGCCCTATTGGATTCTCAACATGGTTATCCTGTAGTTAAGAAGGTTACAAAGAGTTTCGAACATCAACAGAATGGTGGTAAAGAACAAACTCTATTGCTAGTCAACCAATTTGTTGCCTCTTTGGACTCTAAACCAATTGACTGGGACGTCGAAGCTAAGCATTACGAAACTCTAGGTCATTACGTCAAAAAATGTTCCTACCAATTAATTAATCCTGTCTTCCAACAATCTGGTAAATTGGCTCAACAATTAGCCACTTTAGGTTACTCTAGCACAGTCGCTCCACAATTGGGTTGGTTGTTAGGTTTCTGGGTTGGTAATGGTGCTATGAAACACTCTCAATTCACCATTGAATCTCAAAGCATTGAATTGATCGACAGAATCCAAGAAACTGCTTTACCATTAGGTCTATCAACTACTACTGCTTGTTACTACAGTGGTTCCAAGGATGACGAATCTAAATTGGCCAAGATTAACGGCGGTAAAGTACAACCTGACGGTACCGTTGTCTTTGAAGATGATTTGGAAGGTACTCCATCTGCTAAAGAATTATCTGACATGGACAGATTATCCGAATCTAAAACTGCCACTGTCTCCACCGCTTTTGGTGTCGAAGCTATTGATGAATTAGTCGTTACTCTAGGTGCCGCTGATAGCCGTGGTAATGTCTTCGCTAATGTCGTTGAATCCTTTGGTATTGATATATCCGATAAGGATGCCCTACTAGAAAAGATTGCTAATGAGTTGGCCCATGATGACTTTGAGGTTCGTGAACAATTCATTGCTGGTCTAGTTGATTCTAACGGTTACGTTAGAAAGGACGTTTATGATCATGCCTCTGAAGCCTCTGCCACTACCACTTACAAAGCTGTCGCTGAAGGTCTAGCCAAATTGGCTCGTTCCTTAGGTATTAAGATCACTGTCACTACTGATGCTGATGACGAAGAAGAAGAGGGTCACCATGACCATTCACACTGTAGCCACGACCATGACTCCACCACTTATACAGCTGTCATGACTGGTGATGCTTTGACCAATGCTATGAAATTCTGTGCCCTTGGTAGAAATAGAGTCCTTGCTAAGGAATTCACCAGAGAAGCTGTTCCATTCTTCTTTACTTTGGACAAGAAGGCTGAAGATGACTACTATGGTATCACTTTACCAGACAACACCGACAAACAATACTTACTATCTTCCATGGCATTGGTTCACAACTGTGGTGAAAGAGGTAACGAAATGGCTGAAGTTCTAATGGAATTCCCAGAATTATTCACCGAAATTAATGGTAGAAAGGAACCTATCATGAAGCGTACTACTTTGGTTGCTAACACTTCCAACATGCCTGTCGCTGCTAGAGAAGCCTCCATTTACACTGGTATCACTTTGGCCGAATACTTCAGAGATCAAGGTAAGAATGTCTCCATGATTGCTGATTCATCTTCCAGATGGGCTGAAGCTCTAAGAGAAATTTCTGGTCGTCTAGGTGAAATGCCTGCTGATCAAGGTTTCCCAGCTTATTTGGGTGCCAAATTAGCCTCTTTCTACGAAAGAGCAGGTAAGGCTGTTGCATTAGGTTCTCCTGATCGTATTGGTTCAGTTTCTATTGTTGCTGCAGTTTCTCCAGCTGGTGGTGATTTCTCCGATCCAGTTACTACTGCTACTCTAGGTATCACACAAGTCTTCTGGGGTCTAGATAAGAAATTAGCTCAAAGAAAGCATTTCCCATCTATTAACACTTCTGTGTCATACTCCAAGTACACTAATGTTTTAGATAAATTCTACGATCAAAATTATCCAGAATTCCCAACTCTAAGAAACCGTATGAAGGAAATTTTGTCTAATGCTGAAGAATTGGAACAAGTTGTTCAATTGGTCGGTAAATCTGCATTATCTGATAGTGACAAGATTACTCTAGATGTTGCATCTTTAATCAAAGAAGATTTCTTACAACAAAATGGTTACTCTACATACGATGCTTTCTGTCCAATTTGGAAGACTTTCGATATGATGAAGGCTTTTATTGCTTATCACGATGAAGCTCAAAAATCTGTTGCTAATGGTGCTAACTGGTCTAAACTTGCTGAAGCTACCTCTGATGTGAAACATCAAGTCTCATCATCTAAGTTCTTTGAACCAAGTAGAGGTGAAACTGAAATTAACGGTGAATTCGAAAAGTTATTATCTAATATCCAAGAGAGATTTACTGAATCTACTGATTAAGGGGAAATAATAATAATAATAAAAAATAATAAAGTAATAAAAAAAACAAAAAGTACAAAAGGAAAATAAAAGATTTGAATTCTTCCTAAATAAACCCCTTTGTAAACTACGCATTTCTTTCTTTCTATCCTTTTATGATGACAAACTTTTTGTTTTATTCGATTTTAAAGAAAACTAAAAAAACACTTCATCTTTATATTTTTTTTGTGACTTAATGAATAATTAAGGGTCTTTCTTATTATAGATACGTGGTATAATTGTTAAAAATTATCCATGTATGTATATATATATGTATATTTCCTTTTTTTACGTTATATAAGTCACAGTCATACATATATAAAATTATACACATAAGAATACTATTAAAATTTTAAAAATAAGAAGGCCAATAATTATGAAATAGTTAACAGACTATCATGAACTGAACAATTGATCTAAAATATTGTACCTTAGAGGTAGACAAAATTAGTATAAATTAACAAAGGAAGAAAAATTATTCATTAATATAATAAATATGTAGATATCATATATACAAATAAATAATATATACAATTAGAATTATCACAAATTAATAAAATAAAAAATTTCAAATTATTCTTCTTAATGATATTATTTTTTTTTAAATGTGCAAAGGCAATCAAAGGAGATATGCCTAGGACTTGGAATAGTGCACGCAGTAGAGCTAGCTATATTACCAAATTCTATAAGATGAAGGGAATAATGAAAATAAATAAAAATAATATAAAATGGAATAGAAACTTAGAAATGAATATGGTCAATATGACATACTACTTTCTAAATCAATTCTTTTTATATTATAATGTCATTGCAATATACCTTCAGCTTATTTGGATCTAGCTCTCACCTTCCGTCTCTTTCTCTTTAGTCTTCTAGTTCTCTTCTTTCTCCACTTAGCTCTCATTATGAATGATGTTAAGTTTACTGGATTATCTTAGGAATTGAAAGAAAAAAGATATGAATAATAAGAAACACAAGATATAACGAATAAAGAAAATACCAATAAGAGAAATATATATTATACAATATTATCGATAATTTTTAATCAATATAATGTTGACATTTATATAACATTAATAAAGGATACAAAAACCAAACATATTATGATATGAGAAAGGGAGAGAGAGAAGGGATAGATGGAAATTTCGTCCAAATCGATATTTATTGCTTGATGAAATTGTTTGGGTCATTTCAAGTATCATACTAATACTAATAATAAATTTCGACAATCAATTTTCTCGTTTGTTAGTGCCAGCTAGTTTAATGGCGATGACCTGGTCTTTCTTTCCGCCATACTGGAATTTTTCAGTTTCCCAAAAAAACTGTTTTAAAAATTAAGGTGGCACTGTGTGTTTTTATTTAATATACCAAGAGGGTAACTGTAAGTGTCTTGAAAAAGTTAGGGGTTCACTATTCTCTCTCTATCCTTTGAGCAATAGAGTAACAAACACGCCTAGAACAGATTCAATATTTAAGCTAATTTACTAACATTTTGCATAGATATTAGGGTTCTTAACTTTCCATAGTATTACTTGAAGTATAATTAACTCATCTTATTCTTGTTCTTATATTATAATCAAATTTACTTATCAAACCCTAGACATTCCCAATAAATAATAATAATTATCAGAAGAATAATATGAGAAATATACATAAATTCTCAGGGTGTACGGGTGTAGCAGAACAAAATAGAAAACATACCCCAAGAATGTTTGGGTGTTTCCCGGCATATACCGTCCAAACATACAACTGAAAAAACAGTACTTACAACGGAAAGCAGTAAAAGAGCGCACAGACGGACGGACACAGAGCTTAATAATTGGCGAAGTAAGAAATTTGAATGGAAAGGCTGTGACGTTCCTCCTCCCTCCCCCCACGCTTCGTTCGCTTTATGTTTCTTCTTAATGTACTGAGTACCGTCTTCCTAGATTGTTTACTAACATTATTCAATTGATTATTGCATTTTAACATAAACAGAACGTCACAACAATAGCTAGTGATCCCGATTGAGTGAACCCCTACATACTTAATATATTTTATTTTGTGCTTAGATGATGATGATATGTGTACCTCATCATTATTATAGGTATTGTATTATTTTTTAATTAAAGAAGAGAACTTCAGTTCAGATAATATATACATATATATACTACATTTTTGGGGAGGTAAGAAGAGAGAATTTCACTGAAATTAGAAGGAAAATTTAAGAGCATGGAGGAGATAACTGAGAGGAGTAGCGGTAATAGTAGTAGCAGTCGAGGTAATCAGGGAGAAAGTCTACCCATTGGGATTCATGAACCTGACGAATCCACCCACGATATAAATAATGATAATGATAATAATAATGATAATAATAATGATAATGGGGAACATACGCCACTACAAAACAGAGAGCATATACCTGAATGGATGAAACCAGTGATGAATAACATGACATTTGCTACTGCCGAGGAACGAAGATTATCTCATTTGAATTCGTATTCATTGTATCCTACAACAGTACCACCGTTTGCGTTAGAGGAACAATTCAAAATTGCTAAATCATTGAAAGAAAAACAACAGCAGACTACTGAAACTTCTGAAGATATGTTACCATCAAATGATCTTGGAAGTTATAGTTGGACTGATATTGCAGAAAATATAGGTTCAAATGTTGCGTATGCCGATGATCAAAAAGTTAATATAATGACATCTAATCGTCCAAAGATATCTAGAATGGCTACAAGAAGTTCTAATTTTACTGAATCATCCTTCTCAAGTGGTAGTATGGATGAAGAAGAAAAAATGAAGATACGAAGAGAAGTATTACAAGATTTAAATGAAGAATGGGGAGGTGAAGAAAGATTACAAGCATTATATAATTTACCTATGCAATCCGATTTCCAATTTAAGACTCAAAAGGATCGTAATGAATGGGCTACGTATGTAGCAAGAGCTAAACAGATATACTATGGTAAAAAATTGAATAAGAAAACCGACCAAGATGATATGACTCAAGAATTACGTGCTCCATTGGGGTCAATGTCGGGACAACAAAGTATAAGAAGTAGAAGGATAGATTGGTTAGAAGACTTTAATGCAGATAAAGAACGATGGAGGAAAATTAGAGATAAGAAGATGAAAAAATGGATGCCTAAGATAAGTAGTATATTGATTGAAAATCAATATTTACCTCTAACATTCAGAATTTGTATAACTATTCTTTCATTAGCCTCTTTGGGTCTTGCAGTAAGAATATTTCAAAACTCAGACGCAAATATAGCAAATATTGATGGGAAGATTCCTCAAGAACCAAGTACAATTATGGCCATTTGTGTTAACTCCATTGCTGTTTTCTATACGATATACATTGCTGGCGATGAATTCTCAGGGCAACCAATAGGGTTAAGAAACCCATTAAGCAAATTGAAATTGATTTTGTTGGACCTTTTATTTATTATCTTTTCCAGCGCCAATTTGGCATTAGCATTTAATACAAGATATGATCAACAATGGGTTTGTACTACCGATTATATGGATAGTGGTCTATACAAATTCCCTAGGATATCATACATTTGTAGGAAACAAAAAGCATTATCCTCGTTCTTATTCGTATTATTATTCATGTGGGTCGGCGTATTCATTATTAGCATCATTAGAGTCGTCGAAAAGGTGAGTTCGAACTTCTCAAGAAATTAAATATAGACAATCATACAATTATTATCATTACTTTTTAATTTTTTATTTAGCATATTCCATAAACAATTCATGAACTTTTTTTATAACTTTACTGATATTCAAGTAATCATGTTATTTTATTGTAAAGAGCTCTTGTGTTGTTCTTGTTTGATTCTGTTATATTTCAACCTAATGCGGTAAAAGGTTACCCTCTAGAATTTTTTAAAAAATTTCACCCTTCTCTTTCCGCAAGGCGTTGGAATGTTTGAATGATAATGATGTTGTGGCGAACAAGAATAACCGATCTTAGGATTATAGCGGGGGATGTTAAATTAGCAATAAACAAAAACCTATAAAGAAACAAGGAATACCAAAGCCTAAGGATCAGTTTCAATCCCAACATATCGAGGTAATTTTTTATACTAACGTTTTTTTTCTCGTTATTACCTCGTCAATAAGATCCGTTATTGTTTATTTGATCTGTTATCTCGTAGATCAAAAATCATAGTTGAAACATTAAAAAACTATTAGATAAACATATCCATATTTGCATTATATTTCGATAGATAATCCTTCTTTTATTTTTCACTTTTGGCATTTTTTCTTAATATAATATATTATCAACATTCTCATATTCTTAAATAAGCAATTCATTCAAATAAGAACATTCCCGAAATGACTGAAATGCTCCCAAGATCAGACGATTTGGAGGCTACATGGAACTTCATTGAACCGGGTATTAATCAAATTCTAGGCCATGAAGATGCTCATAAACAAACATCGCAAGACAAACGGGTTGACAAGATTTTGTCCCCTACTATGTACATGGAAGTATACACTGCAATTTACAATTATTGTGTTAATAAATCACGTTCTTCGGGTCAATTCAATACAGATAAACCATCTAATCAATCATCTATCCTGGTAGGTAGTGAAATATATGAAAAATTGAAAAATTACCTTAAGAAATATCTGTTAAATTTTGAAAAAAACCCTGAAGAGACTTTTTTACAATTTTATGTTAGACATTGGAAGAGATATACAGTTGGTGCAATCTTTTTAAATCATACGTTTGATTATATGAATAGATACTGGGTTCAAAAGGAGAGAAGTGACGGTAAAAGACACATCTTTGATGTTAATACTTTGTGTTTGATCACTTGGAAAGAAGTTATGTTTGATCCTAATAGTGAACTTCTTGTTAATGAGATTTTGGACCAAATTACTCTTGAAAGAGATGGAACAGCTATAAAGAGAGGGGATATTACTACATCTATCAAATCGTTCGTTATGTTAGGTATCGATTTACAAGATTTAAAGAAACTAAATTTGAACGTCTACATTCAAGTTTTTGAAAAACCATTCCTAAAGAGAACTGAAGAATATTACAGGCAATACTCAGTGAATTATTTGAAGACACATCCAGTAACGGATTATATCTTTGAAGCACATACCATTATAAATCGTGAAGAGAAGGGTATGGCCATGTATTGGGATGATCATACCAAGAAACCATTATCTGAAACTTTAAATACTGTTTTGATTAAGGAACATATTGAAAAGATGGAGGCAGATTTTGTTACTTTGCTAGATTCAAGAGATAATAATAAGATTTCTGCACTATACAATTTGTTACAAAGAGATTTCACACTATTACCAAAACTTGCTACAGCTTATGAAGATTACGTAAGGCGTACTGGTGAACATGAAGTTTCAAGATTAATAGAAGCCCATAAAGCTGCTGTAATGAGCAGTGCCCCAGAGGGAGCTAATCCAAAGAAATTAGCTATGACAGCCATGCATTCATTCCCTCCAAAGGAATACATAAAGAGATTACTTGTTGTGTATGATACATTCCGTGTGATTACATATGACTGTTTTGATAATGATGTTCTTTTCACAAAGGCTCTTGACAATGCATGTCGTGCTTATATTAACGATAATGAATTTGCATTACCACCGGGATCTTCTAGATCTGCCACATCAAAGACCTCTGAAATGTTGGCCAAATATAGTGACCAACTGTTAAAAAAATCTACAAAACCTGAGATTGCTGCAGATATGTCTATTGATGATATTATGGTGGTATTCAAATTTTTGACCGATAAGGATGTCTTTGAATCCCATTATCGTAGATTATTTGCAAAAAGATTAATTCATGGGACTTCTATATGCGATCAAGATGAAGAGGCTGTTATTCAAAGATTACAAAGTGAGAATAGTATGGAATATACAGGTAAGATAACTAAGATGTTCCAAGATGTAAGACTTTCTAAGATCCTTGAGACAGATTTCGATATGATGGTGAAACAATTGCCAGATTATTCAAGAAAGAAATACCCTGAGTTACAACCATTTGTCCTTGCCGAGAACATGTGGCCATTTTCATTCCAAGAAGTCGAATTCAATATCCCGCAAGAGTTGGAGAGTACTTATACAAAATTAGCTGACATGTATATCAATAAACATAATGGTCGTGTCCTTAAATGGTTATGGCCATTATGTCGTGGTGAATTAGTGGCAAACATTGGTAAACCAGGTCGTCCCCCATTCCATTTCACTGTGACGTTATTCCAAATGAGTATATTATTATTGTTCAATGCTACCGACACTATCACATTAGAGACTATTCAAGATAAGACTGGCTTATCATTACAAAACATTGCTGCTTCGATGGTGCCGTTTATTAAATTTAAATTAATACAACAAATCCCAACAGGTTTAGAAGCATTGGTGAAACCAGATACTCAGTTCAAGATTGCACAACCATATAAAGCATTAAAAACTAAGATTAATTTTGCAGGTGGTGTCAAGAATGATATATTGAATGCATTGCAACATAATAATGGAAATGGCAGCAATAATAATGACCCGAATAATAACGGTGCACAAAGTAAAAATGGTGCGAATGCAGATGGTAACACAATGACGGAGAACGAGTTGATAGAGAAAGAATTAAACTCTGAGAGACAAATCTTCCTGGAGGCCTGCATTGTTAGAATCATGAAGGCAAAACGTAAGTTACCACACACTATGTTAGTAAACGAGTGTATTGCTCAGACACATCAACGGTTTAATCCTAAAGTATCGATGATTAAAAGAGCCATTGACGGGTTAATCCAGAAGGGTTACTTGCAGAGATGCGATGATGGTGAATCTTACTCTTACTTAGCTTGATTCTGTCATCGTTGTAATTCTCATTCAAGACATCCATAGGTGTACCAAACCATATCTCTTATTTTCTCCCGTCCTACCTAAGGAAACTAAGCACTATAATATAATAAGTAATGAACAAACTACGTAGATATTTAAACAAAACAAAAAAAATTACATAAAAAAACTTAATAAAAGCAATATTACAAAATATAACCTTAATAATACTTAGTACCTAGTTATTAAATGACAAAATGAAATGAGATGTGTTTTTCAGTGGTATTATTAACCCGAACAATGTCATCGAATTACTCACCAACTAAATAAGTAGAATACCTGTAATAACCTAGTTGATCGTCAACATCTATCTCTTCTTCCTGGAGTTGCTTTAACCTTTTGTCTAAACAGAGTTAACTTACGAGTCCCTATTTTGTTACTGGGCTCACAATATCGCTGAACAAAAAGAATTTCCGTCGGGAAATATAATGAGCAATTCTATTCCGTGCACTGCAAAAAACGCGTGGCTAATTCCTGTGGGAAAGGACGGTCAGCTGCAGAGGAATTCAACTGAACTTTGCCGGTGACTAATCCTCTCTCTCTCTCTCTCACACACTTTTTAGTTTTTGAATTTTCAACGGTAAGAAGTTGAAGCAGGCGAAGTGTGAGTGCAGAGATTTTGAAATGGGAGGGACTCCCTTTTTGCTGGAATATTAGATTAGTATAACCAACCGCTTTTTCACTTCTGTTTCTTGCTTTCTTTTGATTAGTCAAGTAGAGAGCATCTGTCTATTGCATTGACTTCTTATTGTTATTGCTCTGTTACCACATTTTTCCCATCGTGAAATTGCGGTCTTGAAAGAATCTCACTGGGAAGTTGAAAGAAATCCCTAGGTTCACGAAACTGAAATCATCTTACTATGTATGTATGTATGATGTAAAGGGTGTGCGAATGATCCCTTTTCTTACTTGGTGTTACTGAATATTTCGTTAAGCTAGTCTATTTTGTGCATTTCGAAACGTAAATGTGTGCGTTCTGTTACTTGGCTGTATCTTGACTAATAATTGAATATATTTAAATTTTATGATCTAAACTATATTATATATATATATATATATATAAGTATATTTATTTCATTAGTTATTATTTGAATATCCCCTTTTGATATAAATTTTTGTTTCTACTCTTGTTTTGTTCCTAATTATTTTTCAGAAGTCACATATATATATAGAAAAGTATAGGTATACACATATTATCTAGTCATTCAGATTAAGAGAAGAGCAAGAAAAGTATAACTATTCTAGTTTTAGTAAATATAATGAGTGAAAGTAAAGATATTCAAAAAGTCACGGAGACTATAACTGGTCCACATCAAGTTAATCCATATGGTCCAAACCCAGGTGATTTTCTTTCCAATGTTAACAATTTCCAATTGATCGACTCTACTCTAAGAGAAGGTGAACAATTTGCTAATGCTTTCTTTGATACTGAAAAGAAAATCGAAATTGCCAAAGCTTTGGATGATTTCGGTGTTGATTACATTGAACTAACTTCTCCTGTTGCCTCTGAACAATCTCGTAAGGATTGTGAAGCTATTTGTAAATTAGGTTTAAAAGCCAAAATTTTGACTCACATCAGATGTCATATGGATGACGCTAGAGTTGCTGTGGAGACTGGTGTCGATGGTGTCGATGTCGTTATTGGTACTTCCAAGTTCCTAAGACAATACTCTCACGGTAAAGATATGAATTATATTGCTAAGAGTGCCGTTGAAGTCATTGAGTTTGTTAAATCTAAAGGTATTGAGATTAGATTCTCTTCTGAAGATTCCTTTAGAAGTGATTTGGTCGATCTATTGAACATTTACAAGACTGTCGACAAGATCGGTGTTAACAGAGTCGGTATTGCCGATACTGTTGGTTGTGCTAATCCAAGACAAGTTTACGAATTGATTAGAACATTGAAGAGTGTTGTCTCTTGTGATATCGAGTGTCATTTCCATAACGATACTGGGTGTGCCATTGCTAATGCTTACTGTGCCCTTGAAGGTGGTGCTCGTTTGATCGATGTCAGTGTCCTTGGTATTGGTGAAAGAAATGGTATTACTCCATTGGGTGGTCTAATGGCTCGTATGATTGTTGCTGCTCCAGAATATGTTAAATCCAAATATAAGTTACATAAGATTAGAGACATTGAAAATCTAGTTGCAGAAGCCGTTGAGGTTAATATTCCCTTTAACAATCCAATTACTGGGTTCTGTGCCTTCACACATAAGGCTGGTATTCATGCAAAGGCTATTTTGGCTAATCCATCTACTTATGAAATTTTGGATCCTCATGACTTCGGTATGAAGAGATATATTCATTTTGCTAATAGATTGACGGGTTGGAATGCTATTAAGTCTCGTGTGGATCAATTGAATTTGAATTTGACAGATGATCAAGTTAAGGAAGTCACTGCTAAGATCAAGAAGATGGGTGATATTAGACCATTAAATATTGATGATGTGGATTCTATCATTAAGGATTTCCATACAGGTTTAGCTACACCAGCTATTAAACCAGTGGATTTAACTACTGAAGAACCAGCTGCCAAGAAGACTAAATATTCCAAATAAGAACAACAATAGTATATTGTCGTATTCCATCATCTTTCTATACATATTTGTAATTTCTGTATAATGTATTCTAAAGAACCGAAAATTAAAATGAAAAGAAAGCAAAACAAAATAAAGTAATTATTTATACTGTATAATCTAAAAATTATTAGTTTAGGTATTAGCTGTCAAAGGTTACCTTTGGGACCTAAACGTAAATAATCGTAGCCAATGACATGCGGTCTGTATTGGTTAAAAAAAAAAGATTAACGTCATTAATAGAAATGTCTCATAATGATTAAAGTTACAACCATTAATAACACCTCTTCTGGAGTGTAATCTACTTTATATTTTTACACACCTATTTTACTATTGCTGCTTAGAAAAGTAGGATTCAGTACATATAAATATACTGCCAGAAAGGAATATCGATTTACCAATTGTCGATGTCGTTCAAGAGTACTTATTATCTACAATTCCCTCATGATCTTTATCAAGATAAGCAAAAACAAAATGTGGCTAAACCTTTGTCCTAAAATATCTAATCTACAAGGTAAACGATACTTCGATGGTATTTAAATGTACAATTAGTCTACCGTATCAAGTGACACATCGTATCGGGGAAAGGGGATGGGGGACAGTCTTCACTCTTTTAGTTGGGAAAATTTCACGGAGGACGGGGATAGTATTTTTTTTGGTTCAAGCGCAATGAAAAGAATTCTTACACTATTATTATTATTATATAAATAATACAAGGAACTTGAAATTAAGGGGACCTTTTTTCATTGTACTCGTTATTTCGAATTGATGAGAGAAAGAGAAGTAAGTATTTTAGGAAAAAACAAACAAACTATACCAAAATTACTGTTAGAAATCAAAAATTATGATTATGAATGTTACTTGCCGTGGAACTATGCTAAGAAGAAGTGTTAATATACCTATAAGTAAGAGACTATTGAGAAGTTACCCAGGTGGTACACAAACTTTGAACGGATTTGAGAAGTTTAATCAAAGAGAACAAGCCAAAGAGAACTATTTCATTAGAAAACATGAAAAAGAACAAATGGAAGAACAAGTAAAGCAATACAAGGAACAGATTAAACATTTGAACAGTAAGATCGATGAGATTGAAAAAGAACATGCTAAGAAATCTCAGAAATAAATCGACCGAACACAAGCACTTCCAAACCTAAATCCCCCCAAAAATCTAAATAAATAACAAACTAGTTGTAATTAGTTATATTAGTTTTGACATTAAATATTATTCTTTATTCTCTAAACCCTTTTTGTAAAAATTAAAAAATAATAATAAAAATATTATAATTCGTATATAAATATTCAATATTCTATTAATATTAGTTATATCTTAAACAAATTGTGAAATACCACTTTCCCCAGCTCGTGAAACATGACGATATTCCCGGCTTATCTCACTCTCATTCTCGCCCCACGCTCTGCCCCCCCACACCTACAGCAAAACGAAGAACGAACGAAATTCAGCGCGATGAGAACAAAAAACCAAAAAACAGATTTGAGAGCGAAAATTTTAAGCGGACAGGAAAACAAACGAATTTGGAAAGTGATGACATCTGCAAAGGTGATGCAATAACACATGATACATGACGGAATCTCTATTACCGCAAGTAGACATTATTAATAGACAGTTAGTCATCTGATACTGTTTTGTTTCGGTTTTTCATTATTTCATTTTACATAATATATGAGAAGGACCTATAACAGATACAGATACAGATACATACACAGAACCTATTTTCTCCCTTTATTGCCTCCTTTCATTTTGGTTCGTTTATTTAAATAGATAGAAATGGAAATTCCCAGGAAAGATAGTCGTGGGTCAGGGATTCAACCCTTCCAACTAGTGACCCCCCAGGAACTTATCGACAAAGATATCAACAGCAACACTAATGGCCCCCACGGTAATGGTAGTGGTGGTGTGTCACAAATTAATGACACTCAGAAACAATCTGCAATGATGATATCTAATATGACTCATGACGATTCTCAGATGAAAAAATCCAAGAAAGGATCTGTTGATATCGAGATGGAAGATATTGGTAGACGGTTATTCCATCCATCGTTGGAAAATACTAGAGATTTAGAGAATGAAATTGCCATATTAATACAACAGTTGAATAAAAGACAACGGATAATGACAAATAATTCTTCTACTACTACCGCTACTTCAACTCCAGATATAGTAAGTGATGCGAAAGTGATAGATGTATTAAATAAGTCGTTAATGGCATTATCTCACTGGACGTTACAGGGCCAACTGTTACAAATGTCAGATATAAGAAGAAACGACAGGGTCAATAACAATAAAACATCTTCAAATACTCCCTTAATGGAAAGGCAAAATAATAATGTAGAGGGAACCCCAAAGGCTAGAAGTACAACAGTTAAGATGTCAGTATTATCACCTCCAAGACAACCTCATATCGAAATCTCCCCAAAGACGGCAGTAGTACAAACAAATGGTCCTCAAAAAGTTATACGGTTTGGTCGTATACGGAAACCTCGTCAATCAAAGACTATAGAAATTCCCAAACCTGCATTAATAGTCAAGAATGCTAACTCTCCAATCAATGCAGCAGCAAGGTCAACAACTGCAGCCATGTATCTTACCTCGCCTACAAACAAGACATCTTCACCTAGCATGAGTGGTAACAACAACAACAACAACAATAACCATAGTATTAAGATAACAACCACCACACACGGAGTATACAAATTATCAGAAACAGAGTGTACTCCAGTGACGGTATCGACACCGATAACTACAGCAGTACCAAAGAAGAAAAAGAGAAAGACCCTTACACAAGAAACCATGACGCATACGATCGAACCAAAATCGAAGAATGAGCTCATCCGCGTGTTTCATGTCAAAAAATGAAACCATCCCTCTTATTTCTACTACAAAATTCTAATCAATATTCACACAGCGCAACACATTGTATCATTACCACAAACATCCTATACACACACATACATATATTTGAATATGTCTACATAAATGTTTAACTTAATTTAATTTCAACGGACTCTTAACAACAACATCTCCTCCAATTTAACCGTCTTTCTCAACTAACTGAACTCAGTTTTCTCAATTATGTGGTTATATTAACCCAGCAAGATTACTTAAAGATACAAATTTGCTTACAAAATATAATCACCTTGAACGAACAGCGACCTAACCCAGCCATCTCTTCCGATACGCGAAATGCCCGCCACGCAAATTTTCTATACATATTTTGTAGGATCTGCGAGGTATTCTTCGCCCAGCCCACTTTTTCTATCCAATTTGTGACCGAATCAGGTAATTTCTTGTACTGCTCGATCCTCTTAATTTCGGCGTCTTCACACCAAAACCATCGCGCGACGCCAATTGTCTTTTCAATTTTTTCACTTCGATGGGCACTTTGAAACACTTTCCAGACGACAACTAGAGCGATATAGGTATAGTAAGAGAGTGGTCTGTACATCTATTGTTTGGTTGCTGCAATGGTCAGAGAGTCAGAAACTGGGCCTCAACTAGATCTGCTGGTATCTAAATATACACTCGCAAACTTCATTATCCATAGATAATATATATATATAGATAAATATAAATGCTTTTATTTGGTAACGTACTTTGTAGTTGGATGTCTTGCAATGGATTTCTCAATAAGTGAAAAATAATTACAGGAAATATATATAATCCACTATCCCCTATATATAACAAGTGAAAAAACAAAACAAAACAAATCAAAGATGATATCTGATTATGATACGCTCATACAATTCAACAAACAGCAAGTTACCAGTGAAATGATCGATTTTCTGGCATCAACTACTGAATCTATCATAGCGGTTCAAGAGACTCGTAGTATGATTGCCATCGCTTTACCTGCTCCACCATTGACAAAATTTATTAGGAATTTAGTCACACATTCAAATGTTCAAACTCCAACATTAATGGCTACAGCAGTATACCTTGCTAAACTACGTTCTATTATTCCAGCAAATGTGTATGGTATGGAGACTACTCGTCATAGAATATTTTTAGGATGTCTTATCCTATCGGCAAAGACACTTAACGATTCATCTCCTCTAAATAAACACTGGGCAAAATATACTAATGGGTTATTATCAATTAAAGAAGTAAATACAATTGAACGTGAATTATTGGAATATTTCGATTGGAATGTCATTGTAAATACAAGTGATTTGATTACATGTTTGCAACCATTATTAAGAACAATGAAAGATAGACACACTCAAGCTAGAAGACGTGCACAAAACCAGAATTTACTATGCTTCAATTCTCCAACTTCATCATACCATCATCCTACCACTACAATGGTTTCCCCACATTCATACCACAAGAAAATGTCCTCGACAGTATCTTCAGACTCCATATTACATTCAAGATCGGACTCTAATTATTCTATCCCTTCATTAGCCTCAACTTCGTCTGTGTCGTCAATGGCCTCTAGAAGATCTAAATATTCTCTAGCCACGGCACAAATGATTCCAGAAGAAAGCCCAACTTATATGACTACAAAGAATCCTTATAACGTTCCAATTATGGATTATAATAAAGAAAATATAGGTATGAAATCATTACATTCTTCCTCTTCTCCGGTGAAACCTTTCATGTTAAAAAATCGATTAGTGAAAATTAAACCAATTTCATCTACTGTGGATTCTGCCTCTAATTGGGCTTCCTCATTCTTTAATTAACCAGCATCTCATTCTACAAAAACGATGACCATCGTAATAAGTTTTTTACAAACACACATATATTCGTAGCATCAATATATTTATATACGTAGATAAATATATATATATTCCCAGCAAAAAGTCAAAAAAAAAATGCATCAAAATCAAATTTTTCATGATTCTAAAGTAAGCGTTATATTATATACTTAATGTTACCTATTTTACTCTGTCTTTTCCAGTTTGGCAACCAGTTCCTCGTGTAACTTACCAAGGGTTTCAAAGTCTGGTTCAGCAGCTGGCCATTCCACACCTAGACCAGTCTTAGCATCTTTCTTCGGAATCAAATGGAAGTGAACATGTGGAACTTCTTGATGAGCAATCTTACCGTTATTTTGCAATAAGTTGTAACCAATACCATCTTGACCTTCAACGTCTAATTGTAAAAGTTTCACCAATTTCTTAGTCACAGGTAAGACGTCTTGCAGGTATTCATCAGGAATATCTGTCAATTTAGCACCATGGTATTTTGGAATGATTAAAGTATGACCTGGTGCAGTAGGTTGAATATCTAGGAAAGTATAAACATGAGCAGTCTCATACAATTTAAATGAGGGGATCTCACCCTTGATAATCTTACAAAAGATGCAAGAAGCATCGTGTGCAGCAATAGCAGTCTTGGACATGGTTTATATTCCCTTTTGTATATTTGTATATATTGAGCTATGGATCTTAATTAAGTTTTCTCAATTGTAAAACTCTTTGAAATAACGTTATGGTTAATTTTATATTCCTTTCTAATTCGTCTACCCCATTTATTCAATCTCTTTTGACTGCAGAAAGAGCAGGAAAAGGGATTCTCTTCTCTTAGCGCGTTGGTTTCTTGAAGCTTCATATCGTCTCCAGCGATAAAAAATGGATCTCTTCAAGAAGTGTTCTCTCTTTTAATCAAGTTACATAGAAGATCTGATGATATTGGTCGACATGCTCAATGTATAATTGCGATACAAGAGTCCTCTTTTCTACCATTACAATTTACGCAGAGTTTATTCATACGATTAATAATATATTAACCCAACAAACAAAGTTAATTTTAAGGTAGCGAGCGATAACTAATGACAAGGAAAAAAAAACCCTCTCCTATATATATAATATACAATAACTTTTGAAGCCACACTTTCCCTCCTTGATAATTAAATAACTGACCTTGTGAATCAATTGCCTCTAACTTTCTATTGTTGTCCTTTTTAGCCAATGGTTACGTTTTGAGAATCTTCAAGAAAAATCTTTGCCACATCGGGGACACCCTTAAATAATCGCAAATTTGTATAAAAGCTAACAATTTCAAAACGCCTTCTTTTGGAAAAGAATTTGTTACTTCATTGTAACATGATATACATAAATATATACATATTTAGATTAGATTGTAGCAATACGAACAAATAATGTCCTTCCACCAAGACTTTTTTACTTTAAATAATGGGAATAAAATCCCTGCTGTAGCCGTTGTTGGTACTGGTACAAGATGGTACAAACAAAAAGAAACACCTGAAAATGTTAACAGCGAGTTGGTTTCACAAATTGAAAAAGCTTTGACTTTACCAGGAATTGTCCACATTGATGCTGCTGAGGTCTATAGAACATACCCTGAAGTGGGTAAAGCTTTAAGTCAATCTAAGAAACCAAGAGATGAAATCTTTATCACTGACAAATATTCTACTCAATTGAAGGTCACAGAAAACCCAATTGTTGGACTAGACACTAGTTTGGAGAGATTAAACATTGACTATGTTGACCTATATTTGTTACATAGTCCATTTGTTAGTATTGAGAAGAATGGTTTTACATTGGAAGATGCCTGGAGACAAATGGAAAAATTGTACAAAGATGGGAAAACTAAGAATATCGGTGTCTCTAATTTCTCCGTGGAAGATCTAGAGAAGATCTTAACTATCTGTGAGATTAAACCTCAAATCAATCAAATAGAATTCAATGCCTTCTTGCAGAATCAAACTCCAGGAATTGTTAAATTCTGTCAATCTCATGATATTGTTCTGGAGGCTTATTCTCCATTAAGTCCATTACAAAAGAGACCTGAAAACTCCGAAAACGATCAATTTTATAAGTTTGTCGAAAGTTTAACCATCAAATACTCAAAGACTGAGGCTCAAATTCTATTGCGTTGGGTAACTAGACGTGGGGTTGTTGCAGTGACTACCTCATCAAAATTCTCTAGAGTTCAAGATGCTCAAAACTTGTTTACTTTCGATTTAACTGATGAGGAAGTTGAAGAAATTACTAAACTAGGTCTGAAACATAAAGCTCAAAGACTATATTGGAATGAAGAGTATGACAAATATAATGTCCAATCCCAAAATTAAGGATAGTTAACGTAGGATCCTTTTTAGGCACAAATATATTTATATTTATATATAAACTGACGTTAACTAATCATTTAGAAGAATAAATGGGTATATATATTAAAAGGATTTATGAATCTTTATGAACTTTTTGTCTTTTTTAAACATGATATGTATTGTGTCAAACTAATTATGGGGAGGCGGAAAGTTATTTTTAACAATATTAATAGGACTATCATTCGGAGTATGCAGGTGGTTGTGAAGTTTGAATCTTATTATCTGTGGGTCTTGTTCTCTCTTGGTAGTTCGATTCGGCTAACAAAGGTCGTCTTATATCTTGATTTTCTCTGTTAGACTCAGTTTGTCTTTCAGAATCCTGCCATCCATTCTGGTAAAAATATACGTATTCCACATCTCTACGTAGGGGACTAGTTACTGTAATATAATAGAAAGCATGAATCATACCAGGTACAAACCCACATAAAGTCAATAAAATATTTAATAAGAAATCCTTTGAACAAAAACCTGATCTCAGTAGCACTGCTATAGGTGGGAAGAAGAACGCCACAATATACAGAATAAAGTCGGAAACCGAACAACAAACATAAACACACATTTTCTATATTGTATATATGCAGTTGAGTGTATTTATCTTTGACTAAAGGGTGAAACCAAATATATATTTTTATTTAAGAAAACTGAGGAGTTGCAAAATACTTTAACCATTTCAGCCCCATCTCAAGTTATCATATAATGCATGTAATATATACGTATGATGAAGGGCCCTCACTTCCTCCTTTTTTATTTTTATCTTTTGTCCATTTGAAAATCAAAGCGACATCGCATCGACCAGGAAGACGAGATGAGCAAACCATTTATAAGACCACTTTTCCATAAGAGGCAAAGGAAACAGAAGAGAAAGAACATAACCAGTAGTCTACATATATTCTGTCATCAATTGGATGAACAAATGAATAAATGAATGAATGCATTGTATCTAATATTGATATATTTATGTATGTATGTATCTATACTAAATTATTTTATTAAGAAAAATGTTTATTTCTTAATGGTCCCACTTCTGAAAGGTTTATATTGATTATATCTCTTGGTATTTTGATTATAATTACTATTGTTGTTGTTGTATGACGATGACGAACTAGAATATCTTGCATTCTCTAATCCTCGAGCGATAGCATTCGATCCATCATAGTTCGACCGTGGGAAAGTCAATGGATGTTGTCTATTACTACCACTATTGTTGCCATTATTATTATTATATTGATCTCTTATTGGTTGTAATGTATTACCTCTACGAGTTGGTTGAATGTATCTGCTGCTATTATTATTATTATTATTATTATTATTATTTTGTCTATCATTTCTAAATCTTTTTTTAGATTTATTTGTGTTTTGATAATCATTGTCATATTTAGAATCATCATATTCATAATCATTATAATCAAATCCATCATTACTATTACTATTATTATTTGAGAAATATGTTTCTCTTCCACCACTATTACGTGAATTATAATTATTACCACTATTTCTGCGAGAATTACCATATTGAGCATCAACTTCATCAAAATATTCATCCTTTAATACATAAGACAGATTCTCACCAGAGAATGCACTCCCATCTTCATTTGGTACACGAGATGATCTTCTTTCACTACAATCATCTCCAAAATGACCTGTCAAACCACAATTATAACAGAATACATCTTCCATATTTAAAGACAACCCATTAGTGGTCTTTTTTTCTTGATTAATATCATCACGTAATAAATAAACTCTCCATATACTTGGACATCTATCTCTTGAGTGTTTATTACTATCACATAAAGTGCAATAAACTTTCTTCCATTTCTGAGGACACTGAGATCTATAATGCCCCTTTTCATTACAATTTGAACATTTAATAGCCTTTGGACAATGTTGAGAATAATGATCATCCATTGAACCACAATATGTACATATAACATGAGGACAATTTTTCTTTAAATGACCACGTTGTGAACAATTATTACATTTAGGTTCTGCTTCTTTCACAACGGACGACAATCCATTAGAATCAGAGACACCAAAGTAACGACCTTGACCTCTTAGGGACCTTAATACTTCGGGATCCTCATCCACTTGTTCTATCGAAGGAGCAACAATCTTTGGCTGTTCAATAGTTTGTTGTGGTGATGGGTCTACCACGAACGGTAACGTATCCTGCGTTTCCACTTCTGATAACGATGACATGACGGAATAAAATTAGTACCAATCCTAATACGATACAGACCTTCAAGTGTATCTACCAAACAGTGTTAATGCTTTCCTTTCTCAAAATTAACCCCAAAATAGCTGGTGTATCGTGCCAGCTTCTCTTGTATTGTAGTAAATTAAATTGTTATGAATTGAATTGTTATGTAATATTTATTATCGTGAAATTTTGACCGCCAAAAAAAATGAAAAAATTTCGCTGTTTCACGGGCGATGAGTTGCCGTTTGGTGCACTAGTTTCTGTGCTGTGATGGTAATTGTTGTTTGCTCTATTAGAGAACCGATCAATAGATGGATGCCAGTATGTCAGTATGCTTGATATATATATACATATATATGTATATTTGCAAGTTGTCTTATGTATGGATATATATGTGAAATATGTTGAAGTGATTTTATTAAAATGAGAGCATCACTTGGTACGATGTACCGTACTGCACGACGTTGTACTCTTGACCGTGCAACGCGACGGGTTACGTTGTTGAAACTTTTTTATTAAAGATTCACGCATCGTCAATTTCAATTAGTGTAATCTTTCACAACCTTTCGAGAGCGAGAGAGAATTGGCAACTTTCTAACAATTAATGCGATGTGTCATTCCGATGATGGAGTAACTAATCGTTGCCTTCTTCCAGGATGTAACTGTAACCTATCTCTCTATCTATATAAATAAATAAAGGATTGTAATATATTGTTGCTGTTTCTATTTCTTTAGTCTACGCATAAGAACCCCCACGTCAAACGCATATTCATTTATTTTACGTAAGCAATAACAATAATAATGAGTGCAGCTGAAGCCACTGAACAAGTTAAAAACTTGTCAGTCAAGGAAGATAAGAAGCAAAACAAAAAACAAAACAATAAACAAGGTAAGCAAGCCCTTTACATGGACCCAGAACCTCAATTTATTGAAGAAAGAATTCAACTGTTTGAAAAATTACAAAAGGAATACAATGACAAATGTGATGCTGCTCCACGTAATAAGTTGAACATTATCCTAAAGGATGGTGCTGTCAAGGAAGCTAAATCCTTCGAGACTACTCCTTTGGATATTGCTAGAGACATTTCAAAGTCTCTTGCTGATAGACTATGTATCGCTAAAGTTAATGGTCAATTATGGGATTTGGATAGACCATTTGAAGGTGAAGAAAATGAAGACATTAAGTTGCAATTGTTAGATTTCGATTCCGATGATGGTAAGAGAGTCTTCTGGCATTCTTCTGCTCACGTTCTAGGTGAAGCTTGTGAATGTAACATGGGTGCTCATATTTGTTTAGGTCCACCAACTGATGATGGTTTCTTCTATGAATTCTCTACCAGAGATTCTTTAAAAGAAATCACCGAAGAAGAAAAAGCTAATGAAAGAACTATCTCTCAAGCTGATTTCCCAGCTTTAGAATCTGTCTCCAAGAATGTCATTAAGGATAAACAAAAATTCGAAAGATTAGTCATGTCTAAGGAAGATTTATTGAAGATGTTCCATTACTCCAAGTATAAGACTTATTTAGTTCAAACTAAGATCCCAGATGGCGGTGCTACCACCGTCTACCGTTGTGGTAAGTTGATCGATTTATGTGTTGGTCCTCATATTCCAAACACTAACCGTATCAAGGCTTTCAAGTTATTAAAGGCTTCCTCTTGTTACTTCTTAGGTGACGCTGAAAACGATTCTTTACAAAGAGTTTACGGTGTTTCTTTCCCAGATAAGAAGTTGATGACTGCTCATCTACAATTCTTGGAAGAAGCTAAGAAGAGAGACCATAGAAGAATAGGTAAAGAACAAGAATTATTCATGTTCAATGAAATGTCTCCAGGTTCTGCTTTCTGGTTACCTCATGGTACTAGAATCTACAATACTCTTGTGGATCTAATGAGAACTCAATACCAAAAGAGAGGTTATGAAGAAGTCATCACTCCAAACATGTACAACTCAAAGTTATGGGAAACTTCTGGTCATTGGGCTAACTATAAGGAAAACATGTTTTCCTTTGAAGTTGAAAAGGAAACTTATGGTTTGAAACCAATGAATTGTCCAGGTCACTGTCTGATGTTCAAGTCTAGAGAACGTTCTTACAGAGAATTACCATGGAGAGTTGCTGATTTCGGTGTTATTCACAGAAATGAATTCTCTGGTGCCTTATCTGGTTTGACTCGTGTTAGAAGATTCCAACAAGATGATGCTCATATCTTCTGTACTCAAGATCAAATTGAATCTGAAATTGAAAACATCTTCGATTTCTTGAAGTACGTTTATGGTGTCTTCGGTTTTGAATTCAAGATGGAATTGTCCACTAGACCAGACAAGTATGTCGGTGAAATTGAAACTTGGGATGCTGCTGAAGCTAAACTTGAATCTGCTCTAGTTAAATGGGGTGGTAACTGGGAAATTAACCCAGGTGATGGTGCTTTCTACGGTCCAAAGATTGATATTATGATTTCTGATGCTCTAAGAAGATGGCATCAATGTGCCACCATCCAATTGGATTTCCAACTTCCAAACAGATTCGAATTGGAATTCAAGGCCAAGGATAACAAGACAAACAGCGAAGAAACTACTGTTGAAGCTTACGATAGACCAGTCATGATCCATCGTGCCATTCTAGGTTCCGTGGAAAGAATGACTGCTATTTTGACTGAACATTTCGCTGGTAAATGGCCATTCTGGTTATCTCCACGTCAAGTTTTGGTGGTCCCAGTCGGTGTCAAGTACCAAGACTACGCTCAAGAAGTCCGTGACAAGTTCCACTCTGCTGGTTTCTATGCTGACGTTGATTTAACTGGTAATACTTTGCAAAAGAAGGTAAGAAACGGTCAAATGTTGAAATATAACTTCATTTTCATTGTTGGTGAACAAGAAATGACTGAAAACTCCGTCAACATCAGAAATAGAGATGTCATGGAACAACAAGGTAAGAATGCTACTGTTGATGTCGAAACTGTCATCAAACAATTGTCTAACTTGAAGGAAGAAAAGAGAAACGATAATACCTTAATCTAATTTGTAAATTTGTATTAAATAATCATCTTTGTTTACATGTTCCTATTTTAATATAAGAAATATATACATACATATAATAAACAATAACTAATGATATTTCATATATTATTTTATTATAAAAATTGTCTTAAATAATAAATCTATTACTGCTCTTTAGAAAATCATAATATAAAAATTTAAAGTCATACATTTTAATAAATGTAATTTTTGAAGTCGTCCAGTATATTGTAATTATATATATATAAATTTATATAATGACAAATAATGTCAGACTTGGAAGTAATCAGAACATCACAGCAAAAGTAAGTATTTGAAAGAAGAAGGAAACAAAGTTATACAAATATAGGTTAAAAAGGGAAGAATAGTATCAAAAAGAGAACAGCTGTTCCATGTACGGAATCATTAAGATTTAGAATGAAGTTAAAAAAAAAATTGAAGTTGTTTCAATTTTTGCAGTAATCAATTATTATTTCTTTCTCTTTCAAGAAGTTTATCAAATTCTTCTTGAGAGACTGCTTGATTCACAATTGGTTGTGTTTTTACTTTTATATCACTGTTGGGTTCTTCTAAATTTTTATCAAACCCAAATATATCCATGCTATCAGCAGTTGAATCATCGTTCGTACCTATTGGTGAATTATTTCTAATTTTGTCCCAAGAGGAACCCACACTATTCCCAGTACGAATTCCAGCCCAGGTATCAACATTAGAATTCGAGGGATTTATTGCGGTTTCTTTCTTTTCATTTAATAAATCAGTCAATACAGGCTTTTTTTCAGGTATATCATCATGAAGTCCAATAGGGTCTCTCTGATTCAAGTAAGATGATCTCTTAAGTCCTTCTTGTTGAATTTCTTGTAATTTAATTGTCGGATTAGGTAGTCTCTTTTCTGGATGCTTTTCTGTAATGGAAAAATAAGCAGCCCACCTTGTGGCAGATCCACTTCCTAACAGATCCATCATCTCATATTGCCTTTGTTGACGAGGTTTGACCTGTTGAGGAAAATTACCTTGTGAAGCCTCCAAAAGATCATCACCATAATCTCCCTTATTTCCGAACTGTTGATTAGGGTCGAGTTCTTCCAGTTTTCTCTTATATGCAATATTAGTGGCAATCAAGGAAGATCCAGCAAGTGTTAATAACCCTATAATAAAGTTTCTTTGTACCTTGACACCCCTAATACCTTTTGTCTTATAATATTGACAAGCAAAAGGTGGAATGAAGACACTTGAAAACCCAAGCCAACCACCAAACATTTGAGCTCGTGAAATAGAATTGTATGCCTCATACAAATCTCCTCTATCCTTAGAGTCTAATACATCATCCTTTTCATAAAATTTTACTGCAGCTTTGTATGCTTCTTTGAACCAAGGTTGGTTTAGGAGCGCCTTCTCTTGCTTCCGTGATGGATCCTCTGTGTCCTCGTTATTCATTAGAGGATAATTTACTTTGATAACGTTATATGTTTATCATCACATCGATGACATTAATTTTAGAGACTGGCTTTAATAACAAAATCTTCAATAAACATGCTATTCTAAGTTTTCTTATTCCAGGGATTAGATTCCTTCTAGATTTGTTGGATTATGCCAGGAATTCCAATTGGTTCAAAGAGATCCTATATTCCGGAGTCACATGTGTATCACGTGATTTTTATTATTTTAAAATTTATTTTCATTTTTTTCGTGAGAATTGACACGCCAAAAGTTATTCAAGATTTGGGACACCTGGAAGTAAAGAAAAACGCATATTGGCATTCTACGGTCGCAGCAATAACATAGGAAGAAGTTTAGATCAAGAATACAAGAGGATATATATTCAATTGCCTTTATTGTTCAAGTAACTTTGCATAGTTTAAAGAACTACTAATTGTAACAGATTGTCAAAGAACTTAGAAAACTCATTTTTGCATTTCTGTTTTATTTTTTAAATCAACAAGCTTTGGGAATAGTTCAACAATGGATTACTTTAATATTATACAGAATTACTACACTGGGAACTACACAGACTGTCTGAAGGAAGTAGAAAAGAACGCCAATACCGATGATAACGTTTTAACTTACTACAAGAGTATGTCACAATTAGCATTAAAGAAGTATACTCCAGGTTCATCTAGTTCCAGTTTAAGTAAATCTTTCGACGAATATGCAACTTTCCTAAAGAACAAGGACACTTCAAAGTTAAAGTCATCAATTGCTGTGGGATCTTCCAATGGTTTCCAATTAAACCTTTTGGCTGCTGCACTAACGATCATTGGCGAATTAACTGAAGCCTTGGATTTATGTGTGAAGGGTCTTGATTCGATTACTACTGAGGAAGATAGAACATCAAATGGTTATATAGAGTTATCATTACTAGCAGTTCAGATTGCTCTATTGAAAGGTGATCAAACTGCAGCAACCAATATCTTTTACTCAATTGAACAAAGATTGACTCTAAATAATGAAGCTGAAATAATTCAAAATTTAGCTGAAGCATATGTGAAATTTGCCAAGAATGAAGATACTTCAGGCTTAAACTTTTATTATTTTGAAGAATTAGCTCAAACATATCCAAATTGGAAAACCCAATTGGGTCTTCTAAATTTACACTTACAACAAGGTAATATTGCTGAAGCTCAAGGTATTGTTGATGTATTGCAATCTGATTATTACCAAGTAGAACAGACTGATAGTGCGGAAACTTTTAAACCACATTTCATCGCAAGCAAAATTAGTTTGTCTGCAATGCAGGGTCTAGATAATGTCGAAACATTGAAAAAAGAATTGGTTTCACTAGATCCAGAACATCCACTTATTAAGAATGACAAGGAGGTGAACATTAGATTTGATGAATTAGTTGCGAAGTTTAAGAACTAGACTATAACGAAGATTTCTTTTTTTTATAATATAAACACCTACAATAATTTACATATACATTTAATTAGAACGAATCATAACATAACAACTGATCATATATAGATGTGAACCAAAGCTTTTACAACAGTGACGGTTTACCAAACGATCAATTGAAACCTACAAACTCGAACTACAAAAAAAGAATAAACAAATATATTATATTATTGACTGTGCCGCAAAACCCTGTCTACTGTATTTATTTTGTGTATTATCTTTTATTATGTTAAGTACCATTTATATAAGTTCAATTATGTTAATATACATGATGAAAATATATTTATATATAAATACTAAATCAACGATAATTGTCGTAGAAACGTAAACTATAGGATTGATATATAATATGTCATATACCTAAATTAAGTTACATGGGCTTACAAGTTGTCAAAATCAACTTCGTCTTCAACAGTGAAAGATGCAGGTACAGGTGCATTGACATCATTACGTTCCCTTATTGTCTCTATCAATTCGATTGGTTCATCAGGTTTTGAGTCTGATACAACTATAATGCCACTTGTATTCTTAGATTTACGCACAGGTACAAATCTACCATTTTTGACAAATGAAACATACCTTGATTGTTGAGGTAATACCCTCGTTAGGTTTTGAATCTTATATGGTTTAGCGGAGTATTTATTTTTAGAATATTCCTCGGATAAAGCTTCTTTTGTAATTTGATTTGGAACTTCAGCTGTTTCCTGTTCCTTGGAAGGAACCTTTTCTTCTTTTTCTTCCTTATCTTCTTTATCCTTCTTCGTCTTTTTAGCTCTAGCTTTAGCTCTTGCTGTTGTAGATAGAACAGCTGTTGTTACCTTTTCAACTTCTTTATTAGCTTCTTCCTCGAACATCTTTGGATAATTAAACGCACCTTCTTTCGCGAAACAGTTTAATTCAACCTTTGGAATAGCTAGATCGGAATCACGGACAGCAATTACGGCTGTTGGAGTAAATGACAATGACAAGAAGTGGGCTAATGGGTACCAATACCAAAATTGGGAAAACATCACCAACCCGATAATAGATTTAGTATCTAATGTTCCAGTCTCGTTATTTTCAAGTTGAATAGTGACATTTCTACCACCTGCGTTTGAAATACCTTGGGCAATACAAGCACCGAATTTAGCTAATGCTTCTTGGTGCTTACTTGTCACTACATTCAAGAAGTTCTTGTTTATTTCGGTGACTCTTTGGTTAGATTTATCTGTTTGTTGGATCGTTATAAGTGCTTGAGCAATCATAGCAGCTTGACGAACGTAATCAACTGGATCCTTAGTTAATGGTTCTAGAACGTCAAGTGCCTCATCTAAAGCTCTACCTGCACATGCAATACCTAAGGCAAAGGCGGTACCACAACGAACATGTGCATTGTGTGACTTGGAAAGTAGTTCAACAATTCTTGGGACGGTTGTGTAATCACGGCAAAGCACAAAACCTAGTGAGATAACAGCAGCACGTCTCACATCGTCGTTTGAGTCTGAAACAGCAATATGTAATAATTTTTTAACAGCTCTATTATTACCTGTACCAACATAAGCAAGAGCAATAGTAAAAGCACCACCATATCTAATCGTAGAATCTTCGTCTTCTAACAATTTTTCAATCCATTCATCTGCCTTCTCTTGACAACCGTAATTGATCATAGCAATACTCATTGCTAAACTACGCTTAATATTTGCATGATTAGTCTCATGAGCAAACGTATTCATACTTTCAGTACAATCTTGGTCACCAGAACCAAGCATCGTCAAACCAATACCCAGAGCAGCTGCATCACCGGATGTTGCTGTGTCATGAAATATGACCTCTCTAAGAGTCTCAAATGCGTACACATTGTGAGAACCCATAGCTGCTAAACCTGCACCTAATGATGCACCATGCAATAAAACATCGATATCTTCATCTCCAACAGTACCAGTATTTTCATCAATCATGTTAAGCAGATACTCTAAAATATCTTTACCAAAACCAGCGTACAGAAGACCTAAACCATACAGAGAACCACCCTTAATATAACGAGAAGAAGAACGACTCCCAGGTAGATATGGACTCATTACTTTTTGACCATCTGCCAGATTACCCTTATGAATTACACCTAAGGAGGCAGTTGCAGTGAACTTGGCCCAATTTTGTGCCTTCCCTAACCATGGTAAATTAGCTTTAATAAAAGAGTTATCTGTAGTACCAGCGTGCATAAAACCATTGGCAACACTAACACCTGTATGGAATAAAGAAAATTTACCATCCAAAGATGATTTAGTCTTATTTAGTAAACCAATATCAATGTTTTTGTTTTCATGTAGAAATGTGTTGTAGTAATCACAAGTAGGCACACCTGATAAAATATCTAATAAGACTGGATCAAAATTATTTTCAGACAATTTTTTAGCGAGGGACGTCAATAGGCCTTGAGAACCAGATGATACCAAATCAAAAGCAATTTGATATGAAATGTTTTTACAACCATCCTTCTTTAGAGCTTCAAACAATTCAATTGCGAAATCTAATTCATTTAAGGTTACCACAACCTTGGATGCAGTAAAATAATCAACATTGTTCATTGAAAGGATAAGTTTAAATAGAGATTTCAGAGTTTCTGTACGGAACGTAGAACTGGAAACAGTGCTTGCTGCTGCTGTTAGAACGTAATTTAACAACTTCAAACTATTAGATTCGGTATCGTCAGCTATACGAGCCTTCAAAATATTCTCAACAATATCAAGTCTATAACCTTCCAATGCGATACCTAATGCTAACTTGAATTCAGAAGCAGAAACACACTTTTCTAACATTCTTTCAAATATGGTGGTTAATTTAGGATCAATTTGTATGTTGGTTTCTTCTTCTAGGTTATTTCTAGTTTGTTTCTTAATGTACATTTCAATACTTTTGGATACAATTGTCTCAACATACTGACTCTTCTCATTTATATCAAAACATTCTTCGGCAGCTAATGCAAACCTAACAGCCAAATTGTATTCTCCCAAATTATAATAGACCTTGGAGGCAATCAAAGCTGCCATCTTACGACCAGCAAATGAAGTCTCATCAGATAAAGCTTCGATATTGGAGATATAATTGGATACTTCAGACCATTCAGAATCAATAACATCGTTTATGGATTGCAAAGCATATGACTTAATATTGTCATCCTTTTCATTCAACAATACCAATAATGGAGCGGCACTTGTTAACGACATTTTTAAAAGACTTTCTTATGTATTGCCCGCTTTATTAAAATGCTATATGTAAGGGTTATAACAAATGTTTCAATTACTATATTTAATGTTCAAAATATAAAATTACAATTTATTTAACACTTTCTCATTATCCTATATTTATAATAAATTTTATAATAATGTGTATCCTTAGAGGATTCTTTATTGAACTCTCGCTCTACGTTATGTTTTTTTGCCACCGAGAGAAAATATAAAATAGCTTTGAAGTGACGTACCCGGACAGTAAAAGACTCCTCTAAAATCTCGTAGAAAAAGTAAGAATATGAATATTTCACTCAGATACTTACAAGCTCATCTCAAACAGAAGAATGAACCTTTTAGTAAAGAGGTTTAAAACCATGTCGTTCATTAACATATATCAACCAGTTGATATATAACTATGTAGCTAATATATAAGTCTAACTGTGACCTTTTCTGGAATTTTATCCAGTTGATTATATATAGAATGGACATCATTTTGTGTAACGGATGATATATCTGTGATAACATACGCAATTTTGCCATTGGATTCAGAGTATTGTTTTTCTATATTATATGCAGCAAGGATATTATTTACTGTTCTTAACACACCAGGTACGTCAAGATGAGCAAATAATATCCTTAAAACATCATCGGAAAAATTGGTCTGTCTCAATGAAACTTCTGGAAAATTGACAGCATCAATTGAAATACCTTGAGTAATAAAGTTAGCAATCGCCTCTGACACTTCTAGACCGGTCACGCTTTGTGCCTCTATAGTAGCTCCGCCTATATGAGGGGTTAATATAACGTTTGGGAGAGACACTAATTCAGCCGTCCATTTGTTCAATCTATTAGTGAATAAGTGCTCTCCATTATATCTTGGTTCATTCGGATATACGTCCAAAGCTGCACCCAACAATTTTCCACTCTTTAGGCCTGATACAATAGCAGACGTATCAACTATAGAACCCCTTGATGAATTAAGTAAATACGATCCCTCCTTCATCGTTGTAATCTGTGGCCATGAAATTAAATTATTTGTATCAGGGGTTTCAGGAACATGCAACGTCACAAAATCGGCTTTAACTAATAACTCTTCCATGGTTGCTACCTGTTTAGCTTTCCCAATCGCCATTATATTTAGGATATCATAGTATATAACATGCATCCCCATCCCTTCAGCTAGTATAGAGAGTTGTGAACCAATATGACCGTACCCTATTATTCCCACTGTTTTACCTCGTACTTCATAACAATGCTTACTGGAATTTTCCCATTCACCCTTACGTAACTGCAAAGATCTATCTATTATTCTCCTAGATAAAGATATTATATCAGCAAGCACTAACTCTGCCACAGATCTGGAATTTGAAAATGGCGAATTAAAGACAGCAACGCCCATATTAGCTGCATACTCCAAATCCACCTGATTTGTACCAATACAATAACAACCTATCACCATTAAATTTTTGGCTTGCTTTAATACTTCCTTTGATAACATAGTCTTTGATCTAATCCCTATGGCATGCACGTCTCGTATTTTTTCAATCAATACAGATTCAGGTAAAGCATCTCGATATGACTCAACTTGGTATGCTTGATCCCTAAAAGAAACAATCGCTTGACTGTTAATGTTTTCTAATAGTAATATCTTTATGTCACTTTTTGAGAATGGTTTTATCTTATTTTCTTGAGGTAATATGCTTATTCTGCGGGGTAAGGCATTCATGAATGACTCAGTCGGTGAAAACGCCATATCGTCTTCGCCCAAATAATTTTCAATAACGTGATTCATCATAGGTATATGTTGTACTTGCGCTGACATTATGTTTCGTGGTATAAATTTTCTTTTTCACTATATCTGTGTAATTCTCTCACCTTCTAATAGAAAGATTTTTGTGACAGATCTAATCATAATATTGTAATACCTTTCTTAACAAGTGTTAAATATATATTTACATATATATACTTTTAATAAATCTAACCTTATTCAGGCAAAATTATCCATATGATATAAAATAATTCATCATGTTTAGAACTATCAACGATATTACTAAAAATACGTTATTTTAGAGACTCAATATTGAAGTGTGGTGTATTGGGGGTGAAATGTCTTACGGCTTTTTTTTTTCACACGGTTTTTGGTCATTGTGACACAGCCGCGTTCATAATATTATTCAGAGAAACGCCAATAAGCACGTGAAATGTCACATAACGGAGAGTGCACATAGCATAACAATAAAAGGTTTAGAGTGACAGACAAAGGGTAATGAGCAATTACGTTAATTACAAAGTGATTCGTTTATATATCAATCCATATAATGAGAATATATTGATCATTATTTTGTTTAATCGTTTCATAGGTCATCCTGGTGAGAATCTACGAGAAGCCACACCTATCTATAAATGTCCCAAATGGATACTAAGCGACAAGAAAATATTACTTGAAAAATTATATATAGCCTAAGTACTTCAAATCTAGTTATAAACAAGCTATCTAATTAGGCTGAACCTTCAAATAGATTGGCCAACTCTTCACTATTTTCTATTTGACCAGTAGATAACAGAGAATCCCATAGACCTCTCATTTGTATATCCAATCCAACTCTGGTAAACTTTGTAAAACCGTAGGCGAGTTTTGCCCACTTGATAAAATCATCCCTTGAGTCAGATATTAAAGAATTAATCCCATGGTTCCAACATATAGTAGATATACTTTCAATATCTGTTTCGACCTCTTGAGGATTATCATAGGTTTGGTGGTTGTTTGTCTTCAACTTTGAAAGTAGACATTCAAAAATTGCTAACTCAGAAGAAGAAAACTTTATATTACAATCAGTAAATGTAAACTTTATCCAACAACAAAGTTTATTGATTTCAACTTGGGTATTTTCCAAATTTCTTTGAATCAGCTTTATTATGATAGGCCTTCTCAGGTCAATAGGTGTTTCAGTTCTCTCTATGAGAACCTCCACAAAATGTTCATCTAAATTAATTAGATTTTCAGTTTCCCCCAATAATAATAAGTTTTCTACCATATCTATTTTACGTTGAAATATTAAAACATTGAGATAACATTTAAAGCACTCCACCAACAAATCTTGTAAGTCGATAGTTTGCTCACCACTTAAACCATTACTATTCGTCGCAGTCTTAATAAACAAAATAATATCATGAATTAAATTATCAAGTTCGAGTTTATATGTTACTTCTCTATGTTTGTTGGATGAATCAATTTCTTGATAATCTCCTTTTTCCATCATTTGGCAATGTAAATTTGCAATTTGATAACGACATCTATATTCCCAATAACTATAATAGCACATTTTTGGGAATGTAAAATCGGTGTACGGTATTAATTTCAGAAAATTGAAGCCAACTCTCACGAATTCAAATGATTCTTTCAATTTTGTTTTGCTTTGACGCAAGGTTCCTGCAATATTGTATGCTGTCGAAGCAAACCACTCTATATCGTCTACTGTTAGAGTAAAATGAACTTTGCTACTAGAACTATCATCCGTACATATGGACAATTTCTTCTTGGCCTTTAGTTCCTCAAGAAACTTAAGTGGTTCTAACAACAATACTAAAATCTTTTTCGATTCCACATTTAAACTATCTTGGTCTTGTTCTGTAAATTTAATAACACTTTGTATAGTATAACGAATTAAAGTAATTACAGATATATCCCACTTCTCTGAAGGAAACTGTCCAAATTTATCATTAACATTATTTAACTTTTGAAAAAGTAAAGTAACACCTTCAATAAGTATTTGCGGTAAGTTTTGCACCTCATTCAAAGCAAGGATAAACGTTTCAACACTCTTTTCATTAGAGGAATGAAACAATAATTCAAAACATTTTGGAATATTTGAAAAATCTTTTAAGGCAAGAAGCAACTTGACTTTAATTAAAATTGTCAATGGATGATTCAAGTCTTCTGGATTAATGTGTTGCAAAGTTTCTTCAGCTTTCGAAAGATTATTAGAAGATAAATATGCAGATGCTAAAGCCCTGTGGAGTTTCCCTCTTTCAGCATAAGATCCACTGATAATATCCTCTAAAGCAAGTTCATAAAACTTACTACAAATCTCATATGATTCCATCTTTTCAATTTTTTTCCCTGAACTCCATAAGAGAGTTACAATACATGAAACTGTGCTTCTCGACAGTGGTTGTGAAAGTCGTTTCTCAATCAATTTATAAAAATCACATAGCTGTGTTATAACCTCAGTTTCATTCAAATCCCTGGATTGAAGTGTTATGTAAAATCTAGTCAATATAGTCTGTTCAAAATGCTTCTGCTCCTTTACTGGATCAACCTTATTCTGGAACAAATAATCCAAAGAGGTTAAGGCACTCAGAGTACTGATTTGACTGAACTCATTAATAGTACTGATAAGGGCATCATAATTTTTTGAAATATCTATTGAAAGCATCATTTGCATAATGATAGAAGAAAGAATCTCAACCATATTCTCTGGTGCTGTCTTTATTAAGTATTTTATCTGTAATTGAAAGGGAATAGCCTTCTTTGGATATTGTTTTTGAAGTAATTCTAAAAGGATAGTTACTTGTTCTTGTTCATCTGATGATAGTTGTCCTTTCTCAATATAACATTGAATTAGAAGTGTAACAACTAAGTATCTGACTGTAGAATAATCTATATGTGTCGTTATTTTTTCTATGGGTAATGTAAGGTATGCAAAAGACTCATTAAGATATAATATTACGTTTTCTATGGTGTCAATTTTAGAAATTTCTTTAAGGTTGTATAAATATAAGGAGGAGTTATAAATTATCCTAGCAACTTCTAACACTACTTCAACTTTATAATCTTTATTCAATTTGTCCAAAGTTATTCTTTTTAGATATATTTTAGCAGTATCATTATCATTTTGTTGAACGTACCATTGGAATATACAAATGTTAGCCTCAACCAATAATTTTTTAGAGAAAAAGATATCATTTTCTTTCATTTCATATTTCTTCTCTGTTAAAAGGTTTATATATATTTCCATATGAGTCATCGAATCTTTAAATATCTTCTCCTGGGAAGCTGATTTTTCATTTGAATTTTGGTTGAATTCTCCCATTAAAGTTTTTAATATTGTTACAAAACAATTACATGAACGAAGAGTAACGTCGATTTTGTCATTTAATGAATTGTACACAGAGAGAAGTATTGCAACAAATAGCTGACATTTACAAAGGAATGTGGTCAATGCTGTATCCGACGAACTTGTTTTTAATGACAGAGAAACTGTATTCCAAAGAATACTAGATAAATTCTCAAACCTTAACATTGTTTCCTCATTAATAGTGACTCCACCTTTTCTAAATGAGGTTTCAAATTTTTCTGCTGTAGGCTGAAGCGCATCAATTCGATTAGATATTGATTTAGTATCATCGGATGTTAATTGTTTCAGATCCAATAGTTGTGAATTGATCCATGTAGTGACTTCACAGAATTCAATAATAGTTGTTTCAAATGTAGAGAGAATAATATCTGAAGACATTCGTTTCTAGAGATACTCACGGGGGTTTATAGTGGTCTTACCTTTTTAATACCAGCTGTTCAGTATGAGGTTCTTTTATAATAAAAAAAACATAATCACCGGTGTATTATGTTTTTTAGCCGCCGATACCTAGTTTCTCTTCAAGGAAACATTCCGCCGGACATAAATAAATAAGTAATAAAAACATAAAGACAACAGTATAGCTAATAATATAAAATTTCTTTAATAACGATTTATAACTATAAGGTTAACAACAGTAATAGGAATAAATTAACTATAATTTAGTTTATATATATATATATAATATGCTTTTAAACGTTTTTTTTTGTCCTTTATTTTTTGGTTTTAAAATAATTTTATAATATATTTTTTTATTCATTAATGCCTTGATATTGCATGATATTGTATGGTATTGTTTAAGCATGAAATAAACAAAAAACAACAACAATAGTTAAATATGAAACGCAATCCAGTATGGTTACAATATTAATTGGTTTAAAAAAAAAATTATTAGGAAAAGTCTTTAACCCACCTCACACATACATATGTAAAAGGATAGATAATTATTGATTACTTGAACAACCATATGTATAATCTTATTATCATGTAGTTGTTACATTTCTTCATAAGATTCAGTTGGTGATATTATATGTGATGGATTTTTGCTAAATCCACGCATATATGATACATCATCACCTAGTGTACTTGCAATACTATCTAGTTCACTAGTAATAACAGGTGAAGGTATATGTAATTCATTTTCGCGTAAATGAAAAGGTTGTAAATTTATATTTGAATTCAATGCTGTGTCTAAGTTTGCTGAGGGAGTATTAGAATTGCTGGTACTGCTATAATAATTATTGTTGTAAGGAGTCCATTTATGACTATGTGGATGTAGCAAATGAGTATTATGTTGTTGTTGCCTTCCAGAATATTTCACGACATTATCCATCGAATGTGATGTCATTATATCACTTGAATGTAACGTAAGTGCAGCTTCTAATGACTCTGATGATTCGTCAATTAAAACGGGGATAGTTCTCTCTATATTTAATAATCTCATCTTTTCACGAAGTGTCATTGGTGGGGACATTGGCGTATCAGGATAGCCAGGTGTAGATGTCACAGATGTCACGTCATTAAATATATCATCAGGTGATGTCGTAGTATTATTCATCTTATATATACCATTTCCTGCTACTGTAGAGCCACTACTACCATTACTATTATTAAATTTTCTTACCTTTGTATTATGAGACAATGTCATTGCACTTAACATAGAAGTAGCATAAGAAGGAATCCCTAGCCGTTTTGGGTTATTTCCTTCGATACCATCCTTTGATGCATTCATTGAAAAATTGGATGTAACGGAACCTCTCGATATCGGTCTAGATAAGGGAAATTCTATATTTTCACTTTCATATATTGCCTTAGTTGAGATATTGTCTGAAGGGTTACTAGTTATGGAATGAACAGATAATGCATATGATAATTCCCGTTGAGGGGAAACAGGTTCTGCCATATTAAAATATATAATGTAAACCTTTTTATTGTCTTTTGTTCAGTGTGAATATCCCAAAAAGATATATACACATATACATATGTATAGATCAGGAAGTAAGAAATAAATTATTAACTGACAATATATATATATATACGAATCTTTAAATAATCAACTAATCGGTAATAGAAAGAAAGCAAAAAAAACTATTAATTAATACGGCTATCGATGAGTAGTGGAACAAGCTAGAGCAAGAAGAAACTGAAAAATTCATGAATTTATTCAAGAAAGTTTTGTTTTTGAAAATGAACCATCCATCATTTTATTCATTGTACGGCATGATTGCATAATAAATATATGTATGCATATCTGTCTGTATTTCAGTAAATTATACAATTCATAGCAAAAACCTGTAAATGTACGACTGGCCCCCTATTTTATTACTTGCGTGGTAATAAGGAGTGGAATGGAGCTATTATTGCTATTGTTGCTATTATTGCATTTATTGCTATATAAATATTGTTAAATATTATTCTCTCAGTGAAGGGAGGGTATTTGTACGGCTTACTGCCTCGGACATTCAGGATACAGACAGATAGAAGATTTTCGGGCTTTGAGGGAGAAAGAGACTGCGAGAGACAACGGGGGAAGGGGAACCACACAAATTAGAAGAAAAGCGGAAAAAATGGCATGTTCACTCGCTATATGCTAAGATAATGACGTGCAACAGAGGCAGAGAATTGAAAAACATGATGCATAAATGCGGGATAGAAAAGCAAACTACTGAAGAACAGTCGTAGAGTCTAGTATCTCGAGGTGGTGCACCCATACACCGTATACATATGTAAATTATGAGATGAGATGAGAGGCTGGCTGCCTTGTTTTACTATGGATTGAAAATAGACACTGTAGAAGGTTTTAGGGGTACAAGCATCATAACATATTTTAAATTGTATATACACGGGTTTTGCCATGTTATGTTCGTGTCTAATGATATGGGAGCTTTTGGTGTTATTTTCCCCCTGTTGGGCGGCTATTATCTGATTCGTGAAGATACATTTTATATATAAATGAAACGTTTATAAAAGCAAAACGACTACTAGTGTTTTTTTTTTTGAATGGTTTTCACTATATCCTTTTTAAGAATTGAAATAGAATATAAACATACCCTGCCGAGAGAAATCATTCAATTATGTCAACTAATCAAATGTTAGCTATTAAACAAGAAACAAAGACAGTCATTTCAACTGAACAATCTCAGAAATTGATGCAAACAATGTTAACAATGTCATTTGGGTGTTTAGCATTTCTTAGGGGCTTATTTCCTGATGAAAATTTTGTTGATCAAAGGTTTGTTCCAGCAAAGAGCGAAAAAGATTACAATAAAAATTTAACTAGTCATGCAAATTCTATTAAGATTAAAACTTTAGTCCGCGGAAAATCTAATGATGTTAATATGTTGTTAGATTGGTTAGAGAAAGGTGTATTTCAATCAATTAAATTGGAATGTTTAAAGACTTTAAGTTTAGGAATTTATTTAAATGAAAATGAACCAGCAAATCTTTGTGAAAATTATATTTTTAATTTTGAATATTTTGAAAATAATTCAGTTCAGTTAAAATTAGATTCAAATATTAAAAATAATTTAAATAATAGTAATAGTACTATTTCTTTATTAGATTCAAGAAAGATGGCTCAACAATTAATGAGAAGGTTTATCATAATTACACAATCTTTAGAACCACTACCTCAAAAGAAATTTTTATCAATGAGATTACTATTTAATGATAATGCTAAAGATGATTTTCAACCTGAATTTTTTAAAGATGCATCATTTGATAAAAGGGCAACCTTAAAAGTCCCAATTGATACGTCTTTATCAACTTTTGTAGCTGGAACTTTAAATACTAATCATCATAATTTAAAGATGAACGTTTATTCAACAGTAATCAATGAAAATAATAACAGTAATAATAATGAATTGAATACTTTAAAGGAAGAAAATGATTTTATGATAATCGATCCCTTTGAAATTGAAGCAGAAAATGATACTGATACTTTACAACAAAAAGTTATAGATAACTCTCAAAGTCGAACTACAAATATGTTGGGGAAATTCTTACAATCCACTCAACCAAGAATGGAAGAGACTCAAATTGTAATAAAAGATTACGGTAATAACTTGGAAGATAAGAAATCAAAAACAGTTAATTGCGATTGTCAGGTTTCATGTCACATATCAGCTACTTCGATTAAACATTGCAAAACATGTGGTAGATACGTTCATGGAATATGTTACGGTAATTATCATAGAGAAAAGATACCAAAATGTTTTAATTGTATTCTAGGTAAATCCTTCGGTTATTCTTCAAATGAGTTTAAAGATTTAATGGCAGCCAGAAAATGTTTTAGATATCTAGTTAGACTTCAAAAAATACCAACTAGCGTATCCTCTATTGTTGAAGATTTGGTTACCGATGAACCAATTACTGACGAAATAAAAGAACGTTTTGCTTTTATCTTTTCATTATTCCTATATGATGAAATAATCATTATTAACAATGAACAAGAACAAAAACATATTTCATCTTCCGTAAGATGTCGAACCGCAACAATGACATTTGATATTCCCAATATTAAAACTCCTTTCTCAACTGCTATAGATCCTCATAAAAATTATTCTATTAAATTTATTTGTAACACAGACAGCACACATGCATGTTACGGTGAAGTGATTCCTGAAAGTACCAAACAAGTCAACGATTGGCTAAGAGAAATCTCAGAACTTAAAGATAAAATAATTGATAACTTACCTGATTCATGTGATATCACTAAATTGATTGTTCAAGATACTGATACGCAAGACAGGGTTAGTGTAGGAGAACGAAAGAGAAAGAATTTAGATTTGGAAGAATATTTACAAGATGAACAAAGTTCAATCATTAAATATTCATTACCTCCTCAAGTCCTTCCTCCAAAGAAAGTTCAAAAGATTAGTATCTCAAAGAAATCATTAAAAAGTGATTGGTGATAATAAAGGTATATATTTCCTAAAAATTTCATACAAGTCACAAAGACGATTAACATTGCTTTAAAATGGGGAAAAAAATATAACAACAGTTGCTCTACTATATACATGACAAAAATACCATATAACGCTATTAAATTAAGCACATCATACATTTCTTTTTTCAAAACTTTGAATTTGTTTGTTTATATTATTTATTCATCTTATAGGTTCTTTAAAGTTAATTATTTTTATTCAACCTCATCCATTGTGATGTCATCATCGATATCCATATCCTCATTTAGAAATGATTGTTGGTCAATAATGTTACCCTGTTCTCTTCTGACAGTCTCTTCTATAACCTCCTCATTGTTTATAATATTTTGTTGAACTTCATCCCTTAATTTTACATTGTTCTTCTTTTGATCCTCTAAAATTGATTGAAGACGAACCTCATTCATCTTTAACTTTTCAACTGCATCTAGAAATAAATGGTTATTTTTATATGATATAACATCATCAACAATTTGAACGTTCAATCCAGTTGAATCAACTAATTGATGAATCTCATCTCTTGTTTGTCTTTCATCAATGCCTAATATTTTAGCCATGTATGATATTCCTAATTTGGTGGATATTCTTAAATAAAAAAAGTAGATCTTAGATCTCATTATCAATTGTGCAAAATTCCATTGATCAATAACAAATAGACAAGGATAGCAAGATTCACCTATAGTTTCGTTCCAATATTTGAAAAAATCCTTAAATCTAGTTTGAATCAGAGGTTCCATACAATTTAATAATACTTTGGATTGATCTCTAATCCTATTGACAGGTTGAAGATAGATAAACTTGGCATAATTATCCAGTGGTACCGAAACTACTGATGAAATTGTGACCATAAGAATATATTCCTTTTTCAGTAGCAACCCTTCACTTGAATAACCTAGAAGATCAGATTCATTTTCTGCATATTTACAGAAATTAGAACAACACTCGAAAAATTTTCCTTCCATATAATATGATGCACATATTAGCAACTTGAGACGTCTCAACGATTGCTCCTCATTCCCATGAAGACCTTTGTTATCAACGTCCATTAAATATGTCCCTAATTCTTGCACACTGTGGTAACCCTTGGCTAACAAATGTACGTTGGCTATGCATTCCAATTTTTGAAAATATTGATTTTGAACTATATCCTTTGATTCTAGCAAACGCAATGCATCAGCATATTCATGTGCAATAATTTTCTCTAAAATAACATCTCGTTCTATTTCAGTACCACCAGGACCTCCTGATTTGATGTCCTCAAGCTTCATATCACTATAGGATAGAAATAAATTCAAATGAGGGGTATTGGTATAATTCACTTCATTTAGATATTTAATGGCGTGTTTGCCCAGTGCTTTTTTACTTACTTCAGTTGATCCATCAAGTTTCAAACCAAACGCAATTCTTTCCAGTAAAACTGGTTTTTGGTACATAACAAACATATTCTAGATTTCTTCATTGAATGGTTGGATGTTGGTGTTTCGAATATGTGTCCATGTTTCTAAATATATATACAGAATACTAAGTAAAAAGTTCTTATATATTATTCATCAAATGATTAAAACAGTTATTTCAAAATAAAAATGTATGGCGTTAGAAGATTACGGCCAACGCGTCATACATGAAGTTGGGGCGCCATCGTTTTCTAAATGTGGTGATCATTTAGACCCAGAGAGATGCCTTCTAAGAGTGAAGAAAGTTTGGATAACATAAAATTAACTTATGTAGATTGAAGAGAAGGTATGTACAAGGCTATTTACTAACTATTTTTGAATTTCTATCTGTTCGTTTTAATTGAGAGGAATGATATCTAACTGTTTTCTTCATATTCTATGAGACAATTCAGTTAAAAAAAGATTTCATGTTTTCTAACCATTGAATGTATTCTTTGTTCTCCTTGAATTCAGAGTAGGCACTAATGAAAGAAGATAATTCCTCGTTAATACCTCTGCTGGATAAGTAAATCTCTAAAGTTTCTTGTAGCTCTTCATCTAAATTAGAGAATGGTGGGCCATGGTAAGATAATTCTCTTGATAATTCTGCTTCCGCAGATTCATTTAAAGCTGCATCCTTGGTGGCAAATGGGGTAACGCTGTCTACGTAAAAAGAACCTTCTTGTAGGTTCATCAGCAAGTCAAAGGCCACACTAGTTCCATCGACGTCCTTACTGACAACAACGTTAACATTTGCGAAATTATCAGCTATGGAATCAAAGTCTTCCTCTTCTAGATTATTTTTTTCAGTTGTAACGTCTTCAGTCATGGCATCATCATATGGTAAATTGGCAACTTGGGCAACATCGAAGAAAACACTGACTGTTTCACCTGCTTCTGTCTTTTTAAAGATATGAGCATCATTTTTACCTGGAGTTGTAACGATCTCAAAACCATACTTGTCTAAGAAATTTTGGAATAAGGCTGGGGTTTCAGCTTCTTCAGGAGTTATAGATGATTCCGTCTCCAGTTTGAGTTCAGATTTTAGAATTTCACTCACTGCTTGTCTCTGTTGATTAGATCTTAGAGTTGAAGAAGTAAAAGTTCTTATGATTGGGGCGAAAGAAGTTGTCTTCCTCATGACTTGAGGAAGAACACGGGTTCTTGTAGCAACCAAAGCTATTCTTCTGGCAGATAGACGAGTGAAAGTACTGAAGGACATGTTTACTTTAAAGGGTGTTGGATTGGAAACCAGAAAGTTGATTACACAGTCGTGAAGTTTTATATGTAACGTGTGATACTACTTCCTCTTTTAATGTAAGAATTAACTATTCAAAGAAATATATAACTGTTTTGATTTCTAATATACCTCAATTCGGCAGTTTTTGAATCCCTTTTCCCGCCACCAAAATTGTTACATGGCACAAGACGGTCTTTCGAGAAAATTCAACACGTTTATTTAGTATCGAGTGGACTTGGCGTATGAAGGAAAGTAACAAAAATTTCGCAAGTTAAAGCCAACTTCTATGGAGTATTCCAAGCCATCAAAATGTTAAAACGTATCATCACAAGAAAGTGGTGTAAAAGACCGTTTACGGAAACCTATGATACGATTCTTTGACTACTAATACGTTGTGTAAAAAGCCTGCTGTACTTCTCGATTTTCATCTATTTATTTACCTTTTTAATTATTCTTATATTAATGGATTTTTGAAATTATATATAATTATAAACGTTTATATCATGTTAAAATTAATAATAATCAGTGGGATGGATAATTAGAAGCTATCAGATTAGTTCTAAATAATATGCGAGATAAAGAGAACGCATTCCTAATGATGAAAATGTTATACAAAAATTTGAGTGGAATAGATGATACTCTTAATCAGCGTTACGACGAGCAACCTTCTTAGCTCTTCTCTTACCGGTACCGAATACCTTCTTGTCTCTGTTCTTCTTTTGCTTTCTTTGTTGTCTGGAAGCCTTTTCAATCTTTTCAGCTAGACCGTATCTGACTAATCTGTAGGTTGGTTCGAACTTCTTGGCATCGGCAGCAGAGTTGTAGACTAGACCGAAACCAGTGGATTTACCACCACCGTATTGGGTTCTGAAACCGAAGACGGAGACAGCATCCTTTTCAGCCTTGTAAACTTCAGCAAGTTTTTCACGTAGTTCATCCTTAGAGACGTTAGCTCTATTTGGGTGCAAGACGTCAATGACGAATTGCTTTCTGGCTAACAATGGGTTAGAGATTACCTTTCTAGTACGGATAGTGACAGCGTCAGACTAATTTGGAAAAGAATAATAATATATTTCATTAGAATCGTATGGAGGTTCAATAATGAGCATATAAATTAATATTTGTTAGTATATTGGATCAAATAATGCATATTTCGTCTCAGAGATATGGTTCATAATTTTCGATTCAGTTTAACAAGTTTGCGATATGAAAGCCAAAATTTTAAGTATATGTAATATCAAAAGCGTATCATTGATTATATTTGTATTTCCTCATAAAACTAAGGTAGTTTCCCTTTACATGTGCTATTTTATCTATTTATTTATTTTGTCATTGAAATTTCTCATTCCCTATTTCTAGTTATCTCTCAATATTCTTGCGTATTGTCTTTCATCTCTATACATTGGTGGAATTCATGTACCTATTTTATTGGTACAACAATACATTTGTATCCCATCTGTTGGTCCATCTTGATTCCAATATGTCCTCTTGTAATATTTTTATATTCAATATTCTGGTTCCCTTTCACCTAATTTTTCAGTTTCTTGCACCCAAACTATGTTATGTTATCTACTTGCTAATATATCTCATCGTCTTAATATTGAACATACCATTTCAATAATCCTTTATATGTGTTTCGAAGAGTTTCTAAGTATATAAATTTAAAATTTAAAACTACTATTAAGAAATTTCATAGTGCTGTTCAAATATTACTTTTCAAGTATATTTTCACTAATGGTCTGTACACAATGAATGTTTGCAATTGCTTAGCTATGTGTGGAAGAGACTGCACAGTTAGGTTCAGAATCACTGATTCTAGAGGACTGTACCTCTCCAAGACAATAAAGTGATACATGGACCCGGCTACACTATCTAACGGATAAGGTATTCCATCGCTAACTGCCCTCAATATGTTAACTATACAAGATCAATGAACAAAATTGTTAGTATGGTAATATTCCATAATACAGAAGGTGAAAAATCGATAAAAGCTGTATTTCATTAAATTCTAATTTTGCGTTAAATGTAACTTTTCTAACAAGAAATAGTCACATCTCCTGCAGGTGTATCTATGAGAATATTTCTCAAAATAACGTGACCAAAAATATATAATGTACTTGAAAAATCAAATTAAGAAAAAAATCAAAAAAATTAAATTAAAATTTTTGAGAATGTATGGGTGTTATGGCATGTCTGGGTGTTATCTTTCACACAGTCCTAAGATTGAGAACTTTTCGTTTTGTTACTTTAGAGTTGAATATGCATAAACGTTTTATTTTGAATGTTCGGATTATACTAATATTATACAAATTACTATATGACTGGTATAAAAAAATGAAGAGGTAATACTTTTTTCAACTCCATTTGTTTGTTATGTTTTCTTTGAATGTACATCAGGATGATAATTGGAGATTAATTGCGGTCTTGAATCGAATTTTTTTTAGCAAAAAATCTCTTGGAGTCTTCTCTATCATGAGTAAACCATTCAATGAACTCGAAGTTAGAAAACATATGTTTTTTCTCTATTCTTTTTTTATTATTATTGTTTTCATTGTTGTGGTATGACTATAATCATTAATAACATTTTTATATATTGTTTTCACAAATCAGAAACAGATGCGTTTTCACCATACTTCAATCTTAGAATGAAATTAATAATGACAGCGACCAATAAGAAGAAACACAATAAAGTAGGACCTAATCTATCATCATATGGGCCAGAACCTCTACGTCTAATGGCAGCAGCTCTCCAATGATATGTGACCAGAGCATATATCATTGTACCCATGGCAACCAAAGTAAATAAACCTGCACTGATTCTACCAACTTTATCACCAAAGTTTAATAGACCAACACCTAGACCACCTAGCATCACTGTGAAATTTAACCATGATAAGAAAGTTCTTTCATTGGCGAAAAATACTTTCGGTTCAACTCTTGTTGGAAGTGCAATTTTTTTACCTGGAGTTCTTTGTAATAGGGGAGCATTAGACATTTTGCTTCTTTATTTATAACTCTTATTTTTATTTTCTAGTTAAATGTCAAATTTAGCGGTTAAATATAATAACAAAAAATGATGATACTTTCCTTGTTGTTATGTGAATAGAATATTGAAATATTTAAAGGGTAATTCAGCCGTTAAATTTCACAAAAAAAAGATAACTATTTTTGAAATGCAATACAACTGATGTATATATACATATAATTAGCTTTATAGACTTAGTTGTATGATGATACAAAAATGGTTCGATCTATATAGTTTTTATAGTTATGACACACGTCTTCCTTTATCAGATGTTATCCCTTTTCAAGTGGAAGGGATGTTTAATCTCGGTCTGCTTATTGAACTTGTTCAGTTTGCTTATTGTTTTCATTTTGTTTCCCAAACGAACACTATTTTTTCTTCAATTCTTAATTTTTTATATATTGTCTTGTTATCTCTGCAGGGATTTATGAGCCAATGGTTTACTATTTGTCCGAAATTGATTATTTTTTCTTACAACAAAATAGAATATTGGTTCAATCAATTAACTTATATGATGCGTTGCAGTGCAAACAATGTGAGAAGGTCCAATTGGAAAATTTCAAAAACTAAATCACACAATAGGAAATGACGAGATAATCGACCCACGTTGTTAATTCGTAATTGCATAGCATTGTTGATTAAGACTTTCTTTGTGTGCGTCCAAGTGGTCAGAGTCCAAACGGACATAGTCTTATTTTTTCAATGATTCTTACCCAGTAACTTAAGAGGAAGAGAGACACATATTAAATGCACTCTTTTTTTCTACCTGAAGGACGATTCTTCGAGTAAGTCTTGTAAGTTTAGAGAATGTTGAAGGGTAGTTATGAATATTGTCAAAAATTCGTCTTATAATCACACCATTTTTTCTTATAGTTGTCGTTGTTTTATACTTTTCCCACGTAGAAACCGAAAAGTATAAGAACAATGGCTCACTTTGAGGGGATAGGACTGTATGCATAATTTGAAACCATTGTTCATATTTCTGTATTGAATGCTTGTTCTTTTATAAACAGAAATGTATTAAAAATTTGAAATTGTTTAGTTTATAAATGAGAATAATTGTATCTTTCTATAATATTATTTACTAATTATATGTAAATTGATGTTAGTCCGTGAAAATGACCTTTATATATATGTATATGGTTCAACTCGATTCAAATCATGATACACCAGGTAATGGATCATACCATATACCTTCTGGCCATACTAATATGCCTGCATTTGTATAGTCGCCTCGATATTCTTCTGGTGCTTTAACAGATGCTCTAGCTACTCTCAGATACATCTCTACAGAACCATCTAATTCATCTAGAGATTTATCTACCATATCTTTTAGCATCTGGTTTTCACTTATTATCAAATCTAAGTCAATAGTTTCATTCTTACCGACATATACCTCTAAATCATTTAAAAGTAATGAATAACCATCGATTTTCCCATGCCAGTCTACCCCATTCCCTGCATCTACATTTAATATAGTGGATTGGTTAATGGCGGGTATATGCCAAGATATCTTATGGTTATTTAAATGATCAAATGTAAATAAAGGAGGTTTTAACAATGCACCTGCCTCATCTCTTAGCAATGCATAGTTTGTCTCCACAATGCTAGCAAAATCCCATCTGCCAACACCCGAAATTATCAACCCTATCAATATTCCTTGAAATAAATAAGCAGTTAAACTTCTTGTAGCACATCCAGGAACTAAGACCATACCCAAGATATAATGGTGGATTCTAAGGTTTAATCCAGGTAATGACCCCAATATACTAATACCTGCAATAAAACTGATGTAAATCTTAAAATATTTTCTAAATCGTCCAGATCTCCATAACATATATGCTTGAACAATAGCACATACTATAATTGTAGTTATAATGGTCCCAACAGCCGCTAATGCACCTTGTTGTTCCTTTAGATCACTTAGATTGAGTCTATCGACAGGAAGTCTATCGAATGTAACATTATTCATAACCCCTAACCAGAATAGTGGATACCATAGTGCTAGTTTCAACACAGGAGATCCTCCTTCCATTGTTCTCTTGACTGCAATTTTCCACATAACATATAGGATGAAACATAATGGCAATAACCGTTGAAACCCAACGCTGAATAAGGAGTAAACAGTTTCCATGTTTAAAGTATCTATCATAATTGGTGGGTCTAATACAAGAACTAACGTCCAATAAGCAGCAAACATCGTCGTCCAGTATCCATAAATACTTTCATATAGGTAAAACACAGGTATGCCATATAGGATATTCAACGACAAAATCGGGAACCGAGGATCCAAGCAACTAATGAAATAACCACTAGCTGGTGCCTTGAAACTAAAAGATGACGGGAAGAATGATCCAAAATTTATTGACCAACCCATTTTAGAGTTACCTTCCGCACTTGGGAAGGATGTCTGCGACCCTGTCATGGAAATTCTTGCACAACCACCGGATAAGGGTGATAACAAACCCAGATGCGCAGCAGAGGCGCAAGGATATGAGTCAGCTCTGAATGGTTTGGAGTATAGCTCATCAGATCGTTCGCCCAAATTTGGTGCTTCTCCACCACCAATGATATAATTGGTATATTTAACTCTTTTCGATCCAACGGCAACCGCGGAATAAGCTATACCACCCATATCACATAAAGCCGGACATTTAATATAGTATTCCTTATCTTCAAATGGTTTACAATTTTCACCAAATGGTCCACATGCATTGTTGGTACCTTCCCAATTTAAATACGAATTACAATCTAATGATATTATTGGAATCTTATCAGCATTTATGTCATCAGGAACAAAGTATGGCTGGAACACAAAATGTGGATATAAGAAAAAAAAGTTAGTTGCAAGCCAGATAGCGCAGTATATAATCAAAATAGTTATTGCTAGAACACCAGTTCCTACTTTTTTTTGAAATGCACGTTCCGGAAATTCATTAAAGATCTTTACAACAGGGTACTTTTCCAAAAACTCTGGTGGTTCATCATATGGTTCATCTGGTCCATCCCATATCTTTCTAACTGATCTCATCATTTTATTAGATCTTTGTAATAATGTCCACTCCTCATTCCTTTCTCCTTCATCATGTTCGTCATCATCTCGATCTCTATCATCAACATCGTGATGGGAACCACCCATGCTTTGCAATTCGATGTCATTATCACTAATAGCACGATTAGCACTTGACTCGTGCTCATAAAGTAAATCTAAATGTGCGTCATCATTTGGCACTTTTATTCTATTGCCCATTCTTGCTGCTCCTAAATGATGTAGCGAGTATATGGTCTTCGCTAATACAAAATGCAAAAAACTAACAATCTGTTTTTGATGGAAGTCTTTACAGAATGATAATATCAATATATAATATTAGTCGTGTTTAAGTAGTTGTTGAAATGGTTAGCTGCATAACTAGTAAGCCTGTAGTGTAGGAAAAGGTACCTGAAGATTCATAACTGCCTTATCCACTTGTTTATATACAGTTTTATTTTAACCCGCAGTTAATTTTTCAGGCTGTTCAGTTTTCCGGGGAAGCATAGTACTTACCTAATTAGTGACCCTACAGATCATTTCATGGAAATCTGTCAATTTCAAAATGTATTTGTTCTGCAGATCTTAGTCAGCATTTGTAGATGTTAGAATAGTGAACGCTATCTAGCATTGCAATTTGTTTTTTCATTCTCTGTTGTTTTATAGTAATTTAAAATATAATATATGATAAAAAGTTAAATAATATACATAAGTTTAAGAAGATTGTTAGGATCAGTTATCTCTCTCTGTACAACTGATACCTGATTGAAGAGTATTTCTTTCACTTGTTTGTCCAAATTTCTTTTGAGAAACATTTTCATCTTGTGGAACAACCGGCTCGGTTTCATTTAGCTTAATTGTAGAGACACCACTAGTGATAGATTCACTAGACGACGATGAGCCAGAATTGGTCTTCTCCAATGTAACGCCATCTGTAAATTTAGTACCAGTTGGGACATACGATGGACGGTGCAAGTTTTCAATATCAGCGATCTTTTTACCGGCTTGATCAGCAACCTTTTGATCAATAGTGAATTGAATAGCGGCAGAGGCAGCTTGAGTTCTTAGATAGTACATACCAGTCTTCAAACCCTTCTTCCAACCGTAAAAATGCATACTAGTGATCTTACCCATTGTTGGAGCACGTAGGAACAGGTTTAAAGAGTGAGACTGATCAATATAGATGGAACGGTCAGCAGCCATGTCGATAATTTTTTTTTGAGAAATTTCCCAGACAGTCTTGTATAATTCCTTTAGTTCTTGTGGAACGTTTGGTAGACCCTGAATAGAACCATTAGCAGTAATTAAATGTTGTTTCATACTGTCATTCCAAATACCCATATCAACTAGATCACGTAACAAGTATGGATTGACAATTTGGAATTCACCAGATAGAACACGACGTTGGTACATGTTGGAAGTTAATGGTTCGAAACATTCATTGTAACCCATGATTTGAGAAGTAGAAGCAGTTGGCATTGGAGCCATTGTCAAAGAATTTCTCAAACCATTCTCGATAATTTCAGCTTTTAACTTGGCCCAGTCCCACATACCAAATGGTTCAGCATTCCATAAGTCCATTTGTAGGATACCTTGAGATGCAGGACAACCTTCGTATGATTCGTATGGGCCGTCTTTTTTAGCTAATTCCATAGATGCCTCCAAGGAAGCGTGGTAAATGGTTTCAAAGATTTGTTTATTCAAAATACCAGCTTCATCAGATTCAAACGGTAAACGTAACAGCATATATGTGTCAGCTAGACCTTGAACACCAAGGGCAATTGGTCTGTGCTTCATATTAGAGTTTCTGGCCTCAGGAACTGGGTAGTAATTATTATCAATAACTCTATTCAAGTTTCTTGTTATAACCTTAGCAATTTCATGTAGTTTCTCAAAGTTATAAGTAGAAGTAGTACCATCTTCAGAAGTTTCAATGAAAGCTGGTAGAGCAATAGATGCTAAGTTACAGACAGCAGTTTCATCTGGGTTTGAATACTCGACGATTTCACAACATAGATTAGATGATTTGATAGTACCTAGGTTTTTTTGGTTTGTCTTTATGTTACAAGCATCCTTGTAGACCATAAATGGGGTACCAGTTTCTGTTTGTGCTTCCAAGATACCATACCATAATTTTTGAGCCTTGATTGTCTTACCACGGCCTTCTCTTTCATAACGAGTGTATAGTTCCTCAAACTCATCACCATAGACATCAGCTAGACCAGGAGCATCACTTGGAGAGAAAAGAGTCCATTGATCGTTTGCTTCAACACGCTTCATGAATAAATCTGGAATCCACATGGCTGGGAATAAATCTCTTGCACGAATTTCTTCTTTACCGTGATTCTTTCTGATATCAATAAAATCAAAAATATCTGCATGCCATGGTTCAATAAATAGAGCGAAAGCACCTGGTCTCTTGTTACCACCTTGATCCACATAACGAGCAGTATTGTTGAAAACTCTGACCATTGGAATAATACCGTTAGAAGTACCATTAGTACCAGCAATATAAGACCCAGTAGCACGAACATTGTGAATATGTAGACCAACACCACCAGCAGTTTTAGAGATCATAGCACATTCTTTTAAGGTATCATAGATACCTTCAATGGAATCATCCTTCATAGCGACTAAGAAACAAGAAGACATTTGAGGTTTTGGAGTACCAGCATTGAATAAAGTTGGGGAAGCATGTGTGAAGTATCTTAACGACATCAAATTATAAGTTTCGATGACGGAATCTAAATCATTAAGATGAATACCTAGTGCAACTCTCATAATTAAATGTTGAGGGCGTTCGGCAACTTTACCATCGAGTCTTAGTAGATAAGAACGTTCTAAGGTTTTAAAACCAAAGTAATTAAAAGAGTAATCTCTGTCATAAACAATTGTAGAGTTGATTAATTCTTTGTTTTCCATAACAATGTTATAAACCTTATCAGAAATCATTGGTGCTGCTTTACCATTAGCTGGGTTAATATAATCATGAAGGTCACTGACAACATCTGAGAATTTTTTTTTAGTTTGTTTGTGAATATTGGAGATAGCCAATCTAGCAGCCAAAGTACCATAATCAGGGTGGATAGTAGTCATGTATGCACATGTCTCAGCAGCCAAGTTATCTAGTTCAGAAGTTGTAACACCTTCATAAACACCAGAGATGATACGTTGTGTGACCTTAACGGCATCAATTCTTTTTGGGTCAAGACCATAACTTAGACGAGAAATTCTTGAAGTGATTTTGTCAAATTGAACAGGTTCTTTGTGACCGTCTCTTTTTATAACGAACATAACGGTAGTATTATTGGAAGTGTGTATGTATAATTTATCCTGTTGATTGTTGGTTATGAATTCTATTAATAAATGATTCAGAGACTTTCAATATTGTTGAGGTTGATGGTTTATTGAGGGAAATATAATGATAAGTAATATAAAAAGAACATAATTTCCAAATGTATCAAAGAATAACGTCCCCTTTATATACTTTTTTTTTGGAATTTTGATATACACGTAACTTGGTTGTAGCACCGTAACATGTATGGTTACTAGGGCAACAAATGGTAACTACAACAATGAATGGAAGGAGAAACACTAAAATTTAATAAAGAAACGCGAACTTTTCGGTTGCTGTAGCAATAACTATATTGAATGAGGTACATTTTGCCATTGAAACGCGTCACGATTGTTTCTGTAATTAGCTTAAACAAGTAAAAACGCGTAAACAATGGTTCCACTAGGTTCCTATCTATGAATTACGTGTAAATTTCCAACTTATGGGCCACCAAATATAATTTCGTGCCTGCTCACTTTGGCTGCGTTATTTTATTTTTACCATTCTAGTTGCCATGACACCGAGATTGCTACCATAGAAACGCGTCCAGAAAGCTTTAGCAACCCACAGCATCACAAAAGAAAATTTAGGAAACCAACAAAGAGAGAAGTTTTTCTATGTTCCAAACAGAGTAATTATCTACAACCTCTGAACAGCAGCGCTCGTTCAGGTGTTTCTCGTTTATGGTATAATTGCGCAGCAAACTACTGAGGAGCTTAAAAGAGGAAGCAACATCGATAATAAAATATTCCTCATTAGGGCAAAAATATAAGTGAAAAAAAAGTCAACCTTCTTGTATACTTGAATGAATAGTTTCTTTCTGTCTTTTTATGCGTCAGTTTTATTTTCTTCAGACATTATTTTGTTGGAAGAATGAAGAAGTAAAAGTTACTCCTAATTGGTTATACCTCCTCAAATTTAGTACTTTTGTTTACGTTAAGACATTTTGAAAACTTAAAAAAAAGATAATGTGTATTTTTTATAGTTACTTATAATGTTTATCTTAATTTTAATAGAAGAATATTTATATTTCATATATGCGTGTTCTTGAAGGTTTGATAAAATATGAATTTCTTGTTGATTTTATGGGCCATATCCATCATTTCGTACTTCTCGAATTATTTATTTATTTTATAATTATCGTTGCCTTATTATTGGAGATTATTTCTTTTTTGATCTGAAGAAAAACCCAGCCGCTGTTGCAATACCTGCTATTACACCTGCTCCAACTAAAAGGCCCTTCATTGTTTCTCGTTCGATTTTATCTTCTACCATCTTCTTCAAAGTCTGTACTTGTTTGTTATTTGGTTCATGAGAACTCAAAACATCTACATATCTTTTAGCCATTTGATACTCGTTCAATTTATAACAACCAATCGTTAAATAATAAAGGCATTCTCTTCTTCTGCTTGGGGTGTCCTTGTATATATCACTTAATATCTTAACGCCTAGTCTTTGGTCATCAACTAGTTGAGACCTAATAAGACCCCACGCATAGTTGAAAAGGGCTTGAGTTGTAGCTGTTTCTCCACCCTCTGCTAAAACTTGTTGACGTAGTACCTCCAATTGTTGAGGATATAAGGGGTCCATAACATCATTCAAACTTGGAAGAAAACTATCTGAAGGCATTTTAATTACGTAAAAAAAATTCCAATTAGGTTAATATGCTATTTATTTGATAAATATTGTTTGGTTTATTGTTATCAGCCCACTTCTGTCAACGATTCTTAAGTTCTATGTTTATTTAAATTGACTGACTGACTTTGAAGAATCCAACTAAATCTCCCCGCCACCGCTTTTCTATTTCGGCTTTTAAAATAATGTTAACTACTTCCTTTCTATTCGGCAATTTTCGAAAGAGAGAAAAATTTATATGGTGAAGTGATGATGAGCTCGATGGTTTAAACAGTTTCAAATAAAAAAGTTTATATAATTTCTTCATTTTTATTTAGTGATTGTTATCTTCTAGATATCCTTTCTTAGAGTATATCTTTACCAGTAGATAAGGTGGTTTGTACTTATTATTAACATTATTACGGCTATGGAAGATACTACAAAACTGAATGAATCAAAATTAGGCACTAAGAAATATTGGGATGATTTCTATTCGGTAGAGAGGAATAATTTTAAAGGGAATCCAGAAGATACAGGGGAGTGTTGGTTCGATGATAACGGTGCCGAAGAACGAATGGTTGATTTTATTATTGAAAATTTAAATGAATATGATAACAAAGACTCATCTGTAATCGATCTTGGTACAGGTAATGGTCACTTATTATTCGAACTATATGAAAATGATTTTGCAGCTAATATGTTGGGTGTCGATTACTCTACAGAAAGTATTCAATTTGCTACAGATATAGCGAAGAATAAAGGATATCCTGTAAAATTTACACAGGCAGATGTATTTGATTCTAGTTGGAATCCAGGTGAGTTCGATATTGTAGCTGATAAAGGTACATTGGATGCAATTGCCTTGAGTGGTTTGACTGTTGGTGAGAAAAATCAACCAGTTATTGAAGTGTATCACTCAGTTATTGAAAAAATACTGAAGAAAAATGGTACTTTTTTGATAACATCATGTAATTTTACGGAGGAAGAGTTAATTAAAATCATAACGAAGGGACAATTAACAGTTTTAGAAACTATCGAATATCCAGTATTTGAATTTGGTGGTGTTAAAGGCAGTACTATTTGCAGTGTAGCCTTTGTTAAGAAGTAATCCACAACTATTAAAAAAAGTGGTATAATAATTTGTATCTGTGTTTCTAAGTCAGGTATCAGAAAGGATGAACCAAATTCATCCATATTTTAGTATTGTTTTTATTACTATTATTATTTCACATATACGTGATGGTTATGGATATATAATTTACTTAGGAATGGAGTCATTAATAATCTTATATAGGTCCTCTGTGGTCTCTTCGTTACCTGTTTTTAAAGCATATGTCAGGGGTTTATTATTTTCACCAATACCAATTATTCTAATAAATTTTTCACTTTGTAAAGATCCTGGGAAGCCTTTCATTAATGTGACACCTTTGACAAGAGGTAAATTCAGTATAACTTTCAGTATTGTCCTTGTCCTCATTATAATACGATATTTGTCATTCTTCGAATCCTTGTTCACTTTAATGACACCAGTACCTCTTTCTTTCCAACCAGTTTTCATATCTACCAATTGATATAATTTTGCGTTAGCTTGAATCAAAGTCTCTTCTAATTCTTCACCTGACTTGACATCTTGTTTATGCAATTGTACCTTCTCATCATTTTCAGTGTTAACTTGGTCCTTTTTGGAATCATCTTGTGAATTGTCCTCTGAATCCTTAGAACTAGTCTCTTCTTTCTTATCTTTTTCTGAATTCTTAGTTTCCGACTCATTATCAGTCTTCAGAACACCAAACCCACTACCAAAGGAGAAACCTGAGCCAAATGCCATTACTTTTGGTTTGTCAGTATCATTCTTATTATTATTATCGTTAGAACTTTTGGAATCCTTAGAATTATCTTTCTTTATTTCAGTAGCTACATTAAACCCTGAACCGAATTTAGTTGTGGAACCAAATACAAATTTTGCTTTTTCCTCGTTTGGTATTTGTTCGACTTCTTTAGTCTCATCTTTTGTAGCATTATCCGATTTCACTCTTTTGTTATCTGTGTTATTTTCGTCATTAGACCTTGTTCTCTTCAACGGTGTCTTTTCTTCTTCTATTACTGATTTTACAACTTCAATTTTTTCAGTATCCTTTATTGGAATTTTCTCCTCATTATCAGACATATCTCTATATTTTATGATTGGTATGTATTGATGATAATCTCTCTATGAATAGAACCTCTCTACACACTTTAATTATAATAGAAATTATACATATAAAGTACTTTCTCATATAAAGGTTGATTTTCCTTCATTTATTTCGTTGAATATTTTTTTATTTATTTGTTTTTTTCAATTTGTTCGGGATATTAATAAAGTAGAATAATTATCAAAAAAAGCGTATATAGCATAGATAGAGGTATGAAGGCAAACCCTTGATAAAAGTAAGTCATACAAATCAATATATCTTAATTAATAACAATAACAATACATAACTGATGATATAATAGTTCTTCATTCGTATATATATATATATGTATATATATATGTTTTTGCTCTTTCAGGGAGATGAAGACAGAAAAGATACTTATAAAAATATATATATATATTTCATTAGGTCATAAAAACATTAGCAACGAAATTTTAAAAAAAGATAAGAAGGTGTCATAATTCATAAAATAGTGGTAGAGGAGGCGTGTAGAAAAATAAAAGTAAAACTAATTATTTAAATGATTGATTCTGATGGTGCTTCATTATTAGAAATAATAGGACCAGTCTTATAGTCTACATCAACCAAAGCGCCATTATTATGACAACGAATTTCAACATCGATCTTAAATTTTTTTTGATTTAATTCTGTTTCATCTTCGTATTTCCAGGTGACCGTATCAAAAGATTCTTGTTTCGATTTATTATTAAACCTCAATTCTGGATTCTGTAAAGATTGTCCAATATCTTTTAATAGATGTTTCTCTACATGTTGTTTCAAATGACGAACATACTTCCGAGAATGACAATTTGCAGTGTCTTTAATCTTATCAGGATCATCATGAGCACCACGCATAATAAAAGGTGGATAATATTTCAATTTGCAATGAACATGATCAAATTCATTATCTTCTGTTTCATTTTTCAAATAAGTCCCGAAATCATTCATGTCTTCAAAGATCTTAACTGATTCACCTTCTCTAGTGGTGATCGTATTTACTTTAGGACCTTTGACTTTACTTTTCTTGTTAGGCATATTTGAAAATAGAGTGTAGAGAAATAAACTTAGTTAATTGAAAGTAATATAATATCTAATAAAAATGAGACAAAATGTGTACCAATTGATTAATTTGATAGAGATATTGATATATAGAGATATTGATATGATGTCCTAAGATGCAAAAGAATAAAAAAATTCGAACTGAACAGAAATATAATCGAAAACATTCTGCACCTTCCAAGCTCCTCTGCGTCCCCCTTTTTATATTCCTCCATTTACCCCAATTTTTATTATTATTGAATTACGAGAATGTGACATCCTCCAAAGAACTCTTCTTTTTTTCTTGTGACTATTTATTATAATGGTTGAAACAAGGAAATGTACGGCTGTGCGCCCGGGGAGAAATAAGACCAGAAAACAATGCGGAGATATTTGTTTATAGAAAGAAGAAAACTCACACAATTTGATATCGATGGATAAAGACTATAGTTGAATCATTTCAAAGGGATAAAAGGCATTTGGTTGGACAGAGTTGGTGGTAATGAGTCGATTTATTGTGTCTTGTTGGGGTGGTAGTTTGGTGTAGGTGTAAGGGCCTAGGGAAGCGAAGACTAGAGAAATGGAAATAACCACAGTTCACAAACTTTTATTGTTGTAGATGTTCATGTGGAGATTGATTATACTGTAACTAACTTGTAAAATTAATAATTTTATAGAATAGTGATGTTTGTTAAATTTTGTGAGTGTGTCAACGAATTGTGAGTAGAAAATGTTGGCCTTCTTTCTATATTGGTTATTTCACCTGCTTATGAAGTAGTTTTAACGACTAATCAAATGTGTTGTTTTCGAATGTTATTAAAATAAGAATATAGTTGCTAGTATATTTTACCTGTGTATGTGTTTGGTTCTAAGTTAAGTTTTGCAAATCTCCATTTAGTCCATTGTTAGGCTCAAGAAGAGGTTAAATTGGATTGCATTTATCTCTTTCTGTGTGTAACTATTGTTTTTACTTTAACATTATAACTCAACTTATGCTTACATCGCTTTACCTAACACTAAATAAAATGAACGAATACAAGTTTAACTCTTCTATGTCTACTTCAGCTCAGAGCAGACGACTATAACTTGATTTTATTTTATAATAAATTTATTTAGTTAAATAGAATATGTGTATTATTAATCTTTCCCATCAATATGTACCTGATATTCCAAAACATCACAAATTAAATAAATTTTATGTTCAAATATCTTCTACGTTTTAGGATATACGTTTTTTACCAAAGTTTGAAATTTTAGGCACTATGGCCGAGTGGTTAAGGCGACAGACTTGAAATCTGTTGGGCTCTGCCCGCGCTGGTTCAAATCCTGCTGGTGTCGTTATTTTTTATATTTTTCCAAAGTCGTTTGACGTTCATATTGAGTTCAATAAGGTACCAGTGTATCCATATCATAACTAATTGTTCATTTTCTGAGCTTTTCCATCAACACAAAATATTTGTTTATTTTGTTTACGAAACACCCTCACTTTGGTTACTATAATAATCAGTTAAAAATATTTATAAATTGCACTTCCCCCGATTTAAAGCCGCCCAACTATGACATACAAAATCTTCATGTCGGAAATAATTTGGACGCAATATTGTGTGGTTGCACTATAAGTATTGTACTTGTTGATAATGACCAAAATCAAAAGATTTTATAAGTAATCCCTACAATAATAAATGCTATGGTACGCACAGTAAAAATTTAACTCCATGCAAAAGAAGAAAAGAGTACGGACTTGTAAAATTGTTCATTCATATCATCGCGTAGAGAATCTGAGATAGAGTTATTCTCTCTATTAGTCTCTTCAAGCCTTAATTGTTTTAATCAGGACATTTTCTATATGATAATCGATCGATCTCTTTATATTATATATAAGTTACATATTAAAGAACATTTAATATTTTATATATATTATATTAAGAGCTTCTTTTTATATCAATGAGTGAATGTGAATAAAGGATTTTCTTTACCTATATTGAAATTAAGGGAGTTATACTACCCTTAATTTCTGACACATCGATGGGTGAGTTTCATAATCTTGACATAATAGAAAGACCAAGATTATAAATATGGAGTATTCTTTCTTCATTTCAATACACAATTTTCAATATTTAACTGTATAATATTTTGTATATTAAAATAAAAAGAAAGAGACAACAATTTCAATCTTAACCCTTCACCAATAAATTTAGTATATTACTAACCAAATATAAGTATGCAAAGTTCAAATAATTTCCAATACTTCAACAATAGTAGAACCAACAATCATTCAGGGCCTCTCCTTGTCCCATCACTGGATATGTGTCATCTAGCAGTTTTTCGTTTTATCGAAAATGCGCGAGATTTCAGAAAAGAAAAAGAAATCAAAATCTGTCTGAATATTAATACAGCCTCTTGATGAGAGGTGAACTAAAATAATAGCACTAAAGAACTATCATAACATTTAGTGATGAGGAAGATCAATATGCTAGAGTGGATGTACATATATTTGTGTACATGTTTTCAATAGAGTACAAGTACATTGCGATTTTAGTAGATTATGACAACAAATAGAAAGGAAAATAAACAATCCATTACTTCAACAAAGGACATACGGAAGGTACTCAAATTTTATGATGAAGCAACTTGGAAACGATTTTCTGGCAGACGCTATCAACTAATTGATACCTTTGGGTTAAAAGATGAGATAGCAAGTGAACAAGATGGTAAAATATCGCAAGTAGCTAATATTTTGAGAACTGAGTTTAGTTATCCACTATCTACCACTGAATATTTTGAAAGGTTAGTTATGGCAGCAATTCAATGTGTAAGACGTAATATGAAGAGGTCACTGAAGAGACAAGTTAACAAAATATCAAAACAAGCGAGCCATAGTATTTCAAAATCAACTAGAGTATCAGTTCGTCGTATAATACAGACTCAAAATAATATCAATAAGGTTGAAGAAAAGGGTAATGTTCCAAAGAAAGAGATTGTTGAACAAGTTGGAACTTTGAATAATGACGAAGACGATTTATTTGTCATAAGTAACGTACTGTCCGATGATCCTAGCGTAGATGTACCATCTAAAAAGACTGAGATAAAGGAATCTCCCGAGGTATATGACATTGAATATGATTCTATCATTAAATCTGTATTATCAGATATTATTAATGAAACTGTACCATTTTCGGAACAAGAATCTAACGCATCACATAAAGAACCAGATTTATCTAATTTTCTGACCAATTGTGAAAGGGATATGGAATCTCTAATTGCTACAAAAACTAAATCAGAAATCCCATTCTCCTTGAAAGAAAAACTTTTGCATAGTATTGAGAAGTCTAAGACTTGTTCTGCTATTGCGAAATCACATAATTCTCTCAACAAGTTCAATATTCTGTGTAATCTAGGAAAATCTTCGTACAACACAGCGTTAAATTTTATTATTGAGAAATTTACCCAAAACCAGGTAGACACATTGGAAATTTTATATGATAAAGCAAGCACAGATCGCTTTATATCTGATTTATCACGCCAACTCTTTAGCACAGCAACCAAAATTAATCTTTCCGTATCACTCTCAGATATCGCTCTAATTAGATTGTTCGTCATTACGGTGGGAGCATTGATTAAGGATTTTGGGTTTGATCCGATACTCTACCCGCTTAGTGAAATGATTATGCAACATATTATGATAAACTATCCACTCAATAAACCTAAATCAACAGTAACTTCACGTTCACAAAGGATATCAAATAATCAGCATACTATCCTGATGACCCTGCCTATTGACCCTCAATTGGCGAATAAAGAAGTATATAGAACTGTTACAATAAAGTATGGACCTAAAGAACAAGATTTTAGATTTCCTTTGCTAAGTAATGGGCCACCCACAATACAAGAAATCTTAAAAAATTGTCGAATATTATTTAATATAAGTCAATTGAATAAGACATCATTCGCCCTATTTAATGAGAATGGGTTAATATCCGATGATGATCATCTATCTCACTTATTTAGTGAGATACAATCAGGAAGTCTAACTTTAGTTATAAAGCCTACAGATCAAGTCTAGGTGGAAATACATTGTCCACAATTAAGTATCATATATAGTTTAATAATTTTAACTCTAGCTTATTGAGCCTCTTAAAACTATTATTATTAATTGTAATTAAAACAGTAAAGTTGAAATGTCAAAATTATATTGATTAAAATGTTAAATATTACGAATTTATAAACGAAAATATTACAAACAGTAACTACTATAAAATTCTATAGAATATGCTGTGTGCTAATAAAACTGGGTATCTTTATTAACTGAACTGATTGGAAATATCTAAATGTTTTCCAATACCTTCGAAAAATGTTATTGAATAAATGATTATTATGCTAAACAATCAACTTATAATAAGAAGACGAAAGCAGAGATCATAGCGATCCAAGAACCACCAATAGCTAGGTTAGCAGCAGCACCTTCGAAAGAGGAGATAGCAGCAGAAGAACCAGCCTTAGCAGTGGAAGCAGCTTGTTGAGAAACAACTGGGGAAGCAGTCTTGGTAGCAACAGAAGTGTTGGTAACAGTGGTAGTAGAATCAGTGTTCTTACCAGCGTTAGTGGCAGTAGCCTTACCTTCAGTACAGGTTTCACAAACAGTTTCGGTGGTGGTAGTCAAAGAGGTTTCAGTGACAGTGGAGTGAGCAGTGTAAGTGTTACCGCTAGCGTCAGTGGTCAAGTAGTCACATTCAACAACTTCAGTGACAGTACCGCCAACGACAACAGTGGTGGTGTAAGAGTCACCAGACATGTCAGTTGGAGTGTAGGTAGCTGGGTAGGTAGTCAAAGTGGAGACAGTTTCACCGTTAGACTTGGTAGAAGTACAGGTACAGACAACAACAGTGGAGGTACAGATTTCAGCAGTGATGGTTCTGGTGTAAGTGGTAGCAGTACCTTCAGTGATACATGGGTAAGAAGAAACTAGAGTGACAGTGTTACCGTTAGCGTCGGTGGTAGTGTAGTCACAGACAACGTAGACAGAAGTGGTACCGTCAACAACAACAGTGGTGGTGTAGGTGGTCAATGGAGTTTGAGAAGCAGTGATAGTGTAGGTAGATTCCAAAGTAACAGTGTTACCGTTGTTATCGGTGGTGACGTAGTCAGAAACAACTAAAGTTTCAGTGGTGGAAGCATCAGACTTGGTAGTGGTGTAGTAAGATAGGGCACCAGAAGCGGAAGAAGAAACTTCGGAGGAAGCAACAGCAGAAGAAGCAACAGGAGAAGCAACGGAGGCGTCAGAAGAAGCAGCAACGGAAGAAGCAACAGAAGAAGCTTCAGAAGAAGCAACAACAGAGGAGGCGTCAGAAGAAGCAACAGTCTTAGATTCAGCGTCTAGAGAAGAAGCAGCAGAACCAGTTAGAGTGTAGACAGTTTCAACAACGAAGGTGGAACCGTTAGCATCAGTAGTCCAGTAGAAAGAAATCAATTGAGTTTCAGTGGTACCGGAAGCAGTGACAGTGGTGGTGTATGGAGATGGTAGATCAGTGTTAGTGAAAGTGTTGGAAGCAGTGGTGACAGAAGATTTACCGTTTAGGGCATCTTCACAGCTTGGAGCTTCAGTACAGGTAGCACAGTTAGATGGTCTGGTAGCATCTGGGACAGCACCAGTGTAAGTAATACCAGCACCAATCCAGATGTGGTGAGTAACTCTGAACATTTGAGACATATCGTAACCGGCACCAATGTCGATTCTGATGAAGTCTAAACCGTCAATAACAGTCAACATACCGGAAGCAGTGTTGTAAGTGTAGTAAACAACTGGTAGTTGGAAGTAGATAGCGTTGGTGTTACCGAAACCTCTAACAGTTAGAGAAGTTAAACCTAATAGAGACTTGATGTAGACGATAGAAGTTTCAGAAGACATGTAGACAGTTTGAGACTTGACGGATCTGGTAATGATGTTTCTGACAGTGAAAGTAGCATATTCACCGACGTCGATACAACCTTCTTCACCTTCAAAGGCGACTCTGGCGTGTAAGTTAACACCTTGTAGACAGATGGTACCGTCGTTCCAGATGTGCCATAGATCTAAGTACAAACTTGGACCTAAGTGGACGTTGGTTAGGAAGTTAGAAGTACCCTTGTTGTAGAAAGCCAATAGACCTTCGTTGTGGAAAGTAATAGCCCAGATTCTGAAGTTGGAACCAGTGATCAATGGCTTCTTGGAGACCAAGTACATTTCACCGGAGTTGAAGAATTCGTTACCGAAGTTCTCGTAGATCAAACCAGTAGCAGCAAGGGAGTCATCAATAACGTAAGTACCGTAGTTGAAAACGTTGTCAATAGAAATAATAGTCATACCAATGTTAGAAGATTTAGTTTCACAGATGTATAGACCACCTCTGTTAGTGATGGTGTTGAAAAACTTGTGAATTAGACCGGACTTAATAACCAAGTTACCGCCGGAAGCGATTTTAACTGGTAGAATGAAAATGGTAAAACCATTTAGAACAGTGTTACCTTCGAAAGATTGACCGAAGGCAAAAGAGGCAAAGTATGACAGCATGAAAGCTGCGGTTACCAAAAATTGTTTAGTAGAAACCATAGCGAATGAATTGATTTGGATAATCTTTTTTGGTGATGTCTTATTATTGAATATTAATTATAAAATAATAAATGGAAAAGGAATGGAATATATTTAATTTTGGAAGAATATAGACCTCTTTATATATTCCAAAACCTTTCATTTCAAACTATCCTTTTTCAAAAAAAATTCTTGATGGTCGTTGATGTTTGTTGATGAAAGAGTTTTCGTTTCTTTCCATGTGAGGATAATACCACAACAACAACATCATCATCATCATCAACAACAACAACAGTATACTGTGCAAACTGCAGTATGTTTTTACCGAAATAAAAAATAGTATTAAAAATAACACTTGAATAACTAATGAAAATAAATTCAGTTCACTACAACTGCCTAAATGTTACAGTAGCCAACCATAGGAGGATTTACAACGATCATACATTAAATTTTTTTTATTTATTTAAAAGGAATTGAATCCACCCTCATTGGTGTTGTTTATTCAACTCTTTTCCAAATCAGGATAAAGTAAATAGTTATAAGATTCATGATTTAGTATATGTTCTTGATAGTATCAACTGTACTAATGGAGGGGCTCCTTATTTGTATCAGAAGTTTCCTCTATAGGAACTTCATGGCCTTGTACAGTTACTGATCTTGGCAACTAGAAGTTAGAGCATAGCGTAGCACCAGTCCCTTTCTTCTAAGACGACTCCGAACAAACAATAGAGAAAAGAAAGTGTGTCGTCGTCCAAAGACCAACTTTGTTTAGTAATGGAGAGCCTGTTTGTTTCGTAATGTACTCGTCTATCTTCTTTCAGTAAAAAAAACTTATATTACCAAAGGTCAAATCAAAAAGAAATTACTTTTCTTCAGTTATTTCTTTGAGTAGAGGCCATATATTTACGTTTCTTGTTGACGTTATTAATCGTTCTCCTTTCAAGATCTCTCCCTCTCTTTCGCTCTCTGTGAATGTTCTTCAAATTGCAAAAAAAGAATAGATATAACAATAACACTTTCCCTGAAAATAGAAAGAAAAAAAAGGATCTACGACTATTTCCTTTTTCGGTCCACCGCCAACTAAGTAATTAGTCGTTTCCCGAAAAGATGGAAAATTCCGAAACGACACAGATATGACGCGTCACATTCAAAAAAACTATGAGATCTAAGAAAAGAGCAGTCTTGAAAGTAACATTATCAGATCTTGCATTTCCTATTTTCTCATAAACAAAGAGAAGAAGGGGCCGTAAGTTCTTATTAAGAATATACGTACATACAGAGATATATGCGTGTGCATGTAAGAGCCGATGAAGTTTGTAGGTGGTTTTTCAGGGATTCTTAAGATATTAGGTAAGTTATTATTGAATAAAATAAAATTTTCTCCTTCCTGTAGGGATCTCCCTTGCGGCCAATCTAGATTTACGATAACTGCCCTAGAATAAAATCTGAAACACGACTAAATGACTATTTAAGAAGCTATTTTCATTTCAATTTTCTTTTTTGTTTATTTATTTATTTATTTATATTTTCTTTCTTTTATGCTTAGTGCATCAGAAAACAGAGCTTATTCTTTAGCTATTGCATAGTTTTAATAGTATTATTGTTGTTACTTTTTTTAAAGAACAAAATGTCACTAAGAAAAAAAGCAACAAACTTAGTGGGATGAAGAGGGAAATTTAGAAAAAGGACGATATATCCTTCCAATACTTACATGTATTGTTAATTGGCTATCTTTTAGGCAATAAGTTATTTTTAATTATGTATATTTGTTACTGTTCCATAATATCTCCAAAGTTACTCTAAATATTTTATGTTTGTTGTAATTACAAAGCAAAGAAAAAAAATTTTGAACAAGAGAGTATTAAAGACATAAATTAGTTACAGCACCAAGATCGGTTATAATATTTACTTCCAAACCCCCTTTTCTCTCATATAATAATATTATTGACTTTTTCTTCTTACTTGTGATGTTTGTCAATAAATATTATGTAAATATTTTCTTTTCGATATTAAAAGCATTCTAGGAATCTGGTTCACACTGTCTTGTCCTCATTAATTCAAAGGGAAAGACAACTACCAGGCATGTACAAGTAACTTTTTAATGTTTATTGATTGAGAGAGGAATAGCTTCATAATATTGTTGTATTTCCCAGTTAATGATCTCTTCATATTTATCAACAAAGCACTCCCTTTGACCCTAAGGTTCTTGTCAACTATAAACAACTCCCTAATATTAGATAATGACTTGAACTCACCTCTTACTAATATCCAGTTTTAACTAAAAGGTTTTTAAAGAACAGCTTTACCATTAACGCTACCTACCCTTCTAGTTTCCACTTTTCGAAATGTTAGGAACTCGATAGGAATCATATTCCTACCTTGCAAAATATAGAATGTTGACTTATAATTTTTCCTCTTTTGGATTGAGCTATTGATTAATGTAATAAACATGGCTATTCTATATGTTAATCCCCCGGGTCTATCGTTTATCACATAGCATCCCCTCCAAGTTTTGCCATCAGTTCATATTGGTATCCACTTATGAAAACCAATGCATTCAAGATGATGAAATCTGTTAATAAAATATTTACTTCAAGTTGTTAATGCCATGGCTTTCCATAGCGTTGCTGCCTTTGGAACTACGCACCCAATATCTATGTAAATACTTTTGTAATTGGCCATAGAAATTGTATAATTGACTTATCACATCCGTGGAACATAACCACTTCTATTTTATTAACTTGCCTTCTAAATGTTTGAGAGCTGCGTCGGTCGATTGTCTTTGTTTTATTATTATGTTTGGTGAAATAATGTCACTTTTGTTAGGATTGTAAAGTGTATGCCAATATACAAGGCAAGCTGACATCACCATTTGTCATATAGCAAAGAGGCCGAATTCTTTTTCTCGTTTCTGGAACTATCACAGGTGTTCATAATAATGAGAAAAGCTTGTTTATTTACATCAATAATATAAAAAAATTGGTATATTGCTGCGCATTTTCTTTCTCCTACAGGATATACATGTACATATATTGTGCATGATTAATTACCTTTTAGGAGAAATAAGATTCTAGACCAAATTAGTCTTATTTATGTAACCACTCTTTAGTAGCAAATCCCTGTGTTTCATATATTTATAAACTGTTGTAATTCTTAACCAGTAAAAACTTTATATCCTAAACAGTCTATAAATTACTTCCACTTTGAGCATTATGTTTATTATTTATTTTGTTCCCCGATACAACGATATAAGGATTGTCATAGAAAAAATAATTAAGTTTTGCTACTTTATTTCTTGTGGCCTATTCATATTTTGTAATAACTTACAATTCAGCACCACATATAGTATGTTCAATATAATTTCAAATTACCCTTTATGTTTGTAAACACCCATTTTGAGATAATAGCTCTTGAAACCTTATTATAATTCCTATTTGGTTCTTTTTTTTTCTTTTTTTTCTTATTGGTATATTTTTATGAATTGTCATATTTTTTTAGCTAGAAAAATTGTCCCACTAGGTAGAAAATGAATTTCTCATCTTTGATAATAGATTTACCCAGCACACTCAGTTCTCGTCACCCAGAATATTTATGATGTAAAGCAGTTATTGTTTTTGGAAAAGTAAAAAAAAAACCCTTAAAAGTTTGAAAGTTCTTCATAATAAAAGCCGAAAGCGTAGAAATAAAATGAGAAATAAATAGTAGTTTCAACTAAAAATAGCCCTTCTAATTCAAAAAAACACCATAATTATCTGCTTAATGCTCAGTTGAAAATACAAGAAAGCTTTATTTGTTTAATCCCTCCCTTGGGGGAGTTTCTCGAAATTTACACTAAAAACTATTTACTTATTATCAAGGAGATCGGTATCGACCCTAGTGATAGGCAATAGACATATATCTGACCCATACTATGTAGTTATTGTAGTTGTAATAACTGAAACTCTTTGGTTTGTATAGTTTTCTTTCCTCAGTTTCTCTAAACCACAGTTGGAAGATACCTTGCAGGTGTTTGGCTTATCCAATTTATAATTAATTTATGTCATGTCCTATTGTTTTTTTTCGGTGTCCTTGAACAATATTATTTTCGGCTCAGGGTATGGTGATATCCAGAGACAAAATGTTTCATAATATGATGAAACTTATGCAATACAATGAATCAAATAAAATACACTATGAAAAATACAAGGTCTAATTCTTATAGTTCAAAAATAAGATCACATCTCTTGTAGTCATTGTTGTTAGTCTTTGGTGAGCCCTGTTCTCTGTATATATATTTATATCTGATAATTTTGATACTTGTGTAACTAAACAAAGGTCATGTGGAATATCAAAATCTTATGGAGAAATATAATAGTGGACTATCACAAAAGCACATTAATGTCTTTGGTACTATCAAAAATATAAATATGAATAGAAGAATATTGTAAAAGAACAGAAAGTAGTATATAAATTATTTAGAGGTATTCGTATATATCAACATTACAATCGATATATAATCATATCGGGGAACGTTCCTTCGCTATTTCTGTACTATGTCATTAAAATTGTTCATATATTTAAGGGTAAATAGTCCTCTTCTAATATTTTGTTTTAACCTAAAGTCTTAAGTATTGAACATGTCTCTTATTCACTCAACCTTGGAACACTATATCCACAATGATCAAGTTAGATGTGATCACCTTAGTAAGATACATATATTTTCAATAAAATGAGGTTTAAAAAAAAGGATATGAAATTAAAGGGGTATTATGTAGTTTGTTATAATATGATTATATAAATGACTATATTAGCTTTTAATATGCTAATTGAACGAATTTTAATGGATTATTCTAATAAAAATTTATGATCATGCAATGAGATTAGAATAATAGGAAAACAAAGGCGGAAACCATGGCAATCCAAGATCCAACAACCATGTTGGAGGCAGAACCTTCATATTCAGATAAGTTCTTGGTAGAAGCAGCAGAAGAAGCAGATTGAACTTCAACAACTGGCGAAGCAGTCTTGGTGGAGACAGCAACATTAGTGATAGTAGTGGTAGTATCTTCAGAAGCAGTGTTAGCACCATTGTTAGAACCGTTAGAGGCGACGGTGTTGGTGTTTTCATTGTTCTTACCAGCGTTGGTGGCAGTAGCCTTACCTTCAGTACAGGTTTCACAAACAGTTTCGGTGGTGGTAGTCAAAGAGGTTTCAGTGACAGTGGAGTGAGCAGTGTAAGTGTTACCGCTAGCGTCAGTGGTCAAGTAGTCACATTCAACAACTTCAGTGACAGTACCGCCAACGACAACAGTGGTGGTGTAAGAGTCACCAGACATGTCAGTTGGAGTGTAGGTAGCTGGGTAGGTAGTCAAAGTGGAGACAGTTTCACCGTTAGACTTGGTAGAAGTACAGGTACAGACAACAACAGTGGAGGTACAGATTTCAGCAGTGATGGTTCTGGTGTAAGTGGTAGCAGTACCTTCAGTGATACATGGGTAAGAAGAAACTAGAGTGACAGTGTTACCGTTAGCGTCGGTGGTAGTGTAGTCACAGACAACGTAGACAGAAGTGGTACCGTCAACAACAACAGTGGTGGTGTAGGTGGTCAATGGAGTTTGAGAAGCAGTGATAGTGTAGGTAGATTCCAAAGTAACAGTGTTACCGTTGTTATCGGTGGTGACGTAGTCAGAAACAACTAAAGTTTCAGTGGTGGAAGCATCAGACTTGGTAGTGGTGTAGTAAGATAGGGCACCAGAAGCGGAAGAAGAAACTTCGGAGGAAGCAACAGCAGAAGAAGCAACAGGAGAAGCAACGGAGGCGTCAGAAGAAGCAGCAACGGAAGAAGCAACAGAAGAAGCTTCAGAAGAAGCAACAACAGAGGAGGCGTCAGAAGAAGCAACAGTCTTAGATTCAGCGTCTAGAGAAGAAGCAGCAGAACCAGTTAGAGTGTAGACAGTTTCAATTGGGAAAGAAGAACCGTTAGCATCAGTAGTCCAGTAGAAAGAAATCAATTGAGTTTCAGTGGTACCGGAAGCAGTGACAGTGGTGGTGTATGGAGATGGTAAATCAGTGTTAGTATAAGTGTTAGATTCAGTAGAAACAGAGGTTTGAGCGTTTAGAGCATCTTGACAGTCTGGAACTTCGACACATTCAGCACAAACAGCTGGTCTGGTAGCATCTGGGACAGCACCAGTGTAAGTAATACCAGCACCGATCCAGATGTGGTGAGTAACTCTAAACATTTGAGACATATCGTAACCAGTACCAATGTCGATTCTGATGAAATTCAAACCATCAATAACAGTCAACATACCGGAGGCAGTGTTGTAAGTGTAGTAAACAACTGGTAGTTGGAAGTAGATAGCGTTGGTGTTACCGAAACCTCTAACAGTTAGAGATGTTAGACCTAGTAGAGACTTGACGTAAATGACAGAAGTTTCATCAGACATATAGATGGTTTGAGATTTGACAGATCTGGAGATCAAATTGTTGATAGTTAAAGTGGCGTAAGCACCGACGTCAACACAACCAGTACCTTCGAAAGCAACTCTAGCATGCATGTTGATGGATCTTAGACAGATAGTACCAGTGTTGGTGATATGTAGAGCATCAATTAAAGTTTCTGGACCTAGTTCAACAGTGGATAAGAAGTTGGAACTACCGTTTTGATAGAAAGCCATTAGACCTTCGTTGTGGAAAGATAGAGCCCAGATTCTAAAAACAGAACCGGTGATAAGTGGTTTCTTACCGTAAATGAAGAATTCACCAGCATTGTAGAACTTGATACCAGCAGACTTGAAGGTTAGACCAGTTAGAGCAGTAGAGTCATCGACGACAAAGGTACCGTAATTGTTAATGTTACCAGCAGCAAGAACGGTCATACCGACGTTGATAGCCTTGGTTTCACAGATGTATAGACCACCTCTGTTAGTGATGGAGTTGAAGAAATTGTGAATTAGACCAGATTCAATAACCAAGTTGGAATCAGTAGAGACAGTGACAGGTAGAATGAAGACAGTTAAACCGTTTAGAACAGTGTTACCGGTAAAGGTTTTACCGAACGCAAAAGTAGCGAAGTACGACAGCATGAAAGCTGCAGTTACCAAAAATTGTTTAGTGGAAAGCATAGCGAATGAATAGATTGAAATAATCTTTTTTGGTGATGGTTTTTTTTTTAATATTTCAAAAAAGTAATTAATAAAAGAGATGGAAACAAGAATAACCAAATTTAAAATAATATTATGAACGTTTATATACTTGTGAATTCCATTTTAACATTTTGATATATTTGTTCTTTTCTTCCAAAATTTCAAAAATAAAACTACTACATTATATCATATTGTTGTTTAGAGGTGATTCTTTTGTTAGTCGTGTCTTCACCTCAATACGCGATTGTTTCTACCCTAAGTGGTTCCTAACACATCTAATGATTCCGTTAATAAACAACCAAAATCATCGGTAACTTTTTTAGTAAGTTATCTTCATTCTAGCAACATCACAATAAATTTCAATATACTTTGTATTGAGTGATGTCCTCAAAAAAATCGTTAGTACAATCCACAGGGTGTATAATTTCCGTTTCCTATGTCCCTGTGTCCTACTATTTTGACATCTTCTTAATATAGGTACTGATTCCATCGCGAGTTCAACCCGTTTTGGGGTATGGAGTCGTATCGCCTCGCGAATTAATGGATATTTTTGAGATCTCGTTCCTTGCGCTCTTTTCTCGGCGGACATGGTAATAATTGCTTGGAGAAATCAAGGGAAAAAACAGGAGGAAGATAGCGGCTCCGCAACGTCAATGATTCTTAAGAAACGACTTTCAAGTGACGGATCCTGAACTCTATCAACAACCAGATAAGGTAATTTCAGAAATGAGCTCTAGTATTATTGTTATTCGTTGCTTGTATATATTTCTTACAAAATACAAGGAAATGAAGAATCAGAGCGTAATTATATGAATCATTCTGTTCGATATTGACGTTCTTCATTCAATTAATGTCATTGACTATGGTTATCCTGGAATTTTCAGGCAAGATAGTTACTCACTATTCAATTTTCATTGTGTATCAACAATACAAGGAATAAAGATTGTGTTTGTTTGAAATAGTCATTTCTGAAAAGACCTTCTTTCATTAACATTATACACTAATGGTAAATATGTTAGACTCATACATTATATTGGTTTGTTTATAAGATTTTTTTCCAACTTGGTTGCTGTTACTAAAGGTTTACCAACATACCATTTCAGTTCGACTATTCTAGTTTTCCTTGACCCTTCTGGGAAATTAGAATTTGAGTGACTGTAATTTTCACTAGTAATGGCCAATTCAAAAACAGTAGTTCTTTTTGCATTGTTGCCCACCTGTAGCTTTCTTAGAATATGTATTGTCAGTTATTGAACATACCAATGAGATGAGAATAAGAAAATTCTGTCAAACTGACCTTACTTCTTAGTGCAACTTTAAAAAAAAATTAACAGTTCAAAATAGACTTAGATTAAGAGATTATTTTATTTGGATCTTCCATAGACAACTTATTTGATGATCATACATGTAGCATCTATATACATAGCAGTAAGCTTCTTGAATTCTTAATGTATTTTGTTCCCTCTGAAATTATAACATTTCCATTCAAAAATAGAGAGTTATCATTTTAAAGCTCTAAAAACCTAAATATATGACATAGTAAAATGTACCATCAAAAAAAGACCAGATGATAGTGATTTCTTTTCACAACTCTTCTGAATATTGAAAAAAATATTGAGCCGATAAATTGTTACCATTGAAATTTATCAAAAAGAGAATCAAAAAGGACGGATTGGTCGTTGGATTACCAATTTTTTGAAACGCCGAACAATTCAAAGCTTAATTAATGTACAAAAAAAAGACGTAACTGTTCTGCGCAATGAACCTGATGAACATTGCTGAGTTCATCGTTAAGAAAGCGCTTGACAAATCGTAGCTAAAGAATACACTACAACCATATTGAAAAAGATGTTCAAAATGCTTAATTTAGATAAACTGTACTAAATTTAATGTACATTGCGAAGAAATTCAGTGAACGTTTTGATCTAGTATATCGGGCGAGAGCGTAACTTGTAAAAATGTTCTATTCTCTGCTTTCTTTGACTTTTTTTTTTGAAACTTTGATTTGTTTCATCTTTCGATTTGCATTTCTTACTTATCTAAGTTGTAGGGACCTTTCTTAAGAATAAGCCCTATAACATTATAAAACCCTAATATGTGATACCCTAGGGTTTGTTTTATTTTTATAATTCTTGTTTTTTCCATAAAGTTCACTTTTTTAAACTAAATAATAATTTTGATGTATTTAGCTTGTATTGAGGAATATGAAAGAAGAGTTTACTTTGTAAACATTCGTACACAATTACATATTTTAATAGGGAAATAGTTCAAGTTTAGTATTTGGTGTCTAATGTGTCAACAGAGTAATTTACTTAATGACAGAAATTATATAGGAGCAAGCTATCTCAAATGTCCTAGAAATAGCAAAAACAAAATATTACGTCATGAACTAAGAGAAATAGAGTTTCAAGAAAATAAATAATATATAAAGACAGAGAATTCTGAACTTACATTCTAAGTTAAAATCCATTTGTTCTATAAATTTTATATATAATAAAAACCACTTACAAATAGTAGAAAGGATTAACATATAACATTTGCTTTACTTTAACTATGTACACTTAAGCTGCTACTAAATCCCTTACCTTTACAATTGACAATGAGCGAATCCAGATCTAACTCTACAATGTAAGCTTCAACTCACTTAAGAATTATAATAGAACAATATTTGAAATAAAAAAACTTACAATTAGTACAGCTTCTCTTAAAAGAAGTCTGATGGTATTCAATTCTATACATGGAATTTTTATTACTTATTAATATATCTCAATATGAAAGTTTTCTATCGTTAATCTTTTGACTTATTTCTTCGAAATAATTGAAAATTTAATATGTTTAGTTTTATTTAATTATTTCTCCAACTCATCTAATCCAGGGGACTACAGTAGTACCACGATCACATATTAAAATATTTTTTTATGATCAAGTGTGTCCTGACAGTATTACTTTATAAAGAGCCAGATTTCAGCTGATATTAAGGGATTCTAAGAACTTAAGATTCTAGTTTTTTCTCAATTTTGTGTTTTTTTTATGTTTCCTTATTAAGTGTTAGTTACTACGAATCCTTTATATATACACAAGTTATTTCAATTGCTGCCAAAGCTATATATACATAATACTACTTAAGTGTCTTTATTTTTGATACATCTTTAAAAGTTAGGATTGTTAGTTTCAATATAAATATATGTCGTGTATAATAGAGAATCTCCTTAACCACATATTTCCTGACAATATCTAGAAATTGTATAAACTTACAGATCAAAACAATACTGTATCTACTAATTGGCGCAATCCACAGTCTCTTTCACTTTTTAATTAAACGAACAACAATCTTTTGCCAGCAAGAGTTACAACAATGTCGTTCTTAGTTAGCAAATATTCTCATATTATCATTTACATCGTTAATAATTGTAAAGAGAACAAATAAAGCTAAAAGTTCGCATTATTATTAGGTTTGGCGTACCGGTTTATTTGAATAATTCCCGTTATAGATATCAATGTATATCCTGTTGCTTTTTTACAAATCAACTGTTTCTGTTACTTACATAACACAAACAAGACTAAGGATCCGATGTCGCAGAAGGTAACATCAACATTCAAGAAAGAGGTAACTACGCGGTACATATTAGGGAAATCAACCTAGTGCGAAGAATAGGAAGTTGTTAATTACATAACTTTTTTTAATAAATTCCAAGTACGACGCCAAACGTAACGATGAGTTATCTCTCTTTTTGTTCGTATGAGTATTACTTTGATGTGATGATGGACACCCATAGGGAATCAGATAGGTGTTCGCTTTTGTGTTTGATATCTACTCCTGTAACGTCGTAAAAAATTAACTACTTTTACAATTAAAGTAATAAAAGTACACGACTATCCAATTAAACTACTATCCTCTTATCTGTTAAAAGGATTTTCGAATTTTGACAGTCATGATTTACACATATTGCTACTGATAAATAGTTGGTTGGTTAGTTTTAGTGACTAACGGAATCGGTTATAGAACTATTAAAAACCGGCCTGTCAACCCTATGTCTTTCTTCAACATACTCTAGCCAAGAAAATTTTGTTCGTAGTTAATCACTATTATTAATATTACTACGAAGTTTCACTTTAAGAAACGACCTGCATTCATTCGCTGCGGCCTATTCGTTTAATATTTCCCGTTTAGGTAAAGACCCATATGGAATCAGCATTCATTTTTTTGTTTTCTTTTCGATTTCTTTAACAGCTGATTAGTTAAATTTTTTTTAAAAAGAGGAGACCGACAGAAAATTTTTTCTATCTCCTAATAAACGAATAGAAGGTATAGACAGATCTGTAACATATTACTATATAGCACATGCTACCTATGCTACTATACAGTGAGTGACCAATTGGCGTACGTTATTCAACTTCAGGAATTCTGTTTTTGTTTTAATTTTTGTCCACGTACATTTCTTAGAGATTTACAACGTAGATCTTACAATTCTTGTTTCTGAAGAACAAAATCTCTGACATAATATGTGACAATACAGTGTAGAGATTTTGTGACTTTCGGTCATCTCTGTTTCTCTTCAATTTTAAGACTCTCTATAACGTTTCTTAAGCAATAAAATTTATATTCTCGTATGGTTTCGTCATGCTTGTGTAAGTCAATTAATTTATTATCTGGTTTAGGAGATCACATTTAAACTTTATCAGTAGGGGTAGGGTTCATTAACGCCGCCTTGTAATATATTCTTTACGGGACTACAGCATGTCCTGTCAATCTCAAATATTTGTTCTAAGTTAACTTAGTTAAGTAAGTTTCTCCAGAGAGAGGCTCGGAGGGGGAAAGTGTACTTCAAACGAGATTTGGTAATGAAAATTCTCTCCGTTTTATTCTTGGTCAAATATCTTAATACATCTGATTTACTAAGGAATGTTCTTATTTCTATGATGAAACAATCTCAAAACTCCATATTTTTTCTCCTATATTGTTACATTTCTGTTGATACAAACAAGGATATTTAGGAATTCTATCGCTTATTTATAAAATTTGATACAAACAAGGATATTTATAAGCCAACTTTCCCAATCCTGTAGTGATTTTAAGAAATATGCAACAATTTGCAATCTTTTTTTTATCATTTTATTTACTGTGTTAAAATTTTACGATATACCACTAACTAATTACTTCTTGATAATTTTTTCAATAATCTACAGATACAATCGAAAAACTATTTGTTTCTTCTTTTCAATATCTTAACTAGTATCAGTTTTTAATTTTAATTTAATTTGATATTTTAATTAATCAAGAAGTTCTTTAATATTGCGATAAGACAATGGTGAATTACAAAGTACTAATGAGCAAGTATAGTACTTAAAGCTACGCTACTATTATCTCCTCGGAAACAGATGTGTGCTTTCATTAACCTCAAAAAAAATAAAAAAAATGGGTGGGTACAAGCTTAGTATGTGATTGATCGTATTTGTAAAGAAAAACAATATTAATATTATTATTTATTTCTTGGTACCTATTACTATTACAAAGCATAATAGTAACAGAATGTTAAAATACCACAGTCGGTTCTTATCGGAACCAGCAACATACGTCTACGAACTCTCCTCTGAGATCTCTCATCTGCTAAATAGTCTAAGAATTTTATTACTAAGTCGGTTAATTACGAAATGACCAACGTTGACGTTAAAACGCAGGACATCAAGAAAACTGTAGATTATGTAGTGAAAGAGAATAACTCCCGTAGTATTTGATTATTTTTATTTTGGTTTACTTTTAAATTTTTTACTAGATTCCCCAAAACGTAAGTCACAATTTTTAATAGTCACTAAGAATTAACGTAGATTATGCCCTTTTCTGGAAATAACATTTCCACGTAATATTCTCTGAAATTATTGTTTGTATATCACTTTTTCTATTGTTTTCCAATTCTCTGAACCAGATTGTTTTTTGAAAAAATTCTTTTGAAAATTTAGAGAAAATCAGGGAATAAGAAGGAAGAGACTGTACAGAATCCGTCAATCTGTTAGTCTGTCTTTACACACCTGACACAGGTGAATTAAATGAGCTTAGTATATCGTCTTTTTTTCTTCTTCTTGTTCCCGCGAAAAACGACTGCAAAAAAAAAATGCTATACCGTTAACAACAATTATTAGACGTGATAAAAAGGTTCATCGCATATAGCTTCGTAGGGGCTTATCACCCTGAGTTTTGATAGACTGTAGGATGAATTTTAAATGAAAATATATATTTTCCTCAATTAGTTAAACTAAACGGGTTAAGTATTGAATCGTGTCAATACCCATGTAATTATTTGCCGAATTGGGACTATGCATATAATACTGCATACTATTCCATACGAAATGAGTTCTAGTTAAAATGCTGTTACCAATAGGAAGAAGTTTATTTTTAGGGCAGAGATTTAGTTGATGTAGCTTATTTGAAGAAAAAAATTTCTTTTTTGTTTTAGTTTTCTATACTGAGATAATCAAAGATCTTTTTTTTAATTCTATTATTTTTGTGTTTTTTTCATTCAGATTTTCTCTCTTTTACAAGCTATAGTTAATTGAAAGGAAATAAAGATTATGCTGGTGTTGTTTGGGTCCCTTTTTTACATAGCTAATGTGCAGTAAATGATTAAAACAACCTGCAGTCCTAAACAGTTCATCCTTAATAACCCAGGTAGCGTGCCATTAAAGAAACTTCTGGCCAAGTGTTTTTATTCCTACTTTCCTCATATTGCTAGCCGATTTTATTTGTATTTTGTAACAGGTGTCTTTTAAGAATGTCTTCCTACAAAGAGGGAGACGTGATCATTCACCTACTCATATGTGTATTAATTTTGATGACCCACTCAATGTCTAGGAGTTATACCGCGGAGATCCCGATCTGCACTATTGTATCTCTGCTTCTAAACTACCTCATCATATTCTTTTTAAACTTTTCTATTAATTGTTTACCTTTCAAAAAAATATGGTTTACGATTATGAAACATCTATCTCTTTTTTATTTCTATGTTGTCCTTAAGTTTTATAAGGGATTTGCTCAGCTTCAATTTGGGCGACTTACCGTTATTATTCAGTTCTAAAAGGATTTCCAAATGAGCATACTATATTGATTGTTTTGGATTCCAGTTAGTGATTCATGTCGGAGAGTCGTTCTTACTCTCTACTTTTTAGGATATAACATAGCTATTCTACCTTCTCTACTTGAAAACTACTGTCAAAAATTACTAACATAAAACTGGTCCGGTCAAAAGAACTAATCTTGTTGTTTATACGTGTGATAACTTTCGACACCTTATTTCCACCTTCCTTGTATAGTTATTAGGATTTTACCCACCATCCCTCCTTCATCAACATTAATGAATGATATAACCAGTGTTTACTGAGCACGAATTAAGTTTACGAAGACACGTTAAAGAAGAATACCTTTTCGTTACATTTCGTGTCCCATTTATTTATTTACCCATCCATTCTTTGTTATATATAAGAACAAAAGAACCCCTTCATTTATGGTTACTCTTCATGTACAATAATCTTTCCCTAATCATGTTCTCTTAATCTTGTTTTAATCATTCATATTATAAGAATTATATATATATCAAACACATCTTAGGTGAATAATATTAGTAACTTAACAAAGTATATTACAACTTCATATCCCTACTCATACAAAATACAAATACATTAACAATGTCTACTCTACAATGGATTACTCAAGAGTTACCAATACCACTGGTAGATCCAGTGCCTTCATGAAGTACAGACTTAACAAATACACTGCTAGTTCGTCTGGTACTACACACAAGATCAGAGAAGCTCTAAATTTCAAGGATGAAATGAAATGGAAGAGATTCTCTAACAGAAGACTGGAACTTATCGACAAATTCAAGCTAAGTAAATTCAAGGCTTCTGAACAAGATCAAAATATTAAACAGATTGCTAACATTCTAAGAACTGAATTCGAATATCCTGAATCTACATTAGGTGAATTTGAAAAACTTGTTACTGCCGCTGTTCAGTCTGTCAGAAGAAATAGAAAGCGTTCCATGAAGAGACGCGCTGCCGCTGCCGCTGCTTCCGCTTCTATGGCTAACAATTCTATGAATGGTGCTCATATGATGCCATCGTTTATGACTGCTAATGGTACACCAACTACCTTAAGAAGTTCTATGAACTTCCACAACAGTGACCATTCTATTAACTATGGTAACTACTCTCAAGGTGCTATTCCAAACACTTTTGTTCAAGCTCCAATGGGTTATTCTCAACCTCTACCTCAATATGTTGCTGACCCAATCTACCAAACCCCTAACATGCAACCAAATGTATTCATTTACCAAAATGTTCCAGGTAGTAGATCCATAAGTGGTTCTAACGTCACTCCAACATTACCAGTGATGCCTCAAAACAACGATCATCTATCTTATCAATGGATGAACAATAACAACCAACAATACAACGCCATGTCTCTTCCAATGAACGTCAACATGCCTGTTCAACATAACTCAATGGATCTTATTATGAAATCATCTCTCCCACAAACTTCCCAATCTCAACAGGAACTAAACTACGATACCACTCTAAAGGGTTTGATTTCTAATCTAATATCGAATGTCAACAATGGTAAACTTAACAGATCTGCCATTCCAGCTCATCTAAGAGATTCTTTGATCAACGGTGTTAGACACTCTAAGACCTGTTTTGAGATTTCTCAATCTGCTTCTCCTATCAAGAGCTTCGAAGACTTGAAACTTTCCGGTGAAATGGCTGTTAGAGACTCTGTTTCCTTTGTTATTCAAAATTATTTCCATCAATTAATCACTTCTTCTTTGGACTTCGCTACAGCAAAGGTCTGTTCTCCTAGAACTCTTTCTGCTCTAGCTGTTGAACTATTTGACTCTTCTGTTAGATACAACATGAGTCAACTTCCAATGGTCGAAATTCAAATTGAGTTGCTTTACCTTGTTCTAGGTGCTATTATTAAGGATTTTGGTTATGATCCTAATTACTTACCTCTAGCTGACATCATTCACGAAAAATTGAGAGAAGATTATCCACAAGATGCTAATCTAAAGCTAGTCAACAACAAACCAGTTGAACTACCAATGATGGACACCCTAGTAGTCAAGGAAGCTCCAAAACGTCTATCTGAAGAATTCCACTTCAAGAAGATTAACATCAACTACAAGGGTCAAAAACAATTTTTTATTTTCAAATCTTCTGACAAGAAGTCCATTACCATTATGGACATTCTTGAAAACTGTAGAGCTAAATTTGACATTGACGAAGAAGAAGTTAACAACTTGGCTATCTATTACAACAAGGATTTGATTGTCAATGATATGAAATTATCTAACATTTTTGTCGCTCTTTCCGACACTGATGAATTCTCTATTGAAATCAAAAGTCTAAACATTTCGGATGATACAAAGGTTCCACGTTACATCCAATCCCCAATATCTGCTAAGCTGAACATGGCCACCCCCGTTTTAAATATTCATGAAAAATCAAGTGTAGATGATTTAAACATCACTTTACCACCAATGGTTGTAAACAAATTTAATCAAAACTCCTTTGGTAACGGTACTCTACCAAGACCAATGCTACCGGTCACCAAATAAGGTAGTTAAGAATATTATCTTATTTTATATATACACACACAATTATATATATAAAGGAATTATAATAATATATAGTAATAATATTAATGACATAATCTTCATAATAATTATAATATTTTTTTTTTCAATTTCTTCGAAGAGGAGGAAAGATCATTTTATTGGTATTATTCCAATAGGCTGATAAGCATAATATCCTCATCAGGTTTTCTAAAAGATGGGGTGGAACTTGAGAAATAACGTATTATAACCGCGTTTTCATTTTTCTTCAATATTTGTGTTACCTTCTGGTATATCTTCATTGGTCTCTCTCGAACTTGGAGTTTCTATTGAATCCTTTTCTTCGGATTCAAGTGGTTCGATAATTGTTACGTCAAGTTTGTAATTTAATGCATACTCTTCATCTTTCAGAGATTCGTAACATAGAGTACTCAATTCTTTATCCTTAAACCCTATGATCGCATTGAAATATACTGCATCGACTTGATACAAATCACCATCTATTTTAACATTTATCTGCTTGTCCATATCCTCATATACACCGACATAGAATTCTCTAGTATTATCTAATGAGAAATCTGAATCTTCCGAATCCTGTAATAACAATAAAGTAGGGCATTTCAATTTAACAAAATCTTTAAGTACCGTCCAACGTAATTTCCCATATTTCTCTAGGTAATTAGTTTCTAAATCGATATGTTCGTCTTTATCCTTTAATGGTCTCAAAGTATCAGAGACCAAATAAGGTGGGAAATTTTTTAATTTCAATTGATACATCTTTCTCTCTGTCATTTGCTTCCTAAAATTTGTTTCATTAAAGATACTCTTTAAATTTTTGGGTTGTTTGAAAGGATTCAGACCTTTTTTACCTGTTAAATAAGCAATATTATCGTGGTCTGAGGAGATTGATGAGCGTGGTGACATATGAAACATATTCATACTATTATATAGTTCCTGTTCGTGATCTTTATATTGACTTTGCAATACATGACCATGCGATGGAATATATTTGTTCCCAAGAGCCGGCTGATGGTATAATTGTCTTCTCGGTGGGAATGACGTTGGATAAGCCATAGGATACATCGGATTACCATTATCATCTGATGGACTTACACCCGGAATGAAGATCCCATTATTTCTGTTATTACCATTGCTAATATTAGCATTATTACCTTTATTCTTGTTCATGATCGGCGGTTGTACTCCAGGTACTAGAGGAAATGCAGGCAATAGAGGATGTTGCGATTGCGATTGCTGTTGCTGTTGTTGCTGTTGATCTGGTCTCAAAGGTGGTGATAATGGTAAAAGCTGAAGAGGTGTTTTCATGTTTTGTGACGATGATGATGATGATGGGAAAGGTAGTTGGGGATACTGCTGATGAGGTGGAGAGCCCATAATAGGCGAACCCATAGACATTGCAGGATGATAAGGCATTGGATAACCTGAAGGCACGGGACCTGAGGTAGGAAAATGTTGATTTGGAATGATATAAGAAAATAAATCATGGAAATCCCACTGATAAGAATTTATAGTCATTAATAAATTATTTAAATCCTCTTGACTTAAATCTTGTTTTAATAATATTATACAACTTTGTAAAGTAACAAAAGGTGGTATTAATGAAGTGATAGGTGGGAGAACTTTAACTTGTATAATATTATTATGATTTATAATACCTCCTATAAGATATTTTATTTGTTTCCATGTTTTACCTGGTGGTAAATTATCAATTCTAATTCTAATTGCATTTAAACTTTGTTCATAAAAATTTGATAGATTGGAATCATGTTTTTGAAACGATTTTGGTGATTTTGGGGGACTATGCAATGACATGATATATATTTATGTGTATTTTTTGGGAATTAACAGATTTGTTACCTATAAGTATTATTCTTTCTTTTTTTTATAAAAAATTAGTTCTTAATAAAATATTATTCAAATTTTATCTAAATGGAGACCTAATAAAATCAAATAATTATATTATACTTTAAAATAAAGACGATAATATTCCAATACCGTAAAATTAATTATAATAAATTAAATGATGTAGTTTCTTTAATCCAAAAGTCAAAAATAAAATAAAATATAATAATATAGAGAATGATCTAGTTGTAATATAATTAAGGCGGAGAAAATAAGGTAAAAAAAAAAGGGTATAGTACTAATAATATTATTAGTATTCACAAAAAGTTATGAAAATAGACAAAACACCAATTTGAATGGGGAAAATGATAAACTAATCTAAAGCAATAACTGAAGTTATGATTATAATTATGGATCAAATATATATATTTTTTTATTTTTATTTTCTTTAGTCCTACTAGTAAATAATTTTAATAAATAGAATTAATTAATGATAATAAACAGAAGTAACCGGAAAAACAAAAGCTAACTAACTAACAAAAAACAAAGAAACAAACAATGAAAAAATAAAAAGGAAATTTGTTGGTTATCTATATATGTGTTATGAATCTTTTGTTAAGTATTTAACATTTATTCAACATATAAGTGCTTATATATATGATAGTTCAAATTAAATGTCATTAAGATGCAAAATATATATTATATAAGTAGTTATTTTTACCTTTAAAATGCAAAAAAAAAAAAGATTAACCAAGAGAGGAGGAGATAAGAGGTAAATATTAATTTCTATAAATATTTTTCAATTATAACTCTTCTTCTTCTAATTCCTCATCAAAAACTGGGCAAACTACCAAAGGTAAAAATAATAATTAAATTAAATAATATATAGAGAAGACAGATCTCTCAATATAGATAATCAAATAACTTATCTCTATTTAATCACTCTTTCTAATTATTCTGTTTGAACTAAGTAGATCCTCAGCATTTCTTATTTTTTATAATATATAGTTTGCTTATTAAGGGAAACTATTTAAAGTTGCAATACAATACAATACAATACAATACAATACAACAACTTACGTATAATAAAAATTACGCGCTATTTTATTTTCCCTTAAAAAAGTCAACGGTCAATTTCAATACTCCGAAAAGAGAGAGAGAGAGAGGAGAGCGGGCCTAATAATTTTTGATGCATATAATTTATAACAATGGCATTCTATTCATTTTCTATTCCAAATGAATGTTACACATTCATTACTTTGGAGAGAGAGATAGAAATATGCTTTGTTTTGTAAAATAATCAAATAATATAAAACAAGTTATTAAGATTATATAGCAATCATAATATTGTAATATCTATTACACTAGTATTATGAGTAACGAACGATTCAAAGTTAAATTTATAACCAAATCTCTTTGATTGACAGAACATATATAATGTATATTTTATTAAGATAAATACGTACATAAAATAATACCAGTAGAAACGTATCAAAGAAATGCAAGTGTATTAACTCTTTTCTGCGTAAAGACACATTAAATAAATAATTAAAAGGTGAATAAAGGTAGAAATAGAGGTAGAGGGAGTTATATTTTTTTTAAAAAAATATAAAATAATACACGCAATACAAAAAACCAATTAATGAAAAGTTTTTAAAAGATCTTATAATTCCCACAATTAGAAGTCCAATTACATACTGTGCGTTGAAGATGGGGGGAATAAATATATATATATAAATCCATATATGGCAAGAAATATTAACTTCACAAAGTTATTCTCTTCCATTATTTAAGATAGTATAAAACATAATAAAGTAACGTCATAGCATTCATATAACCTTTGTTTCACTTTGATTAAACAAATATAAATATAACATATTCAATACTAGCAAAGATGTCAACGGCGGCTTACGGCGGCTTACACCGATTGAGTTAGCTATAATAAAAGACGACTTCATTTTTATATTAAATCTACCATACAAATGCAATACTATAACATTATAGTAAGTACTATTTAAATTATTACTATGTATGAGCTTCCACTAACTATATAATTATTCCATGCCCTAGTAAAATAGCATTTGCACCCATGCCTCTCAGCCACATTTGCATTAGATTCCTGTTGTAAAAGAATAAAAGCTTAATAGCTTTGTCTTCTGCTGCTTCGTGTAAATTTATTAACTCTAGTTATACGTCGATTTCTTACCTTTCATCTGATGATTACACCAGCATAAGGAAGGCCTCAGCGAAAAGAAAATATACACAAATTGCTGGCTGCCATTATTTTCCTTCTTGCTGTCCCTAACTATTGCAGGGCGTCGTGGAACACGATACGTCCTCCGAATTACGTACTATTATCTTTTCTTTTTTAATTCGGCCTGAGCCCTTCCTCTGCACGTGTCTGTGGGAGGAAATACATTGTCATGACCATTTTCCAATAAAATTCTAGTCATTCAAACAAAAGCAACAAAACAAAAAAAGAATCGGAATGGACCAAAAAAATAAAAAATGTCGATATGACCAACTACATTCCCGAAGAAATATGCGTACAATGCTGCTATTCCATCACTCAAATTAAATGACCTGTGGGTCACATGCTACAAACTGCCACCTTCTATTGAGAAAAAACTTTTTCTTTCTTCATTATCTAAAATTGTAACTTCTATATTCCGTACACCCATTTCTTGGAGAAGAAAAATACTTTCGAACAAACAACAAGAAGCCTTTTATTTCTTTTCTCTTTTACTGACAACATTACGTAGAGGGACTTCTTCCCAAAACAAAAAACAAGTAAATAATTCTCGCTGTCTCTCTTATTATGTGTATGATCAAAAGGAAACCTGTACCAAAATAAATCATAAACTAGTCCCTCTAATTATTTGTCCCTGTGTATTATGTACTATTAATGTTACTTGTATGTATGACCCAAATAGAAAGGAAAAGGAATGATTGATTGAATAATAGAAACTACACATAATAAAACTAAGTACTATCTTTGTTTTTCTAAAGAAAAACAACCAACAGACCAAACTTGGACTTGGGTCAAAATAAAATAACAAATTTTACTATACAACATCATCAACATCATATGAATTCGTTATCGTTACTTTTTCTACATACTTTCTTTCTTTTTCTTGTTAATTTCTTTTTCGTTGTGCTATCTCATTGCAAAATTTCCTAAAATTTATTTAATTAATTATATATATATATATGCATGCATCAATACAGTAAATCATTCAACTTAAATTGTCAATATATTCTCTTTTTCCTTATATTATATACAGTAAATTCTTATTTTATATTATTTATAAATAATAATATTAATAACCCATCAAAACTAATAATACATTATTTTATTACAATGCCTCTAACTGAAAAACCTCTATCTGTTAAAGTTAACGCCTGTCTATTCGATGTCGATGGTACTATCATCATCTCTCAACCAGCTATTGCTGCTATGTGGAGAGATTTCGGTAAGGACAAACCATACTTCGATGCTGAACACGTCATTCACATCTCTCACGGTTGGAGAACTTACGATGCTATTGCTAAGTTCGCTCCAGATTTTGCCGATGAAAAATTCGTCGCTGAATTAGAAGGTTCTATTCCAGACAAATTCGGTGAACACTCCATCGAAGTCCCAGGTGCCGTTAAGCTATGTAACGAGCTAAACCAACTACCAAAAGAAAAATGGGCTGTTGCCACTTCTGGTACTTGGGAAATGGCTCACAAATGGTTCGATATCTTAGGTATTAAAAGACCATCTAACTTCATTACTGCTGGTGACGTTAAGAACGGTAAGCCACATCCAGAACCTTACACCAAGGGTAGAAATGGTCTAGGTTTCCCAGTCAACGAAAAGGACCCATCTAAGTCCAAGGTCTTCGTCTTTGAAGATGCTCCAGCTGGTATTGCTGCCGGTAAGGCCGCTGGTTGTAAGATTGTTGGTATTGCCACCACTTTCGACCTAGAATTCTTAATTGAAAAGGGTTGTGATATCATTGTCAAGAACCACGAATCCATTAAGGTTGGTGGTTACGACCCAGAAACTGATGAAGTTGAATTGATCTTCACTGACTACCTATACGCTAAGGATGACTTGCTAAAATGGTAAATTTTGTAATATTAACAATATGAAATACAAACAAATAATACATTTTTTTATCCCATTTTACAACAAATGCCTTCAATAAGAAACAAGTTTTGCTATTTTTATTTTTTAAATGAAATTTAATAGCAAAATATGAAAAGAATTAATTGTTATTATTTAATAACAGAAATTACATAATAAAAAAAGGGATTTTGCTATTTTTTCCTACTATTATAGCTCTAGTTCCCTTTATGATCCATTTACATTTATCTAATCTTTATAACATTCATTGATAGAAATAAAATATAATTATATATATATATATATACAAATAAAATGTATACCTATATTTGATTAAATGTTTAGTAGAATATTATATATCTTAAAACTGAAATAGTCCAAATTGCTATGCTTTATGTAAAAAGGTAAAAAACAACCGATTCTTATGAATGATTGTATGAGACCAGTATCAAATTTAATGTAATCTTGTTACTTATTTTCATTGTTTTGTTTAATATAAGTGAATAAAGAGGATGATAATTAGATAATATATATGTATATTTAGAATAAAAAATTATAATTTAGACTACTAATGTGTCATTTTCTTTAGTTCTTCTTACCCTTCTTTTCAGCCTTTTGAGCAGCAGCGGTTTGTTCCTTGACAACCTTCTTGACGATCTTTTGTTCTTCAATCAAGAAAGCTCTGACAATTCTTTCCTTAACACAGTTAGCACATCTGGAACCACCGTAAACTCTGGAAACAGTCTTGTGAGTCTTGGAGACAGAAGCGTATTGTCTTGGTCTTAGGGTAGAAACACCTGGTAGAGCAATACCACAGTCACCACACTTTGGTCTGGAAGCCAACTTCTTGACGTGTTGAGCACGCAAGATACCACCTGGGGTCTTAACGACCTTGATCTTGTTGGAACGGGTGTTGTCTATTCAAAAAAAAAAAATATGATATTATTGAAAAACTTCAAATCATATCACATATAACTATATTTGTTAGTATTTTGTAATTTCTTATCAATTTTATGGAAAGTAACGTAAAATTAGAATGTTTATTATAACTTTAAAGTTTTTTATTGAAAGTTTCGGTAGTGCTCATAATGGGAGACTTATTTTCATTACTAATCATATCTAAATTCTTATATCATCATTAATAATATGGAAAAATATTATGTTTAATTCAATTATAAACTTGGTTGATATGAAATATTGATTTAAATCCTAAAAAATTTCAATATGTTCTTTGATATCTTGTAAAATTTTTTATGTATCATCCTTCGTTATAATCAGACAAACTAAATACTGATCTTCACAACAATCTATAACGTATAAACTCCTTGGCATTGGAAAACTCCTTAAACTTCGTTATTTCATCCTAACTTTCATTATTCACATCTTAACTTAATTATATTAAAACATACATGGATTGTTTCTTCTGTAAGTAACACGTTGAGCCATCTTTAGTTGATCTTGTTTTGCTATTACGTCTTGTTAAATAAAACTATATATTAACTTATTTATAAATTTCATATATAACCGTTATTATTACTTTTATTGTTACATCATTACCACAGCTAGTGAACTCTAAGCTGTGCGTTACAATCTAGGAAAACTACATTAGACAGTCTATCGAGACCTGTAGGTAGTAGAAAGTATTACCATCTTAGGAGGGACTTTGGTCTCAACTGAAAATGATGGAAATGATAGCTCCTTTCTTCCCTCTACCTACCAAGGATATGAGAGAGTTTCCCTCTCAACTAGTCCAAACAATATTAGGCGGACTGGTACAGTTTAGAATGACCCGGTACTGTTCAGTAGGCTCTTGATCATAGAATTATGAACTTAACGTGGTGACGATCCTCTCCCTACCTAAACAACAGTTTCCGGTTGGAAATTGATTTCTCACTGAAAATGATTTATTTTGACAATTATAAAATTATATGACATGCATGCGCAAATATTTAAAAAAACACACTAAAAAACTAAAAAAAAATTTATAGAAGCGTTTAAACACCCAAACATTGCATTGTAATTGACAACATCATAACACCGCGTACTAAACTGGAACAGTCACAAAATATTTTAGTTCTTGTCACCACCATTTTTTGAGTCATACATAATATTTACATGAAACATATAAATTAATCAACATATCGATAGAGCATCATCATTGCGTTAGAAGCAAATAGTTTTATAATTCAGTTTAAACAAAAAGATGACATTTATTGAATATTATGTGTTTAGGATACGATTAACTACATATGTTTAAGTACATAATTGATAGAATGAACATAATACTATCTCATTAAAGATTGAAAATCTATATACTTGACTAGCTTTAGTTCTTTTCAACTGCAATAACCTCAACCTCTAGATCGACACCAAGTGGTAAAGCAGAAACAGCAACACATGATCTGGCTGGCTTATGAGTGTTAAAGTATTGGGCGTAAACACCGTTGAATTCCTTGAAATTGTTAATATCAGCTAGGAAGACATTGACCTTGACAATCTTATCTAGGGAAGAATTACCTTCGTTTAGAATGTTAGAAATATTCTTGAAGACCTGATGAGCCTTGGCGGAAATTGAACCTTCAACTGGTTTGTTGTCAGGCGTGTAAGGGATTTGACCAGATACATAAACAAAGTTGTTAGCTTTCATGGCTTGAGAGTAAGAGGCAGCAGCTGGTGGAGCTAGCTTGGTAGCCACAGGTGTCAAAGTGGTTAGAGTTCTAGCAATTGGGGCTCTGAATAGGGTGTTTCTTAGGAACATTATATAAGGTAGGTGATACTGTAATGTATAGTTATTCTATCAGTGTTTAAAGGAAAAACCAAAATACGTTTAGAATCGGAGAGTTTAAAATTTCAACTTCAATTGAGAGTAATTAAGTGACAGTTGACGTCTTTTATATTTGACCTAACGGAAAGGGCATGACGATGTCTTCCTTTCACTATTGTAATCACTTATCAAGGAATGAATTCCAAAACTAATTTAGTCACTCAAAACAATGTGTATGTGCGCATATTTAGTGGGTATATCACGTGAACCGAATTTATTGTAGTTATATAAGCGCATTCGTTTTGTGTACATACATGAACGGATATACTTTTCCGCTCTCTTTAAATTTACAATCAAAGGAAAAAAGGGCTCTTTCTACTTAAACATTATAAAATCTAATCCGTCTTAAGTTTGCCCTTGACACGGTTTAGGATATTTGAATATGTCATTATATGTTACTAAAAAACTAATGATGATTGAATTGAAGCTATATACTTATGTGAAAAATTAATTTTAGATACACATATCCTTATGTTGAGTCTCGAAGCTAAAACAAACCTCTTTGAACTGAAATGCCATAAAAGAGCCATCTGCCTTTTATTAGGTAAAATAATTAATTAGTTAGAGTGTAATGCCATATATATACTTAAAAAGTAGTTTCATGATAGAGGGACTACTATATTGAAAACTTTTATATATAATATCGTGCTGTAGAATATATTATTTTGTTAGTAAACATGAATCTCGCTACAATTACCAAGCATAAAAACGTGAAATACAAGTATCACAAGTTTTATGATAGAAATATAGTAGTAGACCATATATGACCCCAACACCCAATTTCTGAAAGAAAATTCTTTATGAATTCAAGAAAAACGCAACACTTTCTAATTAAATTGCATTTTTCTACAACCTTCTTCTTTTCTAGAGCAGTATCATTTAAAGGACGATAAATATATATAGTTGGGAAAGAACCGTCATAGTAAGAAGATAGTAGACCAATTGAGTATGTGCTTTCAAATATTACTGTAACGAAACTGTATGTATATGACAAATAAAGGACATAAGTACCAGGTTACTTTGAAATTTATTTCATGACTAAAATACCGAAAAATCTTCCATCTTTCCAAAGTGACCCTAACCTTAAGAAGATATCATATCCATGAACTTCTAAAAAGTTCCTGATATTGTCGTTGTATTGCAATTTTTGTCATATATATATATATATATATATAAATATTACTTTTATTTTCTGACACGTTTTTATTAATATTTTTACTGTCGTTTTTTCTCGCATTTGAATAACATTCTCCGTAGTTTTCTTTGAGACAATACAAAATCAAGACTCTTATCAGCAGAGTCAGAATCTCAATCAATATAAGAAAATGTTTCGGTAGTAAATTTGAATAATTGGGTTATATAAAAATGGGTATATTATGAACAAATATATACATATAAATACATAGGTTACAAAGTAATTTACCTTTTCAATGGATGCATATGAAAGGTTACTGTTAGTCATTGAAAGCAATACGTCAAGGACTAACAATTTATACTAATTCAAATCACACAATTGAATACACTCACATATAAGCTGCTTAGTTTAATTTGATCAACATACAACAATATTTAGATTAATGAATAACCTCTTCTCTGGCAAACAATGTTGTACAATAGTTCTTAACACGGTTAAAATTCTTTTCAAGAAACAGCTGAGAACACAGCTACAAGCCTCCAGGTGATACATGAACCTCGAACTAGACCTATATTTCTAACATTTTAAAAGTATTAGAAATATATAAACAGTGAGAAAGTCCTGAGTTACTCTTACCACACATTTTACTCACGGTATAGTATATATTCATTGATTCAAGAATAAATTTCATTGAATAGTTTATCGTTTTTGGCTCAAAATAGCGTCAAAGAAAACTAGACTCAGAATGTAGCGCCATATTTACTTTCTATATTAACGATAACAACAAGAGCCTTTCCTCATCCTTCAAATTTCAAACTAATCAAGAAAACATATTGAATATACTAAGTCCCATATATTTTGTTTACTTGGCGTGCATAGTGATACCAAATTACGTGGAATCACTAGAGCGGCTATGCTCGCACATTCATTGTTCAATCATTCATCCCTCACTTCTCTATAAGAAATGACGACCGTCTGGCTAAAACAAAATCTAACTCCTCTTCTCCCACCCCATAAAAAATAGGAATGGCGAGGTAATGAAATAAGTGAAATAATTTAATGTACGCTTTTTACTAACTGTTCTTCTGATTTTTGATGTCGTACAAATGAAAAATTTGAAAATTTGAAAAATTATTTTTCAGACTTGAAAAAAGAAAAGTGAGATGAGGCAATCTTTAGTTATAACGAGAAAACAAGGAAAAAAAGTTTTGATATTTCTCCCAGAAATCGATGAAGAAAGGGGCGAACATATAGAGATATATACGCATTTATTGAATAATCAAATTTCAATATTTTCTTCATTTCATTTACTTGCCCAATGAGTAAGAAGGTCATCAAGTTTTGGGGAAAAAAAATAATATCATTCGTAATATACGGAATTTTACAAGGGAAACACGATTGTAGATGAATTTAATTAAGATTTAATTAAATAATAGCATTTGAAATATTTATTTTATACATTGAGTATCCACATTTTATTTTTGAATGTATGTTCCATTACAAATATTGACCATATATATATATCTACTGAAAAAGCAAGAAAAGTTCCATTAAGATATATAGGAAACTGGATTTATTTACAAGAGCAGCAAGACAGTAATAAGAATAAACTATAATACTCCGTTTTGGGAATAAGATAGAAAATTTCATTAAGATAATTAGAACTAAAATTTTCAAATTTTTGTACTCCATATCTTTCGTTTTAAACAATGAGTGATACAGATACAGATACGCATTTAAACCACAGAGGATCTGTGGTAGGAAACAGTAAAATGGATGAAGATATCGTCTATGAGATGGCGGACCTAGAGAAAGGTTCCCAAGATTTTAAGACAGTTCCAATCTATGATTTTGAAGAACAAGTATCCGAAGCTGTGGTTGAAGAGACAAAATTGTCTTTGATAAGTAGATTTGCTGCCAGTTTAAACGCAGAAACTAAAGGTGTTGAGCCTATTGAAGATGATGAAAAGACTGATGATTCTATGATCAATGCCGCGTCTATGTGGTTTTCAGCAAATATGGTTATTGCAGCCTACGCATTAGGTGGTCTTGGTCCAATGGTTTATGGTTTAAACTTTGGTACTTCCTGTTTAGTAATTATATTTTTCAATATATTGGGTGCTTTTTGGGTTGCATTTTTCTCAGTATTTGGATCAGAATTTGGTTTAAGACAAATGATTTTATCTAGATTTTTAATTGGTAATGCAACTGCGAGAATCTTTTGTGTCATTAATATCATTGCATGTATCGGTTGGGGTATTGTAAATACGGTGGCATCAGCACAATTATTAAACATGGTGAACATTCCGCACGAATGTCCTCTTTGGGCAGGTTGTCTAATCATTGTTGGTTGTACAGTATTGGTTACATTCTTTGGTTATAATGTTATTCATTTATATGAAAAATGGTCCTGGGTCCCAAATTTTGCAGTTTTCTTAGTTATTATCGCTCGTATAAAAATTTCTGGTAAGTTTGAAAATGGCCCTTGGGGTGGTGGCCCAGCTACTGCAGCTGGTGTTTTATCATTTGGTACTACTGTTTTTGGGTTTGCTGCTGGTTGGACTACTTATGCTGCGGACTATACAGTATATATGCCAAGGGACTCTAACAAATTGAAAATGTTCTCCTCCTTAATGGTCGGTCTATTACTCCCATTGTATTTTACTATGTTTATCGGGGCTGCAGCTGGTGCAGCCGCATTAAATGACCCGGAATGGAAGGCTCATTATGACAAGAATGGAATTGGTGGTATCACATACGCTATCTTAGTACCTAACTCCCTAAATGGGTTTGGTCAATTCTGTTGTGTTTTATTAGCTATGTCGACAGTTGCAAACAATATTCCAAACATGTATACCATCGCTTTATCTGTTCAAGCTTTATGGAAGCCATTTTCTAAAGTTCCAAGAGTTGTTTGGACCATGGCTGGTAACGCATTTACTTTAGGTATCGGTATTCCTGCATGCTACTATTTTGAAACATTCATGCAAAGTTTCATGGATTCGATCGGTTACTATCTAGCTATTTACATTGCCATTTCTGCATCTGAACATTTCTTCTACAGAAAGGGCTTTAAGGGCTATAATATTGCTGATTGGGATACTATTTCCAGATTACCAATTGGTATTGCAGGTACTGTTGCTTTAATTGCAGGTGCTTTTGGTGTTGCATTAGGTATGTCTCAAACATATTGGACAGGTGAAATTGGTGGCCTGATTGGACCACATGGCGGTGATATTGGGTTTGAAATGGGTGGCTCCTGGGCATTTATTGTCTATAATGTCCTAAGACCACTAGAAAAGAAGTATACTGGTCGTTAAGGAAGAAAGAAACCATATTTTATTATTATTACATATTGTGCTACAGTCATTTATTATTCATTAAGATATGTTTACATATCTTACCACTCATATATCATTTTCTTCTTCAGGAGAAATATAAATAAAGTTGCAAGAGAAATGCACACATTCTCATAAACTCCTGTTGTATTGGTAAATATTCCAAATCTATATAAAAATAAAAAGGAAAAATATTATCTCAACATTTTGCCAAGTTTGTATTTTCTTCTGTATAGTTATCATAAGTCTTTTAAAGGTTTCTTAAATTTTTTGTTTTTTGAGACCATAATTAATTATCGATGAAATTTTCATTCGCTAGTCATCTCCGTTGATGTATTTACAATAGTTTCAATGTATCAAAGAACAAGGCCGATGGAAATGATGACCTGTATTACCTTAAATGGTAGCAAAGTAGTAATACATTATTCTGTTAGTTATTGAGAATGGCTAATTAAATAATTACAAAAGTTATATACATATTATAAAAAGGATTCAATCTCTTTACCAATTCACATTTACTTTGCTAGCCAAAATTTTGTATCAGAAAATTGTATCTCTATGGTACTTTCAACCTTTGATAAGTACATACCGTACATTACAATCTTTTATAGAGTAAGTTTTCTAATTGGACTTCTATCGTTATTGTTTGCAAAATTCGTCCTACCAGAGTTTCTACAATATGGGAAAACACTATATCCAATAAAGAAATCTGACAAGAAACTTAACCACAAAAACTCAAAACTGAACACGATAATTCATTACACAGTCCCCAAAGCATACTTCGCTCATTTTTATATTCTTTCGACAGTACTTTCACTTATAACCTGCGCTTCCTACGCTGGATACACTTTACCCTGGCTCGTACTATTCCACTCTATACGAAGATTATACGAGACGCTGTATGTCTGTAAGTATACTAATAAGTCTAGGATGAACTGGTCACACTATGTTGTTGGTATTTGGTTTTATTCAGTCTTACATATAATATTGAATATTAAACTTAAACAGGGCATAATACTGAGTGATTTACACAAATATTCATCTGCTCTATTTATTATTGCTTCATGGGATCAATATATGAACCATAAAGTTCTATCTGGGTTGGTAAAATATTCCTTACCAAAAGACAGGCTATTTAAATTGATATCTTCTCCTCATTATTTAGATGAACTATTAATATACGGTTCATTCATATCATACAATGCAGAATTTCTTTGGCTTGTTGTCTGGATATTTACTAGTCTTGCCATATCTGCTATTGAAACTCAGAGATATTACAAGATTAACTTCCCTAACGACAAAATAGCACCATATGCATTCATACCCTTTCTCCTCTAGAGGTACATGTATTGGAACTCAGTCTTACAAATATTACATATGCAAGTAATGCCATTGAATCATTTATTTAAAAGATCTAAAGGCATTTTTTGAGGTACTGTTCCAATATCGGACAATTACATAGTGATATGGGAAATCTAAGTGACTATATCAAATATTCTATTCATGTGAAACTTCTATAAAGATTGCAATAAGGCTCTATTATGGTATATAGATAGGTATATAAATATTGTATGTTAGACATTACACCCAAACATCGCATATCTAAACAAAATTTAACTATTCGGGTATATTCTTTTGCAGGCTTAGCGAGAGGCCAAATTTGGAAACTTCAATAATGATGATTTCCTTCATGAACAAGTAATTGGTAAAACAGATGCAACATAAATTCACTTTCAATCATTTGATCCTCATATTATTATAGATATATTTAACAAATCGAATACATATTTATTCTATTTTGTTTCCTGTTCGTTTTATTTGTGTTTATACGAAAAGAATAATACATCAAACGTCAAATTTTGCATTAGGACGACAAACGAATAATTTGAAGTCCTATCCTTTACACGATTGACTGTGTGACACATATTAACAAGTCAAGACCATAATTAATTGAGTGTTTCCACGACTACAAGGCAATAAATTGACTAGACGTAGTGTTATTAATAAAATACACTAGTTATTCTAAGTGAGTTATAAAGAGACTAAAAAAGAACGATACACTACTTTAATATCATTTTAACTTTATTACTACCTTGATATAGACATACAGAATATAATAACTGAGACTATTTCAAGTACAGATGTTACCTTCTCCTGGAAAGGGATCAAGCAAATTTCATAACAATCCTACATTTGGGCGCCGAGATAGAAGTGATAGTCTCGACTCCTTCGATTTACAATTTAATAACTCATTTGATGCAGCTCTTGATAATCTGAAAATAGGTAACAATACAGAAAATTTAAATAGGAAATCAATATCTGATAGCAAGGAGAACTTTGAAATGACATCAATTACTGGTATGGAATCCTCCCGTTCAAATAACCAAAACAAATCAATGGATAGAGATAATCGTCCTTTAATACATAACACTGAAGACCACTCCACGAACAATGAGAACCCTCGTAAATTTCAAAGTGTTCCAAGAACGGGACCAATAAATTCTTTTATGTCAATATTTAAAAATGCATTCTCAAATGGAAGTTTCGGTGTGGGCAAAAATAAGTCATCCATATCCTTAAACGATGATATCACAGAAAGAGAAATATATCCTGATACAACACCAGTGTACGATAAATATAAATATCCTTCAAACGAAGTATCCAATGCCAAATACAATGCTGTTACGTTTGTACCCACTTTATTATATGAACAATTTAAGTTTTTCTACAACCTATACTTTTTAGTTGTTGCATTATCTCAAGCTGTTCCCGCATTAAGGATAGGTTATTTATCTTCATATATTGTTCCATTAGCATTTGTTTTAACTGTTACAATGTTGAAAGAAGCAATGGACGACATTCGAAGGAGAAGACGTGACAGAGAGTCAAATAATGAATTATACCAGGTTCTTGGAAAGCAGATATTAGTTCCAAGTAAGGACTTGAAAGTTGGTGATATTATTAAATTGAATAAAGGCGATAGAGTACCTGCAGATTTAATTCTTCTTCAATCAAGCGAACCATCTGGTGAATCATTTATCAAAACAGATCAATTAGATGGTGAAACAGATTGGAAGTTAAGGATTGCATGTCCACTTACGCAAAATGTTACTGAGGAAGATCTTCAGAACAAAATCAGCTTGACAGCCTCAGCTCCAGAAAAATCAATTAACAGATTTCTTGGTAAGCTGACATACAAAGGTTCTTCGTCATCACCATTAAGTGTTGATAATACATTATGGGCAAACACAGTGGTTGCATCAACTGGTTGTTGTGTTGCCTGTGTTATATACACTGGTAGAGATACAAGACAAGCAATGAATACTACTTCACCAACAGTGAAGACTGGGCTGCTAGAGTTAGAAATCAATAGCATTTCAAAAATTTTATGTGCATGTGTCTTCATTTTGTCGATAATGTTAGTAGTTTTTGCTGGTTTCAGTAATGCCGACTGGTATGTTGATATTATGCGTTACTTAATTTTATTCTCAACAATTATCCCTGTTTCATTAAGGGTCAACTTGGATTTAGCGAAATCTGTGTATGCCTATCAAATAGAACATGATAATACAATTCAAGAAACGATAGTTAGGACAAGTACTATTCCAGAGGATCTTGGCCGTATCGAATATTTATTAAGTGATAAAACCGGTACACTAACCCAGAATGATATGCAGCTAAGAAAAATTCATCTCGGTTCATCTGCATTTAGCTCTGAATCAATGGATATGGTAACAGACTATGTAGCAGATTTAGTTGGTTCAAATGGAAAGAGTTTTGGTAATGCTAACTCTTCCAAAAAGAGTAACGAGATAGGGTCAAGAGTGCGAGACTTGGTTGTTACACTAGCTATTTGTCATAATGTTACACCAACTTTCGAAGACGACGAGATAACTTACCAGGCTGCATCTCCTGATGAAATTGCTATTGTCAAATTTACCGAATCTGTAGGATTGTCGCTTTTCAAAAGAGACCGTCATTCTATTACACTACTACACACTGCCACCGGAACAACAATGTCATATCAAATTCTACAAGTTTTTCCATTCAACTCAGACACAAAACGTATGGGTATTATCGTATATGAAGAACAAACCGAAGAATATTGGTTTTTCGAAAAAGGTGCTGATACTGTCATGGCCAAAATTGTTGAGAGTAATGTTTGGCTTGAAGAGGAAACTGGCAATATGGCTCGTGAAGGTCTTAGAACTTTAGTAATAGGTAGAAAGAAATTGACAAAGAAGGTATACGAACAATTTAAAGCAGATTACTCAAAGGCGTCATTATCGATGTTGAATCGTGATACTGAAATGGCTAGGATAATTACAAAGTATTTAGAGCATGACTTAGAACTACAAGGTTTAACCGGAGTGGAAGATAAGCTTCAAAAAGATGTGAAATCATCTATCGAGTTACTAAGAAATGCAGGTATTAAAATCTGGATGTTAACAGGGGATAAAGTTGAAACAGCACGCTGTGTTTCTATTAGTGCTAAATTGATTGCCCGTGGACAATATGTTCATATAATTACGAAACTTACGAAACCAGAAGGTGCATTGAGTCAATTGGAATATCTGAAGGTGAACAAAAATGCCTGTTTGTTGATAGATGGTGATTCATTAGGGATGTTCTTACATTATTATAGACAAGAATTTTTTGATGTTGCAATCTTTCTCCCAACCGTCATTGCTTGCCGTTGTACCCCACAGCAAAAGGCTGATGTTGCTTTGATTATTCGTGAATTAACAGGTAAGAGAGTCTGTTGTATTGGTGATGGTGGTAATGATGTTAGTATGATTCAAAGTGCTGATGTTGGTGTAGGTATTGTTGGTAAAGAAGGTAAACAAGCTTCTCTAGCAGCTGATTTCTCAATAACGCAATTTTGTCATTTAACTGAATTATTACTATGGCATGGTAGAAATTCATATAAGAGATCGGCCAAATTAGCTCAATTTGTGATGCATAGAGGGCTAATTATCGCTGTATGCCAAGCCGTATTTTCCATATGTTCTAAGTTTGAGCCAATTGCACTTTACCAAGGTTGGCTAATGGTCGGTTATGCAACATGCTATACAATGGCTCCTGTTTTTTCGTTAACTTTGGATCACGATATTGACGAATCGTTGACAAAAATGTACCCTGAGTTATACAAGGACTTGACAGAAGGCAAAAGTTTATCTTACAAAACATTCTTTGTTTGGTGTGCACTATCCATGTACCAAGGTTGTGTTATTCAAGGATTCTCTCAATCGTTTACTGGTATTGAAGAAATATTCTTCCTCAAGATGGTAGCCATTAGTTTCACTGTCTTGGTGTTTAATGAATTAGTCATGGTCGCATTAGAAATAAATACATGGAATAAAATTATGGCCATCACGGAGCTGCTAACTTTCTTATTATACGTGGTATCGGTACCATTTTTGGGTGAATATTTCGATCTTGAATATATGAAAACTCTAAGGTTTATTGGTGAACTTTTATTTATACTACTAATATCAGTGTTTCCTGTGTGGGCAGCAAAATCAATCTACAGAGGATTACATCCTCCAAGTTACGCAAAAGTGCAAGAATTTTCTGGTGTATGAAATTTTGGTTTCGTTTTTAAAGATGACCTAATTAACTACTCATGTGAATTACACACATTTACCTTTTACCAATTGCTGGTAAATGACCAGCAATAGAGATACATACATCTACATAAAATATATCATGATTAATCAATTGTTATGTAAATAAGTCACCAGGAATTATGCAGATTTTATTAAAGTATACACTTTCTATAAGACTGTCCAGAATTATTTTTTGAGTAACGCATAATATTCATCACATATTGCATCAGTTATTAAAATGTTGATGTCTATATAATCATATAAATTGTTAGGTATATGAGAACCGTATTAATATACAAGATAGTCACATCCCTGCCTCAGATTCTGTATCGCTATCAAAAGGCGAATGCTCATCATTTTCTATTTGTACGTCTGATGGATCATTTAATGGCGTAGCAACGGGCCTTTGGAAATCCGTCGCATGAACCCATGGAATAGAATCCGATATTTTCCCAAACATAGTGGCATTCCTTCTTGTCAAAGTATGATATGCTGCAGATGGACGTCTAAAGCCTTGATTAACATTTGATAATGGATGGGCAGTAGAGGAACTTTGCATGATTGGTTCTGATTCTTCACTGGATTGTCTGCGAAGTAAGTATCTAGTCGTCTGAGCCTGTTTCACGATGTTATTAGTATCACTACTAGGTAAAACAGGATATGGGAGTGGAGAATCACCAGTGACTCTAAATAGATGCACATTTGCTACGTGTTCATTCTCAATACGGAAAATGACCCAAACAAATCTTCTCAATAGCTCTGTTAGGGCAAGTACAAACGATGTCTTTGCACTTTGTTGGATGGACTGAGGTGCAACAGCATACACGACCCATTGGAATCTAATAAGCACATCCCAAACCATAGCCGCGTAATACAATGCTTTTCTTCTTGGATTATAGGATCCATCTTCCCAATTTCTTTTACCAGCTAAATATAGATCGTCTCTTAAAAATAAATTCCTGTATGATGGTTGGAAAAGAGACCAATCAATAATCAAATCCCAAATAGAGGTCAAGACAGAGTTCATAGTGGAAACAATAATGAAATATGTCCTACGTTGCTCATTAAATGGATCCAATCTGTAGGCACATAGAGTTGCTTGATAACCAACACCAAAACTATACTTGATAGCATTTATCAGATGAGGAAACCAATCCCCAGAATCTAAGAATCTTCTAATACATTGAAGCAGTCTCCAATAACTTGGAATTGAGGATAGGACACCCATTGATTTAGAATGAGAAGAACCACACAAACCTTGCTCGTTTGTAGAATAAATACAAGCGAACATGGCAATATCAGCAATAGAATAGGTAAGGGAACATACAATATCACCTAAGAAGAAATCACCGAACTCTACAGGAAAAATACCCGAACAGGCTAATCTGATAGAAGTAATAATAAGCCAATTTCTAGTCTGGACAACCTTGTCCCAATATGGAATAAAGTTTGGTGGCATGAAAAATAAAATAAACACAGAAGCCATTGCGACAAAACTCCAAGGCGAAAGTTGCTGTAATTTAAAACTTAGACCAGCACAAATACAAGTCAACAAAACATAAAATGAAACATAATACAGTTTGAGCGAAATACCAGTTGTTGCAAAATCATTATTATACATCTGTGTCCCACTTCTAGTCTTAACTTCTCCAAACATAATGAATTTATAGTTAATACCTGCTCTATGCCATATAAAGCAATTCACTTGGAAAAGAATCAGCATCAAAAGGGTCATATACCAACCACCCCATAAGGGAAATAGAATTTTACGGTTGTATGATACTGCTGCCGATGTGAATGAGAGATATAATGTGTATAAGAAAATTGAAAAAGAAAATCCAATGAACAAACCAGCGGTAGTCATTTGCAAAGTGGACCTATTGTTACGATGTATCATACTTTCGTTCAATGTGTATTCAATGTTCAATTTTTTTAGCTTATCTCTTTTTTTCTTCATATCATGTGGAGAATTAGTTAGATCGGTACAATACCAAGTTCTGGCTCTTGTTTCCCACCATAACAATGGATCATCCTTAGGACTGTTTGGAACCAAATCAGTAAGAATATGGTATGAACTGGTACGCTTCATGTGTTGAGCCATTAATTTAACATTGTTATTAACATGTTTAAATAGAGAATAATTATCTCTTGCATATTTCATGAATCTTGGTAATTCATTTGTACCTAAAGTTTTATCAAATTTCTTAACTATCTTACGGAAACCAGTCACATTTAAATCTCTATAGGCTTTAACCAGCTGAAGGAAAAGATAAAACTCTAATATTGCTTCATTCAACAATCTTTGAGCGCGAGGTAAAGTCATTTCATCAGAAACTAATGACAAATCATAAGCGAATGTCTCCTTGGCAGGATTTAAGATAGCACTTAAAGTTGGAGATCCATATCTAATATTAGAATTACGATCATCGTCATCACTACCATTATTTAAGGATGCTAATGACATCCCCGAAGCAGATCTTGAAAGTTCTTTTTCTTCCAAGATTTTATGTTTAAATGCGTTCTTAGGCCAAGATGGTAATAAATTCTTTTGTTTTAAGAAATATTTTATATTCGATCTTAGACCTGGTGTTTGTTGTTTTGGTTTTCCAGTTAAGGAATCACTAGCAGTCATACCAGCTGCCGCAGTGGTCTCAATCTCTGTTTCTGATAGATTATTATCTTCTTGAAATTGAGGTAAAGTGGAACCGTATGTACTGACATTATCTAATGTACCTGATTTCAAAGATTGATTATCATCACTTGTTGGATCGATTATTTTATCCCTTTGAAGCTTATACATATGCATTTGTGTCTTTAATACACCAAATTTAGTACCACATTCATCTAATAGCCAAATATAAAAATCGTTACATTTAGTCAATTCAATAGCAATCAACCAATCTTCAATAAAATCTTTAACGGCAGTCTTTTGTAATCTTGAGTAAATAATTTTTTCTTTCTTAAAAGAATTATTTTTATTCGCATTTTTCTTTCTATTATTTCTATTTCTACGTTTATTACCTTTTTTACCACTACCACTACCACTACTACCACTACGACCATTATTGGTACTATCACGCGGGTTACCTGTAATTAAATTTGGAATCATTGGTGTTGAAGATGATCTCATTAAGCTATTAAATGAATCATTTGAACGACTATGATAATTATTTTTTCTTAATTTTGCTAAATGTGATGCAGCTGAGATCGATCTTGTTGATTCTATAGACATTGCATCTAAATCATTTTCATCATGACTTTGTTCATTTTCTATATCATTTCTTCTTATATTTAATTCCAATCCACTATTTTCTCTTGAGATTGTTGATAAATTATTATTATTATCTACAATATGTTGTTCTTCATTTAATCTTGCTAAAAATGGATCCTTTGGCAATTTCCCATAATGATATTTTAATCTTTTTTTACCAATTTTATAATCAATATATTTATCCTTCCATTCAGGAATCACAGACTCTGTAAGTTGATCTGCAAATTTCATTATTCTTATTATTACTATTACTATTACTATATTATAATCATTGAACTATTCTTATACAATTATCGCTAATAATGAAATAAAGTAAATAGGCAAAAGTGATGATTACTATAACCTATTTATTTTTCGAATATGAAATAAAACAACAATGATAACTAAAAGGGTTTTAAATCAAATGATGACAAAATATCGTAATATAAACAGAAAACCATAAGAAACAGCCTTATTAATCATTAACTGATTCAAATCTCTTGTATATAATAGTTTCAATAAAAAAAACATGTCAAAAATTTGGTTGTATAGTTATTGATATTCTTATTATGATTGTTATTTGCAGCAGCCAAAAAAAAAAAAAAAAAAANAAAAAAAATGGAGCATGCGGAAGAACCGATATACTATAAAATCACGTAGAACAATATAAAAAAGTAGACAATAAAAGAACTGGGTTCATCAAATTATTGCTTATTTATTCATTCTATTATTGATTTGATCTGCGGGATGAAGAATTAACAAAGAGAAAACAAACTAAGAAGAAAATAGGATGCAACCAATGGAAAGAGTGTTTTATTATTATTATTATTATTATTATTATTACTGTGATTGAATCATATTAGTTCGTAATAAACAGGGACACATATACTACGGTACGTAACCCAAGAGACAGCATTTGCAAAGATAAATAAAAACCCAAAACAAAATATTTAATTCAATGATGATTGATCCACGTGTATAATGTTTAATAAATAAAAAAAAATTGTAATCCTAAAAGTAAGTTGGTAGCTATTATTAATAAATTTACAACCGCACCAGAAACAAATATTTCTTATCACAGGGAAGAAAGTTATAACTAAAATTTTAACTTAGATAATAGATAATTCTTTATGCGCAGTAGAGGTTCAATGAAAGTAGGGGAGATATCTGGATGCCATAAAATTCTACTGATCTAAAGAAATCAAAAGACAAAATTCGAATAATCTAATAATGAAATTCTATGGTAAATATATATATGTCTACATTCTAATTATTTAGATATATTTATTTAATGACTGCTATTGTAATTATCGCTCTATTCTTTCAACTTTTAGCTATTTAATTTTGCGAAGTCAACTTGAAACAATCAATTTCAAAATTCATATCAAATGTGTCTATCTGGGCAAAAATGTAAGAGAGACCAAGAACTATATACATATTCCCCCACCAGATTTAAAAAGGAAAATAATTCATTTATTATCTAGATGCCATCATCACTATACTTCAACATCAAATATATGAATCACTGCCGTTCTCCTCCAAGGGAAGTTTACATAATGTTATGTTTGAGATCACATGATATTTTCTAATTATTACTATAAAGAAGATATTGTATGCAACGCCATACTTTTTACACAGTTTTTCCCTCGTTTTTCTTTCAATTAGGCGAAGGGCATCTCTCTTTCTCTCTCTATCTTAAATATATAAATTTCTCAATTTTCTTTGGTTCGCCGTTCTGTCTGCTTCCTTTATTCATTATTCATAAAGAACAATAAAATTCAACATGACTTAACTAAACAGCTACTTAATTCTCGAATAAAATACAGTAATTATTTTTTAATAAGAATGACTAAAGAGTGGACAACTTGTCCTTTTCTAATACAATAACTATTGGAAGCCATTGTCCGACCCACAATCTTAATGTAGTAGAAATCACTTTTATTAGTTCAATAACGCTATGTTTACATATTAATATATCTGTTATGATATATGCATATATTTATTGCGTTCTATAACACTCTCTTATAATTACAAAAGGAGATGAATTTAAAGAAAGGATAATACCAAACGGCAATTTCCGGTTTGGAAAATTTCTTGGTCAAGTTATCATGCCTAGATTCTTTTATAAATCAAATATTCAATTAATATATTTATACTATATATAATTTAAACTAAGGGGTGAAGGAAGTTTAAGAAAGAAATATTACAATCAATAAAGCAGGGTTATTGATGGTGAGATAACGCAATTTAATGAAATAACAAGGATTGAATTGTTCTCATCTCTTAACATTTATATATATATATATTACTTTAGTATTTGTTTTCTATTATTAATAATTATCTAGAGCTTGTTAGAATAATTCGTACACAAATAATAATATATATATATATTAAGTCATTGAAATTCAAAGCATATTGTAAAGACAATATCAATTTCAATTTCAACTATTACTTATTACCTTTTACTTCTTCCCTCATCAATTAATTTCTTCTTCTTATTCTTTAGTTTAAGCGGGAAAGGTGGGTCTAAGAAATTAAAAAATTACATTAAAGAAAGAAAAAAAACAACATAATAATAAAAGACGTAGAAAGAAAAACTAAAAAGAAAAATAAATAAGTTTAAGAAAAAGATCACTAAGAATAGAAAAATTAATAAGCTCTTTTATTTTCATCATTCATATTTCTAAGAATAAAATATAACACCTTCATTCACATAAGTTTGTGCTATCATTACTCATATTAGTACTTTAAACTCTCCCCCCCCCCCCC